CCCCAACCCCCAAGCCAAGGCAACAATATTGGCTGGATCACATCATCACGAGGCTGAGTGCAGACACGTTGAAACCGCCTTCCTCCTCTATCCAGGCTGTTCGCCACGCTGGCCACAGACCCCTATGGATGTGTGATCCATGCCACGGCAATACTTTTAGCACCAGTTCGGGGTACAAAACACGTCATGTGTGCTTGATCCTGCGTGAAGCAACCAGGGCGTATCGAGTCCACAGGGAGAACGGTTCATCCTTGGGGGGACTGCATCTCGAACAAACAGGAGAGTCTGTGACTGAATGCATTGATTGTTCAGAGAGAGGCTCTGAGGAAAACCTGAGTACAAATTATCGTAGTTTATGCGATCCACGATTGTCATATTCACAGGCTTTGATGGTCGTCCGAGGATTCGGGGAGTTTGCGCACCATTGGGAGGCAAAGTGCCAAAAGACTGTAGCAGAAGGCACCTAGTGGTGTCTATAAAGCAGATTTGTAGATTTGCTCCGCTTGTTTCTATACAGTACTGTTATTAGAAGCAATTCACAATCCCAATACTTTACCTTGACCAAACAGTAACTTCAAGTCTTCAACCAGATTCGCCATGGCAAAGTTCTCATAAAACAGACTAGAAGATTTCCAAGCGGAAGATTATTGATCAAGTGGATAATTATCCATGCAAAAAGGCCGCCCAACACCAGCTGGTCATTTGATATAACGCGAAGGTACGGAGTATCTTGCTTGACCCAAGGTAACGTTGCCTTGGTAGGGAGTTACCTAAATCAGGCCGGGTCGGAAAAACCATCGGCATAGCCTACCAGATGCTGACTCATTGCCGGCTTATGCGCTAGCTTTTTTTGGTCTAGCCCGTCCCAGGAGCCTCTTGGCGCACGCGGTCTTTAGTTTCTCCGGCACCGTATACCTAACTGCCTAGTTGGGCAACCTTCCTTTGCCCAACATTCCCACCGAGCGGGTTCGCGGCGGAAAGCAACAGTCACAGCTACTTGCCTGATGCCCCGGACCCTTACAATGCTGAAGCCTGGCAAATGGTGCCCGTGAGTACATTGGCTTTTTGACGCACTTGTTAAATGATTGCACGTCTAGTCTCCAGAATACCATGACAGGGTCTGACATTCAATAACTAAAAGAAGATATATGGCCACTCAAATCAAACCTCTCCCTTTTCTGTCCCACCCCAGATTACAAACTTAGGCTCGAAACCCTTCCCAGCATTGTTTGTCTGGCTCAAATTCCCCTTTGCTGACAACAGAATGACGTTCTCCGGATAAAGCCTTCCTAGCAGCGCAAGCGAAACCACTGACTCCGTCGTAGGAATGACGTGAACGCCTCCATTACTCGCCGAGATCAACCCGTCGCCAGGCTGCAGCAGCATATCGACAGCTGAATGGACGAAAGCAGTCTTGAGGGCATGTACCCCGCTGTCTTTGCGGAGGGCATGGTATGCGTAACGGTGGCCGCGGGCGATCTGCCCAGCGTCGACCGCGCCGCATTTTCCGTTGTGAAATTCGAGCCTTAGCTCTAATTGGCGCACTGCAGATGGGGATGAAGAAGAAACGACGTCGAGGCTGGCGGTCTGAACTACCCGCTCCCGCGAATTTTTCGGAAACCTGGCCAGGTCCGCGTCCACTGCTTTCGTCCCGGTCGGAATCTCCGCACGGTCAGCGACGTAATAGTCCGTGTGTCGGTATTCAAAGAGGATATCGGTCTTGATCGAATCAAGTCTGAGTGGCATGTATTGCAAGAGGTGTAAGCAGTCTGAGTTACCGCCGAAAAGAGCAGGAAGTACAACACCATGAGAGTACTGAAACCCGTATCCGCCAGTTGAGGTGGCTGGAAGATGTGGTGCTAGCAAGGATTTGGCAAATGCCATAACTGAAGCTTGTGAAACGCTTTTGGTAACCAGCGTGGCAAGGAATTGCCCTCGACTCGTCTCCATATGGCGAATTCCCCGAGATCGTTTGTTATCCACTGGGATCAAAACATCTTGGTAATTATCGAATGGGAGGAGAGAGTCGCGCAATAGAACCATTTGGTGCATGTACTCGTTGAAGAGCTGCATGAGATGTGGCTGACTGCGTCGACCGAACATCAGATCGACGTTGGGAGGTGTCAAAAGGTGACCTTCGCATGGGCTGCGGATGTTCAAGTTCGGGTCAAAGGTTCCCCCAGCATGTTCCCTTGCCCACTGCACAAGGCTCTTTCCAATTCGATCCGCTTGTTGCATCACTTCCCTTCGCGAAACGTCTGACATGTTTTTCGGGAGTGGCATCGTGGATTCGCGCGTGCCAAGGGCCAAGTTGGAAGCGACATTATCCAACAGCATGGCCCGAGCTGGTCTGGCATCGGGAGAGTCCTTTCCGAGGCGGTAGACCACTGTGTCTAGTAGTGGCGAAAACCCTTCGACAAGCTGTCGGGGACTGTATACTCCCGAAGCGAGTGTCCATCCGATTGATTCTGGAATGGCCTGCCTTGGGCTGCCGTCCGGATGAGGAACGATGCTGTGGCCAAGCAAAATAGCTCCGAGGCCAGCGAGGCGGTAGGTAATGCTGTCTGACGAGTTCTTGGGCATTGTTGCCACCACTTTGAGCATCGCGAATATGAAGAACAAGCGCTCTGAAGGCCAAAAATCATAGATTTGGGGTTGAGTGCCCTGATCTCAGGATCGGTATTTCTAGCCATCAACCCTTTTTGGCTCGAAGTCTCGGAGGAAAATGGTCATCCATGTCCACCCAACTCCGGCCAGTTACTAATTCGAAACATCGCTTTCAATGCATCCCACTCCTCGTTAGTAATGACGATGAAAGCTGTGTGTGACCTTTGAGGCCGTTCTCGTTGGTTATGCAGACAATCGGCGGCCCGTACCTAGAGTTCGGCACTGTGCAACCCGCACCCAACGAACTAACCAGTTCAACAGCCTTCAATAGCTATGCGGCGCGGGCTTACGGACCTACTACTATAAAGCACCCCGTATCAGAAAGCTGGCGAAGGAACGGCAGCATCGTCGAGACCAATATCCCACCAAAGAGACCAGCGGACAGTTTTGGTGCATTACATATGCCAAACATGTTGGAAGTTGAGACACCCCCCGCTCAAGTTTTTGGTGGCACAGAAGGGCAGTATCGGCTTCCACACCACATCACTGAGATCGATCGATTACGCCGGCAGCATGAGCATATCAAATCCAGCTGCAATGGCAAGCTGATTTCCTTTCCTTTGCCGAACTCTCCTCATCCCATCCGGGTGCTAGACAGTGGTTGTGCAGACGGTATGCCCATTTCACATCCAATGGCGTTGCTACAAATTTCCACTTTGTACCATGCTCACAATTAACTCTCAGGTACCTGGCTTCTTGATCTTGCCTCCCAGCATCCACAGCAACAGCTCAGTCTACATGGAATTGATATTGGCTCTCACCTGTTCATGAAAAACCCCAGTCTAGACCTTCACCAACATGACCTGCGTCAGCCTCTACCCGAAGAGTGGAAAAATTCATTTGACATTGTCCATCAACGTCTTCTAGTCTGGGGAATTAGGGAAGCTGAATGGTCCTTTGCCGTGCGGAATCTGCGGGATGTTCTCAAGCCAGGTGGTCATATTCTGCTAGTTGAATGTAAATGGGTGTTTCCTGAGATTTGGGCCACTCATCCAGAGCAACACCGGTTGGCTCTGACCCAGATTTGGTCGACAGAGTCAGCAGGTATGGATCTCTACATTGGTGAGAAGCTAGATAGCCTGCTAGAAAAAGAAGGATTTGAAGACATCACTACTGTCTGCCATGACCTGGCGTATGGAGCCACAGCAAAGATACCGGAAAATCGCAATCCATCAGCAGAGCTCTGGGTGGAGAGTTTCCGGCATCTGGTCACTCACATGGGAGGTTAGGAGTCCCTTGCGTTTCTTCTTGCTCTACTTCTGGCTGACTCTAACCTGCTGGCCATATAGAGGAAGGAATCCCTAATGTAGCTAAAACACCGGAAGAGTACCATGCATTCCTAGACCGTTTAGTTGATGAGATTAAGGAAAAAGGCTACTCACCGACTCTCAGGATGACATCGGCTCGCAAGCCCGCTTAGGTGGGCCAAAGGCTCCTCAACCTTGCCTGCATTTTGTATAGTCTAGTTTTTGGATTTATTCGCTTTTCAATGTTTAAAATCAAAGCATACAAAAGTCATTCCCAGAAGCTTGTGCATATCATCCCATGCTGAATGATCTAACTAGTTGGTGGTCTTGGCGACTTGTCAAGTTGACAACCACACCTTTGAACCATTTCAACCACACATCACAAAACACTTTTCAACCACAACCTCATGGGTCACTTGCAATCAATGTTCTCAGTTTAAAGGTAAAGTCGATAGTGCTGCTTCATTTCATGTCTAACTGCCGCACTTTTTAGAACACAAAGAATTGGAAAATCTCCATCTCCAACGGGTCAACAGAAGAGCTATGTCGCGAGTGATTGAAAATTCAGCTCGAGAAGCTACCACTTAATACGCCAAGGGGATCTTGAATAACTACACAAATAAATATGGAAGATATCAATCGGCCTAGTGACATGGCTGGGAATTAGCTACACTAGTTTGACCATTGCCGGGGACACAAACAGGCCAGCCGCCACAGGTTTCCGTTTCGAAAGCATCATGGATTTCAATGCTCTGCGGTCGATTTTGAATCCCGTTGTCGGATAGCTTGAAAGACAGTGGACTCCCCCGGTCAGCCGCCTGAGGCCGGTTAATTTTTGTGCCGCAAATTGCTCCACTTCTTGTCTTGCTACATTGCTGTTGGCAGCATGCTCTGGCTTCAAAATAACGAATGCCGCTGGCTCATCTATCTGGCTCTCATTGTTGCGGAGGCCGACCACCACAACGCTGGCTACGGCTGGGTGCTCGAACAAAACCGATTCTAGCTCGCTAGCGGAAATGTGGGATCCATAACCTTCACCCACTTTGAGGAGCTCTTTGATGCGATCAATGATGTAGACGTTGCAGTCTTCATCAAGGTAACCGTAATCTTTTGTGTGAAACCACCCTTCGCTGTCAAAATCACGGTTGGCAGCGTCGTTATTTTTATAGCCTTTGAACCGCGCGAGCTTGTTGCGGACCAGGATTTCTCCTTCTTCGCCTACACCACACTCGCATCCAGTTTCCGTGTTGATAACTTTGGCTTGTATCCCGTTTACCAGAGTTCCGCTCGAGCCGGCTTTTTTAGACGACTCATCTATCTGAATCGCGAGCAGCATTGTCTCCGACGTTGCCCATTCGAGTGTCAAATGCACGCCGCCAAAATTTTCCGAAACCGTGCGGCGCAGATTTTCATGCATCGGTGCTCCGGCGGTCAACAGCCACTTTATACTGCTCACATTGACACCGCTCACGTCACATCGAGCCAGCCTTGATGCAAGAGGGGGGGTAATAAAGAGGAAAGTGATATGGTGCCGTTCAATTACACCAATATTCGATTCATCGAGGCTTCCTTGTGTGAATATCACTGGAATACCTAGTAAGATGTTCAACCCCATGTGCAGTTTGGCATTTATAAAGAAACCAAGAGACAAGGAAGATAACCACACATCTTTGTCTGGATCCGTGTTCTCTGGGACTGTCAACTTTGTTGCTTCCATTGTGGCGATAAAATGCGCATGGCTTGTGACCACCGACTTCATAGCACCAGTGGATCCACTAGTCCGGTTGATAAAAGCGTCGTACTCGTTCGCCTCCATCTCGGTGTTAAGATCGAAGACGTTAGCAGTTGGATCGCCAATCTTTATTAAATCGGCCATGCAACTCCATCCCTGGTTATTTGCGTCCATTGTCATCAAAGGAATGACACCCGCCAGCATTGATGCTACCTCGGCCAAGAACAGAACCTCTGAATCAGTAATCAGAAGCTTTGCCCTAGCCTGCTCCAGCCTCGCGGCGACGTCGGTCTCCGACATTTCCTTTTGGATCGGAATGAGCGCAATTGTTGCCCCGGCCGCTAGTGCTCCATAATAGGCTATTGGGTACTCTATCTGAAATATTTATACCGATTGTTAGAGCCGCAACCGCGTATTCATGGGGACGGAAACCCGTACCCTATCTGTGGCTAGGATGCACACTACATCCCGAGGCCTGATGTCATATTCCGTCCGAAGAGCGTGTGCAAATTGCCTGCTCTTCCGTTCAAGCTCCGCCAACGTCAAAGTCTCTTCCTTGCCATCGACACGATATAGCACCCTGTTCCAGGGATACGCTCTCCGGCCATGGTGAAAGATGTAGCTAAATACATCTGACCGGGGGGGCGGAGGGAGTTCAAGCCTAGAATCAAAGATCATCGTTGATATGTCCCAAAACGTGATTGGATATTGCGTATGGAAGGGTTCAAAAGAAGAGGCTTGCTCTGGAGTGTCCAATTTGCTCTTGCGAGCACACCCGATGATATATCGCAATCGCCTGTTCGGCCACAACAATCTTCATCGCTTTCTCTTTTTCGATCAGCTACTACACTGAAAACCCTTTATGCAACTGGGGCCAAACAAGTCCGAACGATGAACCAAGATCTCCGGCCTCGTAGTTTCATTTACTATAGCAGCTAGTGGTCCTCATCTATGCCGAGGGCATTGAGGCGATGTCTACGCCAACGCAAATGGCTGCCGAGCAGAACACTGATGACCAAATTATGCCATTTTATTGCCCTCTTTTATCCGAAAGGTCGTGCGAAATACATCATAGCACTGACTTGTTCGATTGCTAGTGCTCATCAGGCAGCAACCTTCATGTCACAATTCCTCGACCGAGAAGAATATAATGCAGGTGAGGCGCAAAACCAGCCGCAGGGACCAAGAGCTAATAACCACTAGTTACATATAACTACACAATGTAGCCCCATTTTGCCGAGCCTCTCATAATTGAAACTAATTATACCTTGTCTAGACTCTAGTACCACGAGACCAAGGTCTATTAAGATATTCATTGGTAAGTGTGAATTGCTTTCGGTCTTGGAAGGTCCAAATGTGACTTCATGCCACACCGCCAATCAACAATGATATGCTTTGATTGTCAAATTTTGAAGCCGCCAGTTCAATATGTTGGTAATCCCGGCCTACAACAGGCTCTTGACGAAAAAGTCCTCAGCTGGACATGCTGTTGACAGACTTAATTATGCTTTGCCTTAAACATGGACAATAAGCCGCTCTTGAAGTTCCAAGAGGGGGGTTGACCCTGGTTACCGGAAAACGACCACCAGTTGGCTTGGGACAGATCAGCTGTTACGACCAAGACGGTACCCAGTGGACGCCTCTCCAGTGACTACCACCTAACCCTGGAGAACGCGCCAATTGGCGTAATCAGGGGAGCTGACCTTATAGCCCTTGTCCGATGGGTTGGTGGACCCATGGGGTGCTTCGTGAATCCCAGAGATTCCGGGATCCTATTCAGCGCACTTTTCTGCCGGAGGAAAGAGGACCGGGTAGAAAATATGATACTCATACCGGAGTGCGATATACCGGCCAGCATATTGCATATCGTCGTAACAAAGTCTTTCCGGACATGCGTTACTCATGCATGTGTAGTACCTCATCACCCCGATGACTTAGGAGTTTCGGGGTTGGTTCAGCCGCAGAATTACCTAGTAGAATCACTTGAAAAGGATTTGCGTATTTGATTACTCTCGCATTTTAGCCCAGGTACGGAGTAGTAAGTTTTGCACTTCCTTTGGCTTCATACTAATCTACCGTACATGTGGCCTGAAAAGAGTATATAGATGACTTTTATATAATTTACATTATAACAAGGAGGACGCAATCGGTTGGCTCAGCAGCGGCAAGTACAGGAAACTAGAAGAAGTAGAATAGCTTCCACCGTTTCACCCGGGTGGCCCAAGTGAAAAAGTAAACCAGGATGAAACTCGAGCAGGTGAAAAGGACGAAAATCGCCCAGGAGCCCCATATTCCCCCGTTTCTGTCCTTACCCAAACTGAATCCTTCCAAGTATTGGTTACTATTGGTCCATTGACAAATGCGACAGTGGTCTGTTGCTTGAGGGTTCAAAAGCTGTGCTTGGGCGGACGCCGCCCAAGAAGATATATAAGAACCACACGTTTGGTTCCCTGGCGGAGAGATTGTGAAAACATCGCTTTGATCGCAGACAACTTGTTGGTCCTTGACTACAGAGGTTACCAGACCTCCAAGGAGGTAAGTGAACGGACTCAGGTAATATAGCTAGGAGAAAATTAGTAAACAATTTGTTGCTAGCAAGAGGAGCTCTATATGTGTGTTGAGGGGGTGATGGGATGGACCTCTTGCTATGAGCTTGAGGAAGCTACTCACCCAGTAACGCCAGAAAACCTGGATCTGGTCATATGGAACAATAATTCCATTAAACCAATTGACCGAGCAGACAAGGAACACCAGGACGTTCCCGGCAAATCCAAGATCTGGGCTCACAGCCATCATGAACAAGCCGAACAAAATCTAGAATCATAGTCTTCAGCAAACCTTTTGATTTGTCGGGGGATAGGAAATTAGGCTCACCTCGAACACTTCAAATGTCAATAGACTCAAAAAAACATAGCCGGCCGCTTCCCCGGTAGGAAGCCCACAAAGCCAATACCAAATCACGTAGTACAAGAAACCACAGGCTAATGCTCCAGGCATTTCCGCTAGTATGCTAGCGTTGCACAGCGCCACCCATCCATATATCCGTGATGGGCCTTCTCGGGCTTCCCATAGTAGGCGAGCGAAGAAAAATCGTGCAAGGATTGTGTTGACAATAGTATTAACTAAGAGAATGATGGAGAAAACGCTTAGAGACCTATTTGAATGTCAGAATATGACGTACAAAGCTACGAGCGAGAGTATTTCTTACCGATTCTGAAGGTCGTGGGGAGAAGTGCCAAGCTTGAATATCGTAGTGCCAATTAAGACCGCGTGGACGACATGAACCCAGATCTTTGAGTACATATACGGCGGATTGCGCCACTGATTCTTCAAAATTCTCTTTGTCAGGAGCCATGTCTGGACGAACGTCGAGGCATTGAACATGTCATCTTCGTGTTCGCCCGGACTGTCCACCTTGCCGCTCGTAGAAATGCGATTGATTTCGTTCATGACCTCAGCTGCCTCTTCAGATTCACGCCAACGCTTGGACCATTCGCTTCCTTTATCATCCTTGCGCGCATTTATTCCTGCACCACCGGCCTCGAGCACAAACTCGGCAGGATTTGTATCAGGCGGTGGGACTGCTCCATGTTTTGCGAAATAGCTCAAAACGCTATGACTAGAACCGAAGCTATAAGTTCCAATAATTAGCAAAGCCCATTGAACCCCATATTAATCTGGAAAGACTTACTAAAGCTGTTCTCCTTCCGGTGATAACGCTAGCACTTTATCAAATTCTGAGAAGACAAGAGTCGACGGCTGATGGATAGTCACCATGACTGCTTGACCAGCATGTGCTAGGCGCCTAAGATATTTGACGAGGTTCGCAGCTCCTTCCGAGTCTAATCCAGAGGTCGGTTCATCTGCAAAAAGCACTTTCGGCCGGGCCGCAAGTTCAACGCCGATCTGAAAGGAACAGTTATCAGCACCTACTATGTCTTAGCAGGCTGGACCTAACCTACCGTAACTCTTTTGGTCATCTCTACGCCCAGTCCGGAATTTTCATCGCCAATCAATGCGTCTTGCACGTGCCTAAGATCCAGGAGATCGAGAACATGTTCGACATACGCAAGTTTTTCAGCCCGTGAATAGATATTTGGTTGACGCAAGAGAGCAGAAAATTCAAAGGCCTCCCGAATGGTCGATGTTGCATCATGAAGGTCGTTTTGTTGCGCGAAGCCTAATGAAAAATTGTCAGGACACGCTGTTGATCCAGGATCATTTCTCGAAACAAGCGGTACAAACCAGTCGCCCTTTTATAGGCCGTGCCAATGGGTTCATTTCCAAACTTTATCTGCCCACCCACTCGGCCTGTTACGTTGATTTGACTCAACGCCTTGAGCATAGTTGTTTTCCCAGCACCACTAGCACCACAAATGGAGACAAAGTCGCCAGGGCTAACGTATGCGGTGATTCCTTTGACAATATGTTTCTCTTCAATATCAACCGTAAGGTTTTCCAAAGTCAGCGACGGCCCATGATGCTGAGCCGGAAGCATTTTCTCGTCGCCCGAAAGCTCTGGTGTGGAGGGTAGCTTTTCCACATCGTTTTGCACTGCTGTCACTTCGCCTTTCCTTGATTTTCGGCGAGAAGTATAGACTATTGGGGCGCCTCCTTGTGGAGTAAATTTCATCATCTCACTTCCAATGACACTTACAACAATATAAACTGCGATAAAAGAAAACAGTATCCCGACGTTGCGCCACTTATGAGAGAGATAAAGCCCGTTTGCCTCGGCATATTGTTGGCCCGGGATTGATTGTTGGCCTTGCTGAGCACCCGGGAGCGCGCAAATTTGATAGTCTGGATCTGCATTCGTGATAGCTGGAATCAATTTCCCGTTACATTCAAGTGTGAGGCCGTCAAATTCATTAACGAAAACCTTTTTAGATACCATTAGCATTACTCTATGAACAGTGAGTGAGGCCCACTTACACTTTCGTATGCATAATTCATAGGGCTGACATAGTGCAACCAACCAAAATAAGGCCTCATGTCCTTGGTAGGAACTAGGAAACCAGAGAACAGCATGGTGATCGTCGAGGCAGTGCCACCAAAACGGAAGCCTTTAAGCGCGAGATTAGTAGGAGAATCCTTGTGAAGCAAAAGAAACAACTCACAGTCATCTAAAGTTGGGACATAGTAAGCGAACATTCTCAAGAGGTTGCTGAAACATACAGTTGACAGGACCAGAATAAAAAAGAAGTAAAAAAATTTGCCAGCTGAGATCTGCAGGCCAGCCAAGAAATAAAATGTAATCACAAATATAATGTGCTGAAAGACGATCAAAGGGATATCAATTATGACTCTGGCTAACGCAACTGCAGACGGACGGTACATGTGCAAAGCCGCTATGAAAAGGTCAGTTAGTTCGTATGCAAGCAACCTCGTCAAAAGGAACATTCCGCTGCTTACCCTGGCGTTCAAGAACTGGGCGATTGGTATGCGCATCGAACAGTTCCGGAAATTGGAGCCAACCGTTGAAAATGAGGGCGAAGAAGAGAAGACCCCCTCTTGTGAAAGCACCTTGTGCATCATTTGATATATCGAAGTATTCGCTCCCGATGACCAGACAGAGAATGACGGTGGTGAGCCATTTAAAATAATGAACCATGCGCTGGCCTCTGACAAGTTGGACCTCTCTTAAAAGACATTCCCAGATTTGTAACAGGTATGGTAAGTTGAAAGATGCTGTGGTGCTCGTTTGGCGCGTTTGGCCATGGTGTTGGCGGTGACACACTTCTACCTCCCTACTTAGGGAGGCAAAATAAGGGGAACGCTTAAACTCGGCGACAAAATCAGCGGCCGTGCGAAGGTCCGCGGCACGACTTCCGGGTGATACCCGCCGCTGCAAGGGGTCTGTGACATTGGAAAGAAATTCGGCGGTCGTTTGGCCTTCGACACGCACAAATCCCAAATCCTCGAAATATTTCCGAGCTTCGTCAATCTTACCAAAAAAAGCCTGTCGTCCTTCATAGATAACGGTGACTTTGTCAAAATGATTGTAAATATTTTCTCCAGCTTGATATAGCGTTGCAACTGTCGTTCTGTCGCCTATATCAGTCATTGTTCGAAGAGCTTTGACAAAATCAAGAGCAGTGGAAGAATCGAGGCCCCTGGTCGAATTATCGAAGCATTGCACCGGCGATCCTGCTGCTAAAACTTCTGCAATGGAGACACTAATTTTCCCAGTCACTCAGTCAGGGTATTAACTTGGGAGGCGCGGAGAACAATTACCGTTTCCTCTCTCCGCCAGACACACCAGGGAAAAAAGCGCCACCAACGGGGGTGTCCAAGGCATGCTCGATCCCAAACATTTGCGCCATTGTCTGAACTAGTTCTTCGACCATCTCGGGGGATCGCACGTTATAAGCTAGACTCATTCGTAAGGCAAACCGAAGGGTCTGGCGCACTGAGAGCGCTGCAATGTGTTGATCTTCCTCGGGCAGATAAATGGTATCTCGACGGTGACTTCTCCCAAAGTCCGCCGCCGACGATCCGGCATATTTCAGATCTCCGTGGACGGAAAGTGTTGTTCGATTCGCCAGGGTCCGGAGGAAAGTCGAGCAACCGCTCCCTGGTCGTCCCAAAACCAGCAACATCTCTCCGGGCCTCACAACCCCGGTAAAATCTTCGAGGATATTTCGCTGCCCCAAAGGCTCCTTGGCCGTTTTTCTAGAAAAAAGTAAATTCTTGACGAAATTGAATTGGTCAACTCCAAACGTGTTTAGGATGGCTTGTGGAAGCGTCTTCACAATCACCTCGCCCGAGTCGGGGGCGGAAACACTCAATCCCTGAAACGTGACGGGGACATGTTTGAGATGTGTTCCAGAGCCGCTCTGCTTCTCGATAAAGGTCTGAACAGCACCAAGGCCCGGGATGGAGGCCTTGGGAATGGGCTCTTTGGACTCTGACGATGTTTCTGGTGTGCTCGACATGGCAATCGTCGATCCTGGAGAAGGAAAGTAATAAAGAAACAGAAATATAATTTATCAAGACGTGATATAACAGATAAACCGCCTCAACATCTACCACAAAATGCATTCGATGAGCGCCGCAGTTGCTCAAGGAGGTTGGTTATGCCAGTGATATTTCAGCCTGGCTGTTGATTTGCAGCTGCAAAAGTGGCCATAGCAGCATATATCCATCTTCAAGCTGTCCATGATTGACAATCGCTGGCCTGCGTGTTTTCTCGCGATCGCATGTCGTCGTCCGCTGAAGTCCAAATTCCCCCGAGAAGCGCTTCACGTGATGACCTCCCAACTCCGAGCCAATGACGACGGTTCATTTCATTATTAATGCATCGGAGCTGGCATGCTGGCTGCTGCTGGCAAATGCCCTACAGCAGGCTTGTGCCGTGTGGCTTCGCACAGAGCTCAGGCATGGTTTCACTAACTAGTTAATTAGTTAAGATGAATGCGGGCTCTTGCATTTTCAGACTCAAGAGCCGTGGAATATAGGATGAAAGTCCCTCTCTCGCGCACACAAGCTATCTACGGTGAATTAGATACGGAGAGCGGCACTAGTGTTCGAAATATCAACTAACTCGCCTGGTATACAACAAGTATCAAGTGCATACGTAACTATAGGGTGCTGCGCTTGTGCAGTATATTTAGCATCATCCACAATACAGGCGCGCGCCCTTAACTATATAGTGTTGTAGAGCAATGGTAACTATGAAGATTATTGATGAAAAAAAAGGTTTTTGAGGCTAAGAACGAGCTGAAAATGCGGGTTCACCCGGAGGGTTATTCAATGTCTCTCCAGCTGGACTCTGGATTGACCTTCGAACAAGCTAAGATGATTCGTGTCAGGGGTGGAAGAGTAGAAACGTCCAAATTGCCGGTACTATCCAAGTCAAGGAGTTCCCGCAGCGTCGAAGCTGGTGATATGCGGCAAGCCTCCTCCCGATATATTAGCCATTGCCTTTCATCGCATGCCCGCCACATCTGCTCTGTGGCTGGGAGAGGCATCTCGAGAATCATCGCATCATCTAGTGGTTCAAAATAGTCATGATGAAATCTGCGAGATTTCGCGGCGAGAACATTGATTAGGTTCACAAAGAAAACATTTCGCCGCAACGATTCAGCGAATCTCCACCGAGGCCAGTCGGTCTCCTTGTCCGGTTTGATGGCATATTTGTGTAGGCTACAGAGTCGTCGGGTCATCTATTGTAACAATGAGCTCTAAACATTCAGAGAGAGCGAGCATCAAAGATAAGGTATGTTGAACCTACCTTCAATAAAAAGGAGCTATGCCACTCAGCCGCCAGTTTAGATTCCTCCCGCTTTCGGTCTCCTTCCTTATTAGGACTCCCTGAAGAATCATGGAAGAGACCAAGGATCTGATAGATACTGACAGCATGGAGCGCCGCGAGGCATGTTTCCGGGCGGTCACTGTACAAGTGGAACCCTCGGATCAGCTTCTCCCGCTGGGTATTAATCATGGTGTCGACGAAGTTCGAACTGGACTCAACCGAGTTGTCATGCGCGGAGATACAAGCAAGTGCAATTCCTAATGGCTCTGCCATGCCGGCCTTGGCGCAGCGATAGAGTCGATGGTGAATAAAGGGCGACCAAAAATCTCGCTGAAGCATCCTTTTAGGGTATTCGCAAACCATTCGGAAGAGCTCCTGATTCAATTCTGCGGAGCTCTCAGAGGTCAAAGCAGAGAGACTAGGAACGAGGTTACTCGCAAAGGCATCGTCGTCGCCGTTTATGCCGCCATTAAACGGTGGGCTGTTGAATGAAGAAGCGCTCGATGGGGCCATAATAGTGGGGGCTTGTGAAGGGGGCAGGCGTTCACCAGGCAAAAGCTGAAGGGAAGGTGTCCTTGGTAGATACGATTTGACATCAGGTAGCGCAAACGTTGAAAAGGGGTCGCCGATGGTGTTGGTATGGTAGTCTCCTGCGAGGAAATCGTCCAGCGACGCTGTCAGATCCAGGCCAGGAAAACTTCCGTCGCTAAGATTCTGCAGCATAAATTCCATGCTGCCAGTCTCTGGGCTCCATGAGAATGCGGTTATATTGTCCTTATCTTGAGCGGAAGATAACGGACAATTGGCGCTGAGAGAGACGGATTCGGAGACGGCGACATCTGGAGGCCCGCTGGTCGACGTAGGCTCCGAAATCATTTCGCCCAGCAAGGTAACATCAATCTAACCGAGCAAATGCAGAATGAACCCGATTAATGCCACACTCTTTATTGCGCTTCATTTCGAAATAGGAGGAGACATACTTGGGTGACGCGAGGAGCCGATGGCGGATAGTGACACGGGGTCTGGGATTGGACGCAACGGCTGCATGCCGGTCGTGTCAGACAGCATCGAAGCTTTTTCTGTGCGCATGTCGCGCAGGATTTGCGCTTGGACATTCGTTCCTGATTAGCAGATTTTATACAGCGGCGCCGATGACGATCTCGAAGGTCGCCTAGTGAGACGCAAGAGAGTCAGCTCTTGTAGGTGAAATAAGGAGCAGTGTAACTATACGCCGACTGTAGGACTTGTTGCATAGACCACATTTAAAGTCGACATCATCAGAAGAGCCGACATGACTATCTGGCTGATTCTCCATGCGGTGGTGCGTACTGGGTAGTCGAAGCGGAGCGGGTTAGACGTCAAGGTGAGCTTCTGGCTACTCGGCCATTTCAAATAATAGTCTCCTTTGACTATCTTTAGCTAGATAAATAGTTAAATGTGCTTGTGAACAAACTGGTCGATGCAACGAAGCTTGGGAGGGACCAGGCCCATGTTCATGAAGATGCCCTATCAGCAATCCTAGAACTTGTTGGGTCGCTCACTAGTTACAGTATTATGCAACTAACTAACTAATAGAGTCGCTTGGCCGGGGGCCCTCGCGCCCTCCCTGCGGCGAGTTCGTTAACTAGTTAGCGGCATTTGGAGGGATTCACTACCTTCTCACATCTTGGGAGCGCGAGGTAAGACTGTAATCAAATATCAGAGGGACCGACCTGTTCAAAACTTTGGGGCTTTTGAGTCCAGCAATATCAACGTTGAACAAGCCTTCGCCATTGCACGGATGGGGCCATCGCACTTGTTGCTAGCACTGCCACTGGCCCCTAAGCAATGGGATTTCCTTGCACCGTACGGAGTAGTTACAGAGTAGTAACGATGCATGGACATTCATCTCCGCCTTCAGTGGTCGTCTGAATGGTCGAATTTACAAATCGACCAACCAGTGGTGAGTCCCAGGCGGTCGTTGCGAGCCTTGCTGAGCCATCCCAATAGGCCCCAGTATAGGACGAAAGGCTGCACAAAGACAGGGATTGAATGCCGGGGCTGGGAAATAAGTTCGCCATCGTATAATTTCCGTCGGCGACGGATGCATCAAGGGCGTGGCGCGTAAATCCATTCTGTCGAGCGCGTTTCGGGTGTAGGCGATCTAAAAACGTCGATATCGTGCTTATTTGGGTTGATCGTAAGGCTAAACACATCTCGGTTTCTAGCTTTCGACAGATGTTGTTGTTGAGGCCGACGCTGGAAGCTCAACATCAACCAGCCAAGGGAGTTGTTGTTCTCCCTCCAAACTCTGGATAGCTGCATTAACAAACAGAGTCTGCTGTCCCTTTTCAAGGGGGCTTTCGTCTCCTCGGCAGTGGCTAGTCGAGCATACCATGTTTGACCGGTTTCCATCTTTTTTCGCCGCCAGTGTTGCTAACCTTTCAAGGGTAACTGAGCGTTCGTTGTCGATATCCGTGAAATGTGATGGCACCTCACTCGGCTCTTCCCGCCAGCTAACCAATTTTGCACCCCAGCCCTCATGAATGTGCCCAAAACAATGCATACGCGGTCTAGCACGAGCAACAGCTTCAAACAACTTCGAACAATCAGCTCTCTGGCGGGCTTCAGTGTAGTCTAGGATCCCCTTTGGCGGCCCGTGGGTAATCACAACATCGACTCCCTCATCAATGAAAAAGTTGTGCCCTCGTTCCGGATGAAAGGAAAAGCCCCAGTTGGAGGCCGAAGGGACCCATGGGCTGGCATAGACCGTCAAAGAGGCACCATTGGCCAAAGTGAAGTGATGAGATCCTTCCTCAAGGAATATTATCCCAGTCTCCGCAGCCTTGTCTAGGAGCTGGCGTGCCTCTTCAAATTCACCATATTCTTTGATGACGGTATGCATCTCAGACTGTAAGCACGATTCAACGATCTTCTCTTTAAAGACAGGGGTATCCAAAGTAAAGTCGTGATTTCCAGCAATAACCAACTTTAGACCCGCATCCAGATCCTTGAGGAGCTGAATTGTCGTTCGAAATTCTGAGATTTTTGATTCTTGGGTTAGATCGCCGCAATGAATGGCCACATCGGCTTTCACGGATATTCTTGGTGTGAGCGTCTCGCCATGTGTATCTGATATGATGAAGAAGCGAGTTTTGATACCGGAAGCCATGTTTTAGTATAGCCTCTGATCAACATGAATGTAATAGCTTCAAGAAAATAGGTCACAATAAGTGTGAAGAAGAAAAGAGATAATGATCAGTGGCTGCACCCTTTTATACAGTATTCATTGGTGGCAAGAAGAGAAGCCACCTGTGAGTCATAGAAGACATAGTGTAAAAGGAACAGGGCGGTTGATGTATCCATGGATTTTGAGCCGAAATATAGGGCGGTAGGAGCCGTTATTAGGTGTCAACTCTAACCGTCCCTACCGCAAAGGCTAGCTAGTAGGTGAGTGATCAGAGGTAGTATCCTCAAGCTCTCATTTCAGAACATAGAGACATTGGAGGACGTCTTGAGTCTGAAGACATGTAAAGTACTGGCCAAAAATTAGGCAGGCTAGCCACTTGAAAATTCGGTCAAAGAACACTTGTTAGTTAGTTTAGCTGTTGTAGAAAGTTGTTGGTTCAGGGCAACTCTGTAAACAGCTTGTTAGTTACGGTTGTCAGGGGGCTAGCTGACTAACTAGTTAGCTAGTTAGTCTAGTTAGTACAGTAACTAGTGACTCCATTGCATTGAAAAGTTCTATATTTGATGCAGACCTCCAGTAGTTAACAATATGAGTTACTCAAGTAAATAGGCATCAGTCATGAATTTGCAGCTGTCTGGTAGCAATGCTTGTAACATTTCATGGGAGCTACTTGCCCGTCATTGGCGGTTTTGTTAACTATATATGACCGGACTGCTTGACAATCCTACACATACTAAGTACAGGCAGACATTGTTTATGTGGAGGAGAACTTTCTACAAACCTTCAAACTACTTTTTGTTTACATTTAATTGCAGTTAACCCAGAATCTTTGTCAGGGCTTTATGAGCAAGTTCAACTCCTAAGCTGCACAGTAATATCATATCAGTTTCGCGCCCATTATATATATGGAAGGTGATGAAGCACACTTACAATGTAGCAGCATTGGCGGGCACAGCTCGAGCCAACGCAGGCCCGAACCCGGGAAAGAAAGCTTTGACGCCTCCACTGGCGTAAACACCCCGGATAGTACCTAGAATTGTCGGACGACCTTCGGCACTCTGCAAACGGGATTTGATGGTATCGACGGGGAATACTGGAATCCACATCGCTACTCCGGCAGCGCCACCAGCTGTGAGAACAGCGGTGAGGGACAGTTCGCCTGTGACGTTTCCATTTTCATCTTTCGGCGTCAGCCTCCGCTTGATATATTCGTAGGCCGCGAAATATGCCGCCGACCCCGGCCCATCACGCGCCAGCGTCATTGCACTCCCTCGGAATACACTTCGAATCCCGCCCTCTTTGTACAGCTGTCGAACGACATCGATTCCGCCAGAGTATTTTGGATTCTGACCAGGAGGCGGCGGATTTTGGCCCTGGATCTGCAGCAACACTTTTACCCTCTCAAAAGGCGCAGTGATCAAGGTCATTGGGATCGCGGAGAAGAACCCAGCGGCAGAGATTTGGGCGATGGAGTATTGGGGGGTGCCGTGGCTTTCGGGAACAGTGGAGAACGAGCGGACGAGCGTTTTACCCAAGTCATATCCCTGGTGATTGGAAATCAGCAAACAGTGCGGCAGGAGCTTGGGTATGGTAGTTTTCAACGACGTACCCAAAAGCTGACGGCGACTGCCAACGCGGTTAGCTCAAGACATCGGTCCAAGCAAACGAGAGGGAAAAGCAAGACATACACATAGGCGTCACCCCAACCAACGGCGCTGAGACACCAGCATATAGGCCCTGGAACTTGGATGTTAGTTCTCGGGGCCCGTGAGGAACGTAATAGCAATTTTGTGATAACGTACTCGGGCCAGGCCTTCCCTGGCGATTGTTTTCCTGACAACATCGATGGCGCCCGAATAAACCCCTCTTTCCGCGGTTTGTAACCGTACTTTAACCAAGTCAAACGGATGCCCCACGACGACTGCGCACAAGCCGCCAACACCCCCCGCAACGAACGATCGAACCTGCGCGAGAGTGGCGCTGGCCGTTGAAGGGGCGTCTTTCTCGATCCCGCTGGAAACCGATGCCGGCGTAACCGTCGAAGGCGTCGTATCGGCCATCGTAGTATATGGTAACGAAGGGGGCCGCAACGAAAGTGCCAAAAAAAATGAAAAATGAAATGAAAAGGAAAAAGAACGAGAAGATAAGGGTTCGTCTCGCGGACAAAAGGAACCTGCAGTGTGCAGAAGAGGGCGTAAGGTAACCGAAAAGAAACCCCCGGCTCAAGGCAACGATACTCACAAGCACTGGCTAACAACGACTTGCCGCCCTCCTCTACTGTGTCTGGTTATAATATATCTATCTGGTGATTTCTGCTCGCCGCTGCGGCCTTGTGATCCAGCGATCAAGCCGCTTTCTTGGACCTCGGCTCGGGCTCGGAACATTGATCTTCCTCGAAAAAGCAAGCTGACTCAGCATTACCTTGGATTACCTAATTGCGGATAATGGAGAAATAATGATCCGACTCATTCGTACAGTGGTAGGTTACCATCCATAACTGCTGAGCTGTAACTACTCCGTAGTCGAGTTTGAATACAAGCCGTCTTAGCTGCGAAGTTTTCCTGAACAATAAACACACGTATCAAACATATCCAACACCTTTGCAAGCAGGCTCTCTCGGCCCTCCTCGATGGACAATAACCCCGCTTGCGTCAGGCTCGTGCCGTCGAAATACTCCCGCCCACACCGAGAGCAACGACTTGTAGCAAATGGGTCCTGAATTGACAAGAGTGACACGCCACAGCGCACTGGAAGAACAGCGAACACCAGTAGTTAGCGTTGTGCCGAGCTTCAATCATCCAAGTACTATTGGGTATCTTACCAAAGGTATGGCCCCCAAGGCACTGGGATTCCTCCGCAGAATACCAGTCTATACCAGCATCGCATATCTCGCACAGCTCGAAAATATCTTGGCCAACAGCGTGTAGTATTTCTGTCGGCCTGACCGTGATCGATGGATGCAGCACGCCTTCCTCGCTAGACAACTGAACATCCTCAAGGAGGAGTATCTCTTCGCCAAAATTAAGACCCGTGCATTCCTGTAGCCAGCGTAAAGCCGACGCCGCACGGGTCAACAATTCAGACTCACGCCGGAACCGAACCACCACGCAACAACAAGCCGCGTAGAGCAATTTTTTGAGCCAGCGGTCGTTTGCGAAAGCCCTATGTGATTCCTCGAAGATGTAGTGCAAGACCTTCTGCTGCATCCTCATAGCGTCGTCTTGAAAGTCGTCTACATCTTGTGTTGTAGGGTTGGCACCGGGTTTTGCCTGATGACGACTCTCACCTGCGGACGGAGAAAATACTATCCCCAAGCGCTCGTGAGAGGGAGTGATATGCTCAGGCATGTCAGTGGGATGGACGGTAAAACACACCGCTAACCACGTGCCGAAGGACGCCGCGCCCCATCCCCTTGCGGTAGACATGCCTCCCAGATCATGATCCAAATCGAAACGGCTCCGAGAGCTTTCGATTCCTTTGCGCAGCTCCGCACTACATGAATCTTTGACTGGTTCTATAACCCTTTCCTGGTCATGGGCCTCGGAAAGAAGCCGATAGCAGTCGATTGACGACGAAAGACCGACAACTCGGATTAGGGCGCCATCGTCGACCCCATTGTTTATCGAAAGGATTCCTATAAATATCAGGGACGTTTCACACGGTGCAAACAACGAAGAGTGTAGAATACCAGTGACCGGATTCCAATCAACAGAGTTATCACCATCCGGGCTCTCAACATAAGTACTATTGTAGTAGCTCGAGCATGTTAGTTCTTCCCGACCTGATATTGCTTTCGCGATTGAATCCTGGAATGCAAATATCGCACGGCCACCCAATGTGCCAACAGCCAATCCCCCAGGCACGCGCATTTTCTAGAGATAAGTCAGCCCCAATGTATCTAGAACATAGCATGCTGTATACCACCTCATAGATCCATGATAAGGGTCCCGTAAAGTCCGCTGTGTCTACGGCATCCGAAGGGAGATTGATGCCAATCTCGCAAGCTTGTAGATTCCGTACTCCCCATCCCGCATGCCCGTCGAGCACGAAGTTGCCTTGGGCGCGCAGAAATCGAAGTTCGAATCCATATGTTAATGCAATAGCTGAGCTTCTTTCTCCCGCACAATCATCAGATAAGGAGGCAGTGTACCATGGCGTGAACGCCAAGTTTTTAATGATCTGTTTGTCATGTAAGGACTCTGCATATCGCGAGTTGTTCTCGACCTGCGGGAAGGCGGAGTGAGAAGAGGAGAGAGAATAATGGGACAATGCTTCAATCCAGCAATCAGGATGTCTCCAACGAGGCCGGATCCTGAGGAAAACAACATCTCCCGCATCATTCCCTACAGCCAGAAGGTGCACACCCCATTTCCCTGCAGGTTCGGCGGTTCCAGAGTCGGATAGACGGCATGGCGCCGACCAAGCAAACGATCGGATTCTCTGTTTTCTCCTCAGAAGTTCAGTGTCTTCACCTGCTGATTCAGAAAAATACTGCCTGAGTTTTGGATTCACAATCCCTATCCGCTCCCATTTCCCTGCTCCATTACTAGCTTCCCAGAGGGACAACAGCAGGTTGCTCGTCAGTACGGCCAACATGCATCGGCTATACCTTGCGAGGCCGGCGGCGGACCAAGCAATGGCTACCGTGGGACTATTCGACTGCTCCTCACCGACCGAAAAGGAGTTGCTGGAGAGGGGAAATGTCACCGGCCATTCCCCCTGGGTGAAGACATTTGTCTTCAGCTTCGTGATTTCCCACTGTGCACCAACATGAGATGGAGTGAGTTGTGGGCTGGCCGAGCCGAAGTCTTTGGGCGTCTGGTGCGACCGTCAATAAATTCCAATGCATGCTTGCGACAACAAGTAGTTATTTGAGCATGTAGGAGATCGTAAAACAGACCAAAATATGTATGTTTTCCCCGGCGGCGACCGCGAGCTCACCGTCAGCGGACCACGATAGACAGCTGTAGCAGGACGGGTAGGCAGTTAATTGCACGGGCTCGAGCATGGTGAAGTGGCCTTGCAAGTCACCATCCCTTCAATCTTTGCAAGATGCTTGAGGAGAGCTCAGAATGGCCCGCAGAGAATGTATAAAGTTATCAGCGAAAACGGAAAAGAGAGAACTTCCGCCATTGTTTGCACAGTTTGCTCCAGCAGTTAACTAGTTAACTAGCTAGATAGTTGATTGACTGCCATCTATCTCTTCTGAATGCACCCGCCGGCGAGGCCGATTACTCCAAGGCATGTGCAGAGCCAAATATCCATTCCCATCTCTCACTACAAACGATATTTACGAAGAGGGCAAACCTAGGAATCTCCCTGCTATCGGATCCCATTCATCGTCCCATCGTCGACGACTTTCTCTTCTTGCCCCGAGACGAAGTGATTGGAGCTTGGACCTATCCTCTCCAAGGAGATCGACGAGGTGGTTGCAAAGCTCTTCGGCGCTACCAAAGCCTCTGCCGTTGACACCATCTGTAATCAGCTCGTGCCATGACTCGTACCGGTCCCATGCAACTACGGGCAGGCCAGCGCCGAACATATCCACAACCTTCATGGGTAGATCGACGCCACTACTACTTGTATGCAAGCATACACCCAAAGAGGAACATGCAAGGAGCTTTGCGTAATCCTGTATCGTCAGCCACGCGCACCGGATCGCTATTTTCTGCAGTCTTCCTTCCGCCGCTAGAGTAGCAATGCGTTGACAGTACATCTGCTGCAACGGTCCTTTGCCCGTAATAATGACCTCCAGGTCTGGAAGGTTCGATGTCAACGCAGTGGCGTAAGCGGAGTACCTGCACAAAGCATCGAGTAGAACTGAGAAGTCTTCGTCCGGGGTCCAGGAGGTCGAGCTTACGATGAGCTCGGACCTTTTGCCATCACGGACAGCTTTCATAAAATCAGTGGTTTCCGGCAGGTGGGCTAAAAACTCAAATCGCTCCGCCTCGCTGGATACGGGCTGAAACAACGGCGATGGGCGATCATGCAGCACCAGTACAGGAGCTTTGATCCCGACCTCTTCCTGGAGCACCCTGGCCATCGCGTTGCTCACGCAGAAATTAGCCGTCGCGAAACGACAAACTCTCAATTCATGATGCCGCAATAGTTTAACCATCGGGTGCTTGGACCCGAGCTTCATCGACAGGATCGAGTAGCCAAAGTTATGCCAGTCGATGATCAACCGGGTGTTACGTAGCCAGCAAACACACTGGGCCAGAAGGAGGGTGGGGGCCGCAGGAGGATTCTGGTGTTTCGAGGGTTGTAGCTTCAGTATCAGGAGCACCGTGATCGCAGTTGCCAGGCTGATCGGGTGTCGAACGCAGGATATATTGGCGGGTTGGCACTCACCTGGACGAGCATCCATTGCGCGGGTTGAGAGCGATATGCGAGGGCATCCCAAAGACACCACGTTTGGTGGATCACCTTCCAGATCGCCAGGAACGGGAAAAGCAGCTTGCTGTCGCTTTGACAAAAGGTGGGAGGAAGCGGCAGGGCAATGATCGAAACTCGAGGGTTGGAGGTGAGCTGGGGGGGCGGCGCTGACGCTATAGACAGAGGCCCGGATCAGTACGCGTAGATAGTAGAATGCTAGACAGCAGACGAAGCAGCAGGAAACCACCTTGATATCCGATGATTGTTACCTGGCCGCCATGCCTGGCGATGCTCTGCGCGTGGTACTGCATTCGTGGGCTATGGCCAATATCGCCAAGGACCACGATCTGGACTGGGACACGGCGCGCTTCCACCCCTTTTCCCGAGGAGGCGCCATTGACGCGGGGGTAGGCGGATGGCCTTTTGTTCCGTAGCAGCAAAATGCAGGCAATTGTTGTCGCGACTAGACAGGAGAGGCACGCCGCGACGAGGCCGGGTAGGGCGGCCATCTGACGAATCCTCTGGCGCGGGCGAATTCCTGCACAGCAGCTCAATGCATCTGGCAATGCGCGAGAGAGAGCCGCGCTGGGTGGTTGGGATCGATGGCTGTGGTGCTGATTCCTGGAGGATGGGAGTAAGACCGAGTTGCCGGCTTGGGAGTGGCAGCTTGGCATTTTCCCCCTTGTTAACAAACTAGTGAGTGAACTCCTTATCCTTGCGGTTGAATATTGCAACATTCACCACCGCAACGCAACACGGCAAGGGGGACACTCTGGTCTTAACGCCATCACATCCATCGGCAATGTCTGCTCTCCCTCTGTGATTGCCGTCCCTCTGTCTCGCAATCCCCATGGAGAATGTCCGCCACCCTGATTCCGCCGGTCACCAATGGTGTCCGCCGCGGACGACCTCAGCACGCCCACTCTCATAAACGTTCACAACATGCCTCGCTCTCCCATCTGTCGCACCTCTCCCCCTCCCAGACAGACCTTCTCGCTCCTCCGTCCTACGTCTTTCCTTCCTCTCCACGCTCGCCGCGCTTCTCGGCTGGGATGATGGCAAAACCCGCCAGCCTCCCATTCCACGACGACGACGCTTCTGACGTGGCAGCAGAACCTGAGAAGCATGCGCCGCATCCTGTCAAGGTGCCAGAACACAAAGGCCCTTCCCGCGCTTCTCTGTGGCTGTTGAAATCTTCCGAGCAGTGGCCTCTCCTGCACGCGATCCTAAAGGAGCGAGACTCACGCCGTATATTTTATTTTATGGGGTAATTACATAAATGCCGGTGATCATCGGGGCCCGTTTTGCAACCGTAGCTAACACTCCCATGACTACTCTAGCCTGAATTTCTGCTTTATGGTCGTCCAGCTGCTCTACGGAATTGCGACAGGTTCGTTGGGCCTTCTCAGCGACAGCATTCATATGTTATTTGATTGCTTCGCACTAGCCGTCGGCCTATCTGCGGCGGTTATGAGCAAATGGCCTCCAAGCGCTCGATTTCCCTTCGGATACGGCAAAGTGGATACTCTTGCTGGCTTCGCTAATGGCGTCTCCTTACTGTAAGCGCAATGCTACCCCCGGGACTATCAGCCTGCAGCAGCGAGCTCATACGTCTTTTACAGGATCATCAGCCTTGAAATCATATTCGAAGCCCTTGAACGATTGCTTTCTGGCAGCAAACTCAACCGGCTTGGGGAACTTTTCATTGTTTCTACACTGGGCTTGGTTGTGAACATGGTTGGCATCTTTGCGTTTGACCATGCACATCATCATGGACACGGTCATTCGCATTCACACGGCGATGGCCACCACCACCATAATGAGAATATGCACGGGATATATCTCCATATCCTCGCTGATGCTCTCGGTTCCGTTGCCGTCGTTGCATCTACGGTCCTCGTGCACTTTTTTGGCTGGCCGGGCTTCGACCCTATCGCCTCCTGTATAATTGCCGTGCTCATCTTTGTATCCGCAATTCCGCTTGTCAAGAGTACGGCCAAAACCCTTCTCCTAGCTGTGCCAGCGGACGTTGAGTACAATCTTCGGGATACTCTCGCCGGTATCAGTACCTTGCAAGGCGTGGTAGGGTACACGGTTCCAAAATTTTGGCTGGACGACACGAACCACGATAGTAAGCACAGCCATGGCGCTGGCCATCACCATCACCATCACAGTCACAGTCACCATCCATGCGACGACAGCTCAACGCACAAGCATGATTCCCTTGCGCACCATCATGCCCAGGCCGATACTCCCGACGAAACGCACACACACCATGTGCTGGGTGTCATCCACGTGATTGCTTCTCGCAGCGCGGCTCTGGCCGACGTCCAGCGTCGGACCGTGGATTATCTGCGTGAACGCAACATGGACATTCTAGTACAGGTCGAACGGGAAGGTGAGGGCCGCTGTTGGTGTGGAGGGGGGAATAAATTCATTTCATGATCGTGCCTTTTGTTGGCTGTTACTTGTGATAGTCACCTTCAATGATTCAGTCATGTACTAGGTAAAATCTTCTTCACAGTGGCGAGTCGCTTTACCTTTCGGCTTGGTGGGTGTTAGGGATGTGGATGGCGTTGAATCCGGAAGGGGTTAAAAAAAATAAAACGGATTAACTTAAGAACTGAATTCAAATACACCACCATAACTAATATTGCTCCGTTGCGATATAACAAAATCCAAGTTCGATAAGCAACGTTGACGTCCTGCCGGACGGTACTCTCGAATTGGTATTCCAAGTGCAATCGGGTTATCAAGACGCTAAGCAGTAAGTCGCATATACATATATAGCTACACATAATTTTCAACTGGACGACCGTCTCACGGCGACGTTTTGGGAAATTCTTCAATCATGGCGCAAAAACTAATCCTAAATCTTTTCAACTCTTTGCACAATAATCGCAGTAGCGGCACCACCACCGTTGCAGATCGCGGCACAGCCATATTCGCCAGGTTTCAGCTGGTGGAGCAAGGTGGTGAGAATACGTGAGCCGGAGCTACCGAGGGCGTGGCCAAGGGAGATGGCACCGCCGAGAGGGTTGACATTGGCATTTTCGAGGCCGAGAATCTTTTTGGATGGGTCAACACTACGGATAGCGAAGAGAAGTGGAAGTTGAGGGCACTTACCTTTTCGTTCGCCTTGATCACTGCAGCAAATGCTTCGTTGAATTCCCAGATGGAGATTTGATCCTTGGTGAGACCAGCTCGCTCAAGGGCAATCGGAACGGCCTTGGCGGGTGCGACTGGGAAATCGACAGGGTCAATTGCGGCATCGGCAGACGACACAATACGGGCGAGGACCCGATTTCCCGAGCTGTGTTCGCGGGCCAAGGCCTCATTGGTGATAACCAATGCAGATGCACCATCATTAAACGTTGATGCATTTCCAGCCGTGACAGTTCCCGTGCCATCGCGAACAAAAGCGGGTTTGAGACTGGCCATCTTGTCGGCACGAAGATCTTCAAAGCCCTCATCGCGAGAAACGACAACTTCGCCCTTCCTGCTTTTGACGGTTACGGGGGCAATTTCATCTGCAAATTTGTTCTCTTTCCAGGCGGCCTGCGCACGTTGATATGAACGAACCGCATACTCATCCTGCTCTTGCCTCGTAATATTGTATTTCTTGGCGGTGTTTTCTGCACAAACCCCCATGTGGAATTGGTTGTATACATCCCACAGGCCATCTTTGATCAACCCATCCTCCATCGTAGCATTTCCGAAAGCTGGCTGCTGACTTGCACGTGGGTAATAGTAAGGCACGCGGGACATATTTTCCATTCCACCGGCAACCTGCGCCTCAGCAAGACCCAGCTGGATGTTCTGTGCGGCAAGAATCACGGCTTTCATACCCGAAGCACACACTTTGTTGACGGTGAGTGCTTCTACAGAGGAAGGTAATCCAGCAAACATCGACGCTTGCCTGGCAGGTGCCTGGCCCACGGAGCCTTGTAGCACACATCCCATATAAACGTCTGTTATTTTCTCCATTGGAATCTTCGACTTCTCAACGGCAGCTTTGATTGCAACTGCACCGAGCTGTGGAGCGGGAACTGTAACAAACGAACCATTGAACTAGAATCTCCAAGTCAGCACGGCATCAAAGAGCGATGAAGAGGGGGTGGCCGGGTTTCGCACCTTCGCGGTGGGAGTTCTGGCCGCACTGAGAATATAGGCATCCTGGATTTCCCTTCGCCGAGCGGTGGACGACGAGAACTGTCGCTGGACTTGAGCTAACCTCTGTGAAGCCTGGGGCATGGATCCCAGCCGGGCAACTGCCCTCATTGAGGAATTCATATCTGCAGCGGTGGAGATATCTAAGGACAGTGTGGTAGGTTTGATAAAAGAGAAACCACAGCGAGGCGAGAGAGGAAGAGAGAAAGGCGGCAAGAGTTGAATCTGCACGTTTGGGGGAAGTGCTCCGAGACTACCCGCCGGCCGGTTTCCCCATCGGATTTGGGGAAACCCTTCCCCTCTCGGAAGTTCGGCCCCGAAATCGCGGAACCCGCCCGTATTATGTCATCGTGAGGCGAGTCGTGGCGTGACCTTGGCGCAGGCAGGCCTTTGTTTCTCCGCGATCAACGCTAGGGCTCAAGGGCTAGTCCCGGTTTGGGCTAGCTCTCTGACTAATTCAACCTCCATCTTCCTGCCCAAAGCCATCTTCATCCAAGTGTCGAACTGTCTGATCAAGACAACTCCATTGACCCGACCTCTTCTCGACTCATTCCAACCGAGCCCACCCCGTTGACGGAAGCTATTCCTTCTGCTGACCACCTGCCATCTTGAACAGCGCTTACCCCACATCTTCGTACTCGTGATCAGTCATGTCAACCTCTGCACGCCGCCGACTGATGAGAGATTTCAAGGTGAGCATCTGCCGACTCTTATCCAAGCACTTAGCAGGCAAGGCCGATATGCAATCCATATCAAGCCAGTTGAAACGTCCTACTGCTAACAGTCGCATCACCTAATAGAGGATGCAGACTGACCCTCCTGCTGGGGTTTCAGCTTCTCCTGTTGCCGACAACGTCATGACATGGTATCTTGGCCCTGCCTAAACCGCTGTTTACCCTCCATACTCATCATCGATGCAGGAATGCCGTTATAATCGGCCCAGCAGATACTCCGTTCGAGGATGGGACTTTCCGTCTTATCATGCACTTTGAAGAGCAATATCCCAATAAACCACCGGGCGTGAAGTTCGTGAGCAAAATGTTTCATCCCAACGTCTACGGAACAGGAGAGTTATGTTTGGACATATTGCAGAACCGATGGAGCCCAACATACGATGTGGCTGCGATACTCACCAGTATTCAGAGGTACGCCACCTGTCTGACTTGATCCAGCGCACATATTAATCAGGGCGGCCCGTTGCAGTTTACTGAATGATCCCAATACGTCATCACCCGCCAATGTCGAAGCCTCCAATTTGTATAAGGATAACCGCAAAGAATATGCGAAGCGGGTTCGGGAGACCGTAGAAAAAAGCTGGGAAGATTGAACTTCATTTTGCGATGCGCCGTCAACTCCCACTACCACTCACAGTATCATGCCATTTATGAATATCCATTACAGAAATCTCGATTCCCAAGTTAGCGACACTTATATGGTTGTGATGATATTTTGCTTTGCATGCGGTCGGCGATCTGCATGGAAGGCATCCTTAACACCTCATTCCTCGGTTAAACTTTTTGTATGCACAGCGAAGGGGTTCTGGCGCTGCTTGGAATGCTTTTAAACGGGAGGCTCCTTTAGTTTATCTAGCTGCTCGTTCTATGACTCTGATCCCCGGGTTTCGCGCACGGCTTAGCCATACTAGTTACAAACATGAAGATACCCTATGCATATGAGTAACTAAGCAGACGCACAAGCAGACGCACAAGTCAAATCCGGAAAGTAGTCGGTCTCTTCAACATTTAAAATATGCGCAGCGCCATTGTTTTACTGGTTTAGTTAGAGGAGCTGTAATGGTTTAAGATTGCCAGATTGAAACGGCTATCGTATGTATGTGTACTCTGTACGAACGCCAAGAAAGCAGCTGACGATGTTTGTTTTCGACGACATTGTCAGTGTTGTGGACGCAACACAGTCATCGCGCGATGTAAATACTTTGTTTCCTTCTTGTCTCCAATCTCATTTCACTCTTTCGTTCATGTGGTCTAGGTTTCGAAGCGGTTGCTTGGGTTTCAACGGTGTTGACTATCTGATCGCCTCGTCCCGTGCTCAACTCGACCCCTAGCTCATTTCACCCATCGCGGCTCGCTTGAGGCAGTTAATCGCCATCCCTCGGACACCAGGCTGCTCTCTTCCTTCGTACACTTGAGTCACTACGGGATCGCTGTCTCTTGCGACCCTTCGCCCCTGCTGAGGCCAAGATGGCGTAAGACTCCGCGCAGCTCCCCCGCTTGTTCACAATGGACGCTGATCGGTGGTGATAGGTCCGGAGGCACTGGGAGTTACAACACCATTAAGGGCGAGTTTGTGGGCTTTTACAAATACTGAGCAGGGTAAAGGTGCTAACCTTCGCTTACTGGATAGTTGTCGCACGATTTCGACCCCAGAATAAGATCGAGGTTGCCAATGGAGGTCAACCAATCGTCGAGATTGAATCAGAAGAAACATGCCGGATCAACGTACGCACGCTTCCCCATATTTATAGCTCGAGGTCGTCTTTATGCAGTTTCGGCTCAGCAGCTTCGCCTGTAAAGCCTCCCTGGTCATCGCTTTGGGGACTGACTTCAAACTGCCTTTAAAAAATCTAGTCGCGAGAAGCCGCGGGTGCATTCACATTCGACCGAATATTCGGCACAACCTCTCGGCAGCAAGACGTCTTCGAATACTCTATCCGCTCCACCGTGGACGATATATTAAACGGCTACAATGGAACGGTTTTCGCTTACGGCCAAACTGGCGCCGGTAAGTCGTATACAATGATGGGGTCCGACATTGATGACGAGGAAGGAAAGGGGATAATACCGCGTATCGTCGAGCAGATGTTTACGAGCATTATGTCAAGCCCGGGCAACATCGAGTATACCGTTCGTGTAAGTTATATGGAAATTTACATGGAACGGATCCGGGATCTTTTACTCCCGCAGAACGACAATCTTCCAGTTCACGAGGAGAAGTCTAGGGGTGTCTACGTGAAAGGTTTACTGGAGATATACGTGTCGAGTATACAGGAGGTTTACGAAGTAATGCGCAGAGGAGACGCGGCGCGGGCAGTCGCAGCAACAAACATGAACCAGGAGTCTTCCCGCTCCCACTCTATTTTTGTTATCACCATAACTCAGAAGAATGTTGAAACCGGGTCTGCAAAGAGTGGACAGCTGTTCCTTGTTGACCTGGCGGGTAGTGAAAAGGTCGGCAAAACCGGAGCGAGTGGCCAGACTCTTGAAGAAGCGAAAAAGATCAATAAGAGTCTGAGTGCACTTGGGATGGTCATAAACGCCCTTACCGATGGAAAATCGACACATATCCCTTACCGTGATTCGAAACTCACCCGTATACTGCAGGAGAGTTTAGGTGGAAATTCCCGCACAACGTTGATCATCAACTGTTCACCAAGTAGCTATAATGATGCCGAAACTATGAGCACTCTTCGCTTCGGTGTGCGAGCGAAGGCGATCAAGAACAAGGCGAAGATCAACGCGGAGTTGAGCCCTGCGGAGCTGAAACAACTGCTGAAAAAAGCACAAAATCAGGTTATGACATTTGAGAAATATATCCCATCATTGGAGTCCGAAATTCAGCTTTGGCGCACTGGCGAGCCGGTTCCTCAGGAAAAATGGGTGGTACTGAGGACTGGAGAGGGAGTCTCTGGCATAAAGCTTGATACTAGAACACCACGTCCGGCCACGCCCTCACGCCTCCAGGCGGAAGTGCGGTCAGAAACACCCAGTAGTAGACCCGATTCGAGAGTCGGTGACCGAGCCGGCACTCCTACCATTGCATTAGAGAAGGATGAGCGCGAGGAGTTCCTACGGCGTGAGAATGACCTCCAAGATCAGTTGGCCGAAAAGGAAACGCAGATTGTAGCCACAGAGAAAGTACTGGTGGAGAAGAAAGAAGAGCTTAAGATAATGAAAGAAACGGCCGTTCGAACAGGAAAGGATAATGAGAAACTCAACGCCGAAGTGAACGAGCTTCGCATGCAGCTCGAAAAGGTCTCATTTGAAGGAAAGGAAGCAGCGATTACAATGGATACTCTCAAAGATGCCAATTCAGAGCTTACAGTTGAGCTAGACGAATTGAAACAGCAGCTCCTTGACGCGAGGATGACCGCAAAGGAAACGAGTGCCGCGTTAGACGAGAAAGATCGCAAAAAGGCCGAGCGCATGGCCCAGATGATGGCTGGATTTGACCTTAAAATGGACTTCTTCTCTGAAAACGAAAGAAAGATTCAGAAGCTAGTTGAGCGAGTGGACTCGTTGCATGCAACGAGCTCGTCAGGAGAAGTGGTTGCCCCGGACGAATTTCTCGATTTGCGATCATCGCTTGTTGAGACGCAGGGCGTTGTCCGGCAGGCTGAATTGGCGATGAATGACCGGGGCAATGCTGCTGCGGACACGAAGCTACTACAGGGGATCGTCAAACTTCAGCAAGAGCTAGAGGCGGCGTTAGAACAGACCCTTGATCCTGCAGATGCGGCGGAAATTAAGCATAGGTTGGAACAGGCTTATGCTGCAGGCAGAGATATTGACACTCTGAAACTAGATAGCTTGCGAAACGAGCTCGCCCGCAAGGACGAAGAGCTCGGACGCCTCAAGCAGTCGTTGACGGAAAGTCGATCTCAGCCGAATGGGTCCGGCAATAGCGCACCCACGATCAATAGCAAAACGCTGCAACAGCAGATCGCTGACTTTGATACTATGAAGAAATCCCTGATGCGTGATCTTCAAAATCGGTGTGAAAGAGTCGTCGAGCTTGAAATTTCGCTCGATGAAGCGCGCGAACAGTATAAGCACGTCGTGCAATCCTCCAACAATCGGCAGCAACAAAAGAAAATGGCTTTCTTGGAACGGAATCTCGAGCAATTGACACACGTACAAAGGCAACTTGTGGAGCAAAATAGCAGCCTGAAAAGAGAGGTTGCGATTGCGGAGCGGAAGCTGATCGCTCGCAATGAGAGGATCGAGAGCTTAGAGACTCTTCTCCAGGAGAGCCAGGAGAAGCTTACGGCTGCGAATCACCGGTATGGCCCCTTGCTATGACTTTTAGACAACCAACTGACCCTGTGCTTTTCTGCCAATGTAGATTTGAAGTGCAACTCAGCGCCGTCAAAGAACGGCTAGAGGCCGCCAAAGCCGGGTCCACCCGTGGCCTGCCATCTTCCGACGGTTCATCATTCAGTTTTGGAGGGTCGCGAATAGCAAAGCCGCTTCGGGGTGGCGGCGGGACGGAGCATCCGAATCCGATTATTTCCAGTGTTCAAGCACACGACTCAGGGAAGGGCAAACGCACCAGCTGGTTTTTCAACCAGCGATGATCCAGGACAGAGGGTAGCTTGGGCTTTTTGTTTGACATTTCTCCACTGGGGTGTTGTCTGGGATGATGATGACGATTATGAGTATTGTTGGATATTCTGTGCGGGTGGCTACAAGTATTTTCCTGGTGCTCTGCGCTGGACCCTTCCTAGTCATATATTCGACGCGATGATACCTATTAGACCTGAATATCACACATTTCGCGGACCTGGCCGTCTCTTTGTTGCTGGTGGCTCAGAGCACAATCACATGATATTCTCACATGCCAACAAGCTCCTCCCAACTGACTTTCATCCAAACTGCGATGCTGCGTCCTCGCTTGCTGAGCCTGCAGATGCAATTCAACTATTGTTATTCTTAGTGGCTTATGAAGTAATTGGTTACTGCTGATTTGTATATCTTTTTGATTTTGCATTATTTCTAATCCTGTCTTTGAACGCCCATCTTCCGCCGCGCTTGGTAGAGAGCACATACTCGCTGTGGGGTTGTTGGCAAGCTCAAGAGCTGCACCAAAGACAGCTGAGCTTTGCCCCAGAGTCATCTCCCTTCCCGACACTCTCCCCTCTCCCTTAGCGGCTATTGTGTCGCCGTGAACATGGGCAAGACCCCAGCTGTTATCTTCGTCGTGAGGTCCGCCCCCCCACCACTGCTTCCGGCGCCGTTTGTGTTCGAATCTTGCTAATGGTCTTTTGGTTCTGCTCGCAGACACGGGGCCCGCCTTGACGCAGTTGATAAGCAATGGCATCTCACCTCTCCCACTCCTTACGATCCCCCTCTCACGTACGGCGGCTGGAATCAATCACGTGCCCTTGGGGTGCGAATCGAACGTCTACTGAGGGAGCGGGAGCAATGCAACCGCAAGCCCAGCGTATCGGAGGAATCGAAGAGTTCGCCAGCTTCGGCAGATGAGGGCCCGAGTCCCAAAGCCGGCCTGCTCGCACCGGGAAGCCCACGGCGGAAACAACAAATCATCATCCACTGCTCACCGTTTCTCCGCTGCGTGCAAACCGCAATTGCCATAAGTTCTGGAGTAAGCCAGGGTCGTGGTATCCGCTCCGATTCACCTTCATCCACTTCCGCTTCCAGGAGCGTTGCGGAGGATGGCTCTCTACATGACAGCTCGACGACTCCACACCCACAACTCGATTCCGAAGATAGTCGGGGTGAGCACACCAAGCCGGATACTACTGCAAATAGAAAAGTTAAACGGGGCTGTTTATTGCGGCTAGATGCATTTCTTGGAGAGTGGTTGACTCCTGATTACTTTGACCAAATACCCCCGCCGCCAGGTTCGGTTATGATGGTAGCAAGTGCAAAAGCCGATCTTTTACGCCCTGCTGAAATTATTGAATTGACATCTCCAGCTGACGTTGTTTCGGCTTCTGGCTTTTTCCCAGGTGGCTGGAATAGATCATCCACTAGCCCTGTCGAAAGAAGTGTTGGTTCCTCTGGAGCCACACAGAATCCTCCTGGCAGATTACGTTCGGGTACCCTTGATAGTGGCTCCGGCGGCATTCATTCTGGCAAGCGGCCGATGCTTTCCAAACTCACCACATCCACGGCGAATACCGACAGCGGTTATATCCCCCCAACGCCAACTTACGCAGTGAAGTCATCAGACCCTATTCCACGCGGGTATGTGTCGCACGCACGCGACGCCTGTGTTGAAGTGGATTATCAGTGGGATAGTATGCGTGAGCCTCAGAACTGGGGAAGCGGCGGAGAGTATGGGGAAGAATGGAGCTCTATGCACGAAAGATTCCGCAATGGGCTGGAACGCATGATAGCATGGTACAAGTCGCGCCAATCGGTGGAGGTTCAAGACTGCAAGGTATCGGATAAGGGCGAAGATGCCGCTGACGATACCGAAACGGTCCTTATTCTGGTTTCGCATGGTGCTGGGTGCAATGCCTTGATCGGCGCTCTCACTAACCGCCCAGCATTACTCGACATTGGAATATCGTCACTTACCATGGCGGTGCGGAAAGCAGAGCCTACGTCTCACCCAGGCGGTGGCCTGTTGCATCAAGACGGCCCTTCCGCGCTGGTTGATGTTTCCGATGAGTATGATGTGAGTGTCCTTGCATCCACTGACCACTTGCGAATGGCTAGCGGCAGTCCCATTTCCAGCCCGGTATCCTCCCGGGGATTCCCAACCCCAGATCATTCTCATCGACAGAGATTTGGTTCGATTTCGAGTTCTTTTAGTTCACGAGGTAGCTTCTCGATGGGTGATTCCACCACTCGAACCTTCGGCTATCCCAAGATCTCGCAGCATACTCCTTCGCGGTCAATGTTTGCGACCCGATCGTCATCGGGGCTTTGGGGTTCCATATCATCTTCCGACCCTGCAGATGATATCATTCCGAATTTTGGCGATACTAAAGATTCTGAAACACCAGAAAAGGGTGCACCAGAGAGTGGCCATATAGCCGTCGAGGATACGGCGGTTACATCACCCACACCACGCGTACGGCAGACTAACTATGGTTTATGGAGCAATGCTCCAGCGACTTCAGATCGAGAACCTATAGGCAAAAGGCGGTGGACCGTCACAGATCATTAGCGTTGCTAGGAAAATTGCGTGCATTCCGGTTGGCTTATATGTAGGAATCGGTACCTTGTGCTTTGAAGCTTTGGGAATAGGACGGCTAGCCCGGCGTTTTTGCAGTGATGACATGGACTATTTGGAATTCTTGACTTTACTATTAACTACTGCCTTTGGCGCACCTCGATGATAAAGCCCGACATGATGTGTGAAAATCCAAAGCCCTTGTTTAGTTAATGTAGCCGCACTGGTGCTGGAGCACTATTAGTTGATCTATTATAGTTAAGTCTGCGGGAATGCCCCGCCACTGCTATTTTTAACTATTGCTCTGGAGTCTGAAGGAACTAGTTAATTAGAGGCCCAGCCTCCCAGCTCAAGCATTAACAGTGATTCAGCATGGATTTCACAGCCATGTTGTTCATTAATCACCCAAAAGGAACCAGCTACAGGCACCATGCAGCCAGCCAGCCCAGTTGATAGTTAATGGTTTGTTTGGGTTGTGTTCCTGATGACTGTGAGGCCAGCCATTGCTGAGCAACCCACCAATTCCCCTCCTCAACCGCCCCAACACTGCACCACGAGCAACAACAAGACAATCCGCGCTTGGGCTTCGTCACAGTCACTCGAGACTGTACCCCCAACTCACCCGGAAAAGTTACCCTTGATCCTCGATATTCCAAGCACCGACCCCCATGTCTGCCACGGAGGTTGCTGGCTTGTCAACGACCTTCAATAGCGGTCGAGACGGGCCCCCGGATCTCCGGCTCCTTCATTACAACGACGTTTATCATGTAGAGTACGTTGAGACGTGTCATACTGCCTTGCTGACAAGCTTGCTAACGGATTGTTTTAAAGAACCAACTCTGCAGACCCCGTTGGAGGGACCCCGCGTTTCCAGACCCTCGTCAACTACTATAGAAACCATTCCAAGTTTGCTGGTCTACCTGAGCTGCTAACATTTTTCTCCGGTGATGCATTTAATCCCAGCCTGGAGAGTACCGTTACCAAGGGTCGCCATATGGTTCCATTTCTGAACCGCGCGGGTACAAATGTTGCATGTGTTGGTGTAAGTGGCTTGTCTGTTTACAGGCTGTGCGACCCAGCGCTAACTAACCAATCGATGCTGGGCAGAATCACGATCTTGACTTTGGCATAGCGCAGTTCAGACATTTGCGTAGCCAATGCAAATTTCCCTGGCTGCTGGCGAACGTCCTGGATCCCACGCTGGGAGAGGGGGTCTCGTTAGCTGGATGCGAGAAAACATGTATGCTAGTATCCTCGAATGGGATTAAAATCGGCGTCATTGGTCTAGGGGAGAGAGAGTGGTATGGTGCCTTTCTTTGCCTTTTCAGTGCCTGATAACTATCTAACATTGAACCTTCCAACCCAGGCTTGCAACAATCAATTCCCTGCCCCCGAATCTCATCTACAAGTCCGCATCCGAAACGGCAAAAGAGCTGGTGCCTGCGCTGCGCGAACAAGGGGCCGAGATTGTCATCGCCATCACCCACCAGCGAGAACCGAACGACAACAAGCTAGCAAACAATCTACCAGAAGGGCTGGTCGACATCATCCTAGGCGGCCACGATCATTACTATCTGCACAATATCATCAATGGAGTGCATGTTTTACGCTCGGGAACAGACTTTAGGCAATTTAGCTACATAGAGGCGTGGCGGAGAAAAGGCGGCCCTGGATGGGAATTCACCATCACTCGACGAGATGTCGTTCGTTCAATTCCCGAGGACCCTTCGACCGTCCACTTAGTAGAGAAGTTGACGTCCTCGTTACAGGCAAAGCTCCAAAAGCCAATTGGATACACAGCTACTCCTCTTGATGGTCGATTTTCTACCGTCCGGACTGGTGAATCAAACCTTGGGAATTTCGTTTGTGACCTGATGCGGTTCTATCACGGAGCAGATTGCGGCCTGATGGCTGCCGGAACAATCCGCGGCGACCAAGTCTACCCTCCTGGCGTCCTTCGCGTCAAGGATATCTTAAATTGCTTTCCCTTTGAAGACCCAGTGGTTGTGATAAAAATAACCGGATTAGCTCTTCGTGGAGCCCTCGAGAATGGGGTCAGCCAACTTCCGGCTTTGGAAGGCCGTTTCCCCCAAGTCTCTAACATTCGGTTTGCATTCTCTACTTTGAAGCCACGTGGTTCCAGGGTACTTTGGGCGAAGGTGGGTGGAGACGAGCTTGATGACCAGAAGATGTACACGGTGGCAACAAGAGGATACATGGCAAGAGGAAAGGATGGGTTTTCGACCTTGCTTGTTCAGAGCGAGGGCGGCAGCGCGGAAGAAGTGGTGTCTGAAGAAGATGGGTTACTGATCAGCACCATTCTCCGGCAATACTTCCTCAGCCTGAAGGTTCTGGGGAAGTGGCATAGGTTTAGTCGAAGCCTCCATCGTCACTGGGAAGGCGTGCACCAGCAGTTGCATTGTGACGGTTGGATTCGATCCCCAAGCGCACAATCTGTGACACCAAATGTGAAATCGACTACCACCGCTCGAAGTCCCTCGCCAACCCCTAGTTTTCATTATGTCGCCCGGAGACGACTCGCAGGCCCTGCGAAGAACATTCGTGCTGCATCACCTAGCGTCGATGATGATAGTGAGGGCAACCTCATGGATACGGAGTCCGACTCGGAAGCTGAAATTCTTTCGCGACCACGGACTTATATCACGAAACTGGCCACATCACCAGATGACGCGGACCACCGAGAACATCTTGCGCGGCAAGTCCTCCGCCGATGGCGCCAGAAGGTCGGATTGAACGATGCCAAGGTGCAAACTGTTGGGGACGCACAGGATGACAAGTTTCCGCCCTGGACCAGAGTCATCGCACCAAAGCTTGAAGATAGAATCATTCGCGCAGATTAGCCGACTAGGTAGCAGATGTTATTAGACGCTCTAACTATTCCCTTGTCTTCTCTGAGAACACAAAAGCTGGCCTCCGTCGCAGGACCCAGAATTAAAATTAGGACGCAACGAGATGAGATGAAACCCCTCGGCAGGGCAGTCGCCATGTTTTCGCCGTCGTACTGATGTTTTAGGGGGCCAACCGTCTTGCTCTAAGGAGCCTTTCTGTGGCGATATCAACACAGCAGGGACTCGCGTGCGCAGACGGCGCCAGTCTGCCCTGCCAAGCCCGCCCGCCGCCTGCCAAGCCCCGCCAAGCCGCTCCTAAACTTGCCAAACGGGTTTAAGCTCCCGACCGGGCGGCCGGTCTTGGCATCACTGGCGGATGCGGCATTTTTGGCTTCGGGACACGCCGCACGCGGACCGGGGGGTGGAGGACGCTCAGCAACGGCGTTGGTTTGATGGCAGAGCGCCTTGCACTTGGGCTGTCCGTTCCATCGCAAATCAAAGTCGCCGGCATGAAAACGTGCCCGAAACTCGCTCTGCGTCAACTTGCCTTGTGCTCTCCGTCCTGGATGCCGTCCTGCAGACTACACTGGCCAACGCTGGCGAGGAAAGGAGGCAGGCGGAGAATCACCATGGCACTTAAAAGGCTCCTTTTGTGCACCATTTTTCGGCCAGCAAAACTGGAGAATCAATCTCAATCAACACCCTCTTGCTTGCCGTCAAGCTCCGTATCAAAATGGCACTAGACCAATACACCTACATCTTTGTCATTGGCACTTTCTTTGCCATGCTCGATGCCTTCAACAATGGTGCAAGTACGTCCACACCCACATGACTCTTGCTGAGCGTGGTGCTGATTCACTTTCTAGACGATGTGGCAAACGCCTGGGCAACCAGCGTCTCCTCGAGATCTATTTCCTACAGGCAGGCAATGATATTCGGCACTATATTCGAGATGCTGGGAGCCATCACCGTCGGTGCACGCACAGCCGATACTATCAAAAACGGTATCATTCCCAACTCGGCTTTCCGGGGTGATGCCGGTGTCCAAATGCTAGCATTTACCTGCGCTCTCGCTGGCGCTTCTACCTGGGTGATGTGGTGCACACGACACTCTGCCCATGTCTCGTCGACGTATTCTCTCATTTCTGCTGTCGCGGGAGTCGGCGTCGCCACCGTTGGAGCTTCCCAGGTGCAATGGGGCTGGAACAATGGCAAAGGTCTTGGAGCCATTTTCGCCGGCCTGGCCATGGCTCCTGCTATCTCAGCCGGGTTTGGTGCAACTATCTTCATGCTCATTAAATTCGTGGTGCACATGCGCAAGAACCCGGTGCCGTGGGCCGTTTACAGCTCGCCCTTTTTTTTCCTGATTGCCGGCACCATTTGCACTTTGTCCATCGTCTACAAGGGCTCTCCAAACCTAGGGCTTAATAAGAAACCCACGTCGTTTATCGCCGCTGTTACTATGGGCACGGGCGGTAGTATCGCCATCCTCGCTGCCCTTTTTTTCGTTCCTTTTGTGAGCGCAAAGGTTATCAAGAAGGATCACACTGTCAAATGGTGGATGTTTGTTATGGGCCCCTTGCTTCTTAATCGCCCAGCTTTTCCAGAAACCGAGTGTGCCAATATTCCGAATTATGCTGTTGTGCAGGAGGAAGAAGGGGACCAATCTCCTGAAGACTCTATCCGTGACTATGACTCTAAAAGATCCGAAATACCTCAAAGCCCCCCTGCAAACAATGATGGCAAAACCCTCGTCGTTACTGAAATCAGTCAGCCCACATACAAGGAATTAATGTCCCAAGGCGAAGCCAAGCTGCATGCGAAGCTCCTGAAGAAACGTGGTCCCCTTGGTTGGGCCATGCGCACACTGCGTGATAACCCTATGGGCGCTGGCGAAATCTATGAACTCGATAATATGAAAATCGCTGCAAGGCGATTGCCCGCCATGATTGTTTGCGGCCTTTTGTACGGCCTCCACTACGACATCCACTCCGCACAGTCCGGCATTGCCGGCACCCCAGAGGGTAGGCGCATGCAGCGGGTATACGCACACGCGGAAAAGTACCCCAACGAAGTCGAGCACACCTATTCGTTCGTACAGGTTCTCACGGCTTGTACTGCTTCATTTGCTCATGGTGCCAATGACATTGGAAATTCGGTCGGGCCTTGGGCTGTCATCTTCTCTGCTTGGTCGACTGGTAATGCCGCTGCGGCCAAAGCTCCGGTTCCCGTTTGGCAACTTGCTGTTCTCTCTGCCTGTATATCAGTCGGCCTTGTTACATATGGATACAACATTATGAAAGGTAGGTTGGACTTACTGGGGTGGAGTTATCACGAATAAGTGTGCTGACAGAGCTTTTGAACAGTCATGGGTAACAAAATTACATACCACTCCCCTAGCAGAGGTGAGTTCCCATTGCGACAACTGACGAGTCAGATGTTTACTGATTCTGATATGATTCGCAGGCTGCTCTATGGAGATGGGCGCTGCCATCACCGTTCTCGTCTTCTCACAGTTTTCCCTCCCTGTGTCGACCTCAATGTGTATCACCGGCGCTACCGTTGGTGTCGGCCTTTGCAATGGTACCTTGAAAGCAGTCAACTTCCAGCGAGTTGGCCTCCTCCTTCTCTCGTGGATTGCCACCATTCCTATTGCCGCAACTTTAGCGGGAGTGCTCATGGGGCTGGTGTTTAATGCTCCCCGCTTTGCCTCCTGACTGGATGCTGAATTTGACTTCGACTCACCTTGAACTTGCTTTGCTGATATAGCTAGGACAAACAATAGATTTGCACTCGTTTTATTTCAATGCTTTTATTTTCCAGGCTTTTCTTTTGACCATCCATTATTTTGATGTAGCTACGGAGTTCGCCGCCATATGTTTTGGTCCTTCCGTATAGGGGCCCCTCCCAAGCCTTCGGCGCTGCTTAGCGGTCCTTAACTTGTAGGGCTGCAGAGAACAACCCCCCTTAACCCCCCAAGATCACCCCTAAACTCAAGCCTGCGAACGCCTGAAAGTGTGGATTCAAGGGGACCAATATTTATGGCGGCGACCTCCGTATGCATAAGCGGATAAGCGGACTCGACAAGGAGGTTGTCAATCACCTAAATAGTTAGTTATAACCCCGGCCAACCTGCAACATAGATAACTGTTATGGTGCATATGATTCAATGTATTCAAAAAATCCATTTCCCTGGTAGGGTAGATATTTTGTTTGATGTACTTTTCTGCCTCAACTAGTCTCTGGCAACTCTGATAGCCAATGATCAGCGTTTATTCCAGATCAACTTGAAAAGTCTGTAACAGATTGAATATATAGACCAATTGTGCTCAACGATATGCAGGTTCTATAACTGGAGCTAACCGCCCAAAATATCATACGTACATACAATAAAGTCAATGATCATCTTTCAAAGTCAAGGCAACCACAACAAATGAAAATGGTCATGAGGCTCTAGGTCACGTAGTTTCAACGTCCACTGCCGTTGTAAAGCAGCTTGTTGGTTGTACCGGTTCCGGGGTTGCTGATTCGCCCCTGGGCCAACTGTATCAGACGGGAGCAAACATCAGAGGCGCGAGTTCCCTCCATGGCCATGAGGGCGGCACCAGCGCCAGCGACATGGGGGGCAGCCATTGAGGTTCCGGACATTCTCCCGGCCCTGCCCCCGGGCATAGTGGAGATAATGTTTGTGCCAGGCGCATAAATTTCAACTGGTTGATATTAGCAGTGGTGGCAGTGGTGGCAGAATAGGTGGCAAAAGAAAACTAACCTGTCCGGCCCCAGTTAGAGAAAGAAGCTTTGCTGTCTTGCTCGGTGGAAGCTGCGACAGTACAAACCCCTTGGGCAGAAGCGGGTGAGGTATTCGCAGCATCCCTCTGGGATAAATGTCAGCAACTGGGAAAATTTGCGTCTAGACGTCGTAACACTTACATTGTCATTTCCAGCGGCAACTGCCAAAAATATGCCAGCATTTTGTGTATTTGTAGCTGCTTGATTGACTGCCGAGGATAGTCCACCTCCCAGGGACATATTCATCACGGCCTTTCCAAGCACACGATTTTGGCGTGCATGATTAACAGCCCAATTCATTCCCCCAATGATACCACTCCATTGGCCAGCACCTCGATCGTTCAAAACTTTCACAGCAACAATCCGCGCCTTCTTAGCAATGCCATATGTAGCACCGGCAACAGTTCCAGCTGTGTGGGTTCCATGGCCATGGCCATCAGTATTTGAGCCGCCTGCCGTATTGGTTCCCCAAACAGCACGGCCACCAAAATCAGGATGCCGAATATCGATCCCAGTGTCAACACCATAAAAGGTGATCCCCTGACCGGCTGTATCATCATAAACAAAATCCGGACTGCCTCTCTGTCGGTGCGAAATCCTCCCAAGTCCCCAAGACGGGGCATTCGGCTGAGTTACTAGAGCGTTCAGCGACACGTGGCGATCAGGCTCAACATAATCAACCTATTAAACAATGTGCATCAGCAGGTTGGGTTTCGGCCAGACACGCCTGGCTGCACCCACATCATCATTTTCAAGGATCGCGCCGAGTGTTTCTCTGTCAAAAGAACCGCTGTACCCATACCAACCATTGATTCTGTAAACGTGTCTTAAACCACCAGCGGTCATAGATCCCCGTTTAGAAAGGTTCTCATGGTGTATATTCGCGGCCCAAGCGAGGTGAGAGTCAAAATCGAGGCTTGAGACGGATTTTTTGAGCACAACTATGTAAGAATCGGGAACGATGTCGTTTTTATTGGCAACATCAAGCAATCGCGCAGCGTTGACAGCGGACAAAAGCTCAAAAGCAAAGGCAACAGCTTTCATGAACCGCATGGTGACGAATGGTAAGTCTATAGGAGAAGCTGGCAAAACTAGATTGAATGCGGGACATCCAGACTTTATATCTGTTGAAGTGGCTATGGCGGCACGGATATCGCCGTCAAGGTATCAAGCAATTCTGCATTACCACGCCTTGAAGTCTCTACGAAGATGCAACCCCATGACAGCACCCTTGGGGTCTGTATCATCATGCGGGCCTTCACGGAGAGAAAAGGTCACGGGATAATAATAAACACTGGCACTGCACAGTGTACCAAGAGGCATGGGCGGAACCCCAAGTTAAAGCATAGTGTGGCCAAGTTGGAAATAGCTCTTTAACTTCTGCAAGCGCTTGTGATGACATTACCACAAAGCTGTATGAGGGGCCAGCGGGCTACAAGAACAAGATCAAGCACAGTAGCAACCAGGGATGTCAAAGCAGAGAATCCCCTAGGCCCCATCAAATGTGCGACGACGATTGCATGGAAAGAACAGACATGTGAACAGCCCAATGGCCAGAGATACTGGCGAGCAGGACGGTGTGATCCCGTACTCCTCACGGTGCCATGGCGATCGTAGCACGAAGCCGGCTGAACGGACTGCAACCAGCGGAATGGATATTGGGTAGCATCAGGAGAGGGCAGCTGTGGTCGTCAGATTCGCTTGCCCCGTGGTGCGGTGTGCAGCGCAACCGCCCGAGGCTGTCGACGGTCTGAAGATGAAGATGAAGATGAAAATGAAGAGAGAGATTTGGAGGAAGGTTGCTCGCGACAGGTCATGTGATGGTAGCGTATTAGTCAGCTGCTTGCCCTTATCCTATCCGATGATCAAGAGAAAAAAGCAGCAGAGAGACTGAGAGAGACAGCATTTCCTGCAAAGACGCAGCACAGCGCAATACAGGCAGCGACAGCATGGCATCCTTGGAGCAGCAAAGCAATGCCCATTCTTCACTGTCACTCGCCCTCGAGACCCTAACGGATTCGGTATCCGGCGCCCTTGCTGCGCTACCGCACGACCAGCCGCACCACGATGCCTCAGACAAGTCGTCCGTCCTCGCACCAGCAGACGGTATTTCCCTTCTCGATACCAAAAACGAAGTGCTGCTCTCCTACCTCCAGACCCTTGCTTTTTTCCTCCTCCTTCAGGTTCGACGTCTCAACGCCCAACCACTGCAACGAGCCAGTGGCCTCTCGCAGGATGTCACCACCCAGGAGCAAGAGGTCGTCAACAGGCTAGTGGAACTACGGAGCTACCTCGAAAGGGGTGTGAAGCCTCTTGAAAATCGACTCAAGTACCAGGTCGACAAAATTTTGAAGGCAGCAGACGACGCTGAAAGAACCCAGCGAATCGCAGCAGGGAAAAAGGAAACTAAACGGAAAGATATAGCCGGTGGCAGTGACACAGACTCGTCGACGGGGAGCAAGATGAGCGGCGCAAGTAGCGACGAGGATGAAACCGAAGAGGATGAAGACATTGACGAACTTGCCTATCGACCCAACCTTGCAGCGCTCTCCAAGGGAACCAAGGACACGGAGAACCCGGCCACATCTACAAAGTCTACACCTGGTGACGGCGTTTACCGGCCTCCAAAGATAAAGCCGACTGCCTTGCCCATGGAGGCCTCCGATCGCCGCTCTGACCGTGAGCCGCGCCGTCCCGCGAAATCCCGTGTGATCGACGAGTTTGTGAGTGCCGAAATGTCTGTCGCGCCCATGGCGGAGCCCAGTATCGGCAGCACCATCCGGGCTGGCGGCAGAGAAGTGCGCACCCAGCGCCAACGAGAGATTGAGGCGGAGCGGCGATCGTATGAAGAGACCAATTTCGTGCGACTGCCCAAGGAGAGTAAAAAGGATCGGGCCCAAAGAGGCGCAAAGCGGCAGGGTGGATTTGGCGGGGAGGACTGGAGAAGTCTTGGGGAGGGTGCGGATCGAATTGAGCGACTGACTCGCCGGAACAAGGGGGCTGGAGGTGCCTTGGAGAAGAGCAGGAAGAGACGGCTGACCGAAGACGGGCCTCGGGGCGACGGTGTCAGCATCGGCGAAGGGTTCGAGAAGCGACGGAAGAAGGTTGCGGGTTGGAAAAAGTAGCTGTCAATTTTGTTCTCGGTGATACCTAACTACATAAACCAAATATACCGTTTGCTCGGTGAATAGTATGCCATCTCACCGTCCAGCGCTGAAACCCTAGGCATTGACGAGCCAGCACAGTCCTCTCCTCTTGCGAACTGCGGAAAACGTTGATTCTTTTCCGTGATGCTGGCGATCTGGCTATGACATCACGGCTGCCATCGTGATAAAAACAACGGATAATATCAGTATCACAGCGACGGCAAACTCCAGCAAGTCATCCATCATGGAAAACCCAGGTACGTCCCGACCTCGAGCAGCGGCAGCTGGACTTCGTTCTAATTCATGTCGCAGTGGCCGAAATCTCGCACGTCATCCACCTCCTAACCCAGTCAACCCCGTCGGTGCAGAGGCAGACTATCGAGAAGTATTACACCCCGTCAGCATCTCTGATTCACCCGTTCTGCCGGACCGGGTCGTTTGGTGGTAGCAGATGGCTGGTCATCTGGATCTTTCGATTCTACAAGATCATGTCGCCACATATTGACTTGAAAGTAAAATCTGTTGGTATGGGAAGACCCGCCCGATGACTCCAGGTCAAGTGCTGATGAAAGCCCGCCCCGTAGCGTTTGACGCGGATAATCTGGTTCTATATGTGACCATATCGCAGATATTTCGGATATTCGTCATACCTTTTTACGTCGCACCAGTCACTCTGACCAGCGTGCTCACGCTTACCACCTCCCAAGGTGGCACGCCGTCCGCGGCCACACCCGTCACCGATTACAGCGATACCGACAGCTACTCCTCCGCCCGCCGCCCACTAGACCTTTACGAAATTGCGCGACCCGCTGACCACGGACTCGCCGATCTGGAATCGCCCTCTCGACCAACCTTGTACTACATTGCCGCTCAGAACGACTTGTACGAGACCTCTGAATTCATCAAATTCGTCGTCCCGTTCGGTGTAGGTAGTACGCTGGTTTTGCTATGGCAATGCTTTGCTACAATATTTAGCGTGGTGGGTGCGGTTGTACTGTGGCCAATATCTTTTGCGGAAGAGGCTGGAATGCTGCCTGTTGCTGAGAAAGGCAATATACAAGACGAAGGACACAGAGAGGGTCTACTGTGGAGGCTGGCCAGGCGCAAACACAAGTGAGCTATTATATGATGATCAGTGTTAAATATGGATTGTGCACAGCGTGACCATGACTACTATGTGAGCAGATATATTCCAAGACAATATGACTGGGAACTCGAGCTATCACCTGAGCTGATGGCCTAGAACCACCGTGCATAGCTTGACATGTAAGATGCTAGGTCACAAGCCTAGTTAACCTTTAGAATGCAAATGCAACGCCAAAGCCCAAGGGGTGGTCAAACAGAATATACGCACAGCCCGTCGACATCGAGGACAGGCCCATTTCAACTTATCTCCTGAGCTTTTTGTCTCAATTCATCCTCCTTCTGAACAACGGTCATCGGCAGGGCCTGCCCAATGCCCATGAATACAAACAACGCCCACTTCCACCGGAACGGATTGATGAGGACCACAAAGACAAACCAATACATGAGCTCCGAATAGGTGAAGAAGTCAAAAGCGCCCGTCGGCGCGAAACGTTTCAGGAGCCTTGTCATATCGATCCAGCGCTTCATCCAGAATTCCCCCGGACGGCTCAGCGGGTCTACAAGGAACATCAGGAGTAGGCGCGTGTAGATGCCAATGTGGTAATTTCCCGCTGTTGCAATTGCATTGACGTACGTGCTGTTGTTGGCGCAGACGCTTGGGAACGCTGGCGGGAATACTTGGAGATACCAGTTCGGTGGTCCATAGGGAGGCTCAAATGCCTCGGAGGGGAGGAATGATAAAGAGGGCCTGGAGAATCCGGTTGCCATGATGATGATGTCGCCCTCCACGAATATCTCATGGCCCGGCCCGGATTTGGGGACGCCCTTGGCGCGGTGGTTGAAGCGGATGCCGTTTTTGGCAACAGTCAGGATATCGCCTCGAAGCCAGCGTGCTTTGCCGTCGCGGATCAGCTGGAAAAGTTGGGAGTTGACGGTCGGGGTATCCATGAAGACGCCTTTACCCGACGGAGAGATGTCTTCCAGATCGCGGTAGAAGAATTTCCGAAGTAGAACCTCCGGGATCCACGACAGACGGGTCTCCTGGCCCAAGACGTTGCTTGCAAGCAGCACATCGACGATGACGTTTCGCGGGATAACCCATTTATCAGAGCGCGAGAGCACATCGATCCGAGCGGCCCCAGCTTCCACTGCCCATTCCAGAGCCTCCACAGCGCTCGCACCGCCTCCGACGACCATGACACGTTTTCCCTTTGCGTCCTTCCCATCGAGATTCGACGAGTGGTAGATTTGGCCCCTGAAGCTCTCCTGGTTCGGGAGTGAAGGCATTTTGGGATCACCACAACTGCCGACGGCAGCGATGATGCCGTCAAAATTGCCATATTTCGACTCTGTGTCGTTGATCACCCACTTGCCGTCCTCGTTCTTCCGCACAGACTTGATCGGCGTGCTAAACACCGTGCGCTCTTCGAGCCCGTACCGCTCCCAGAGCGAGACGATCTCGTTCTTGATCGTCTCCTGTTTAGGATAAGCACTCTGCCATCTTACGGACGGATGGAAGCGGAACATCACGCTGTGGATCTGCAGGGCGGAGGTGGTGTTGACTCTCTATCAGGCGTCACGGATTAATTAGCATTCTCCCTACTGGGGCAGATTTGGGACATCGCATAGTTACACTCCAAATGCCACCAAGCCCTTTTGCCTTTGATCGAGCTTCGAAAATTTGCACGTCGAAGCCATGGCCCACGCAATGGGCGGCAGCAGACACACCGGTCAGGCCAGCACCAACAATGGCAACGCGGGGACGACGGAGCTTTGTAGAGTTGTCGGGCGGCGGCGGAGTCGGTGCGAACACAAGACTCAAGATATCCTGGACGAAGACGTAGAGCACAACGATCGGATGGGTCACAAGGCGCCAGAAGAGCTGGTCGAGGGTGTGTAGAAGGCCCATCATGGGAGCGAGAGCGCAGGGCGAGAAGAGCCGGAATCGATCACGACTGGATGCCAGCAGCCACAGGCAGTCCAGGATGGATATAGAGCATCAGCAGCAGCTCGACAAGTCATCATTATTGTGCAGAATCCGAACCAAAAGCTGTTGCTTCTTGGTTGTGATCCAGACGTCATTGCAGGGCTCGCTATTTATGACGTGATGGGCTGGTGAACTTGGTTTGAAGGCGATGAAATATAATTCTTCTGTTGATGCACAACAGCAGGACAAGAAACACTGCTCAACTAGCTGTAATATCTAATGAGAGATGTGTTTTTCTGCTAGTATCCATCAATTGTCGGGCCTGATAGTACATGTTTTTACTATGTATTGTTCCTGTTGTGTTGGTGGCCAATACTTTTGAACACCTCGTGCTCCCTGTAGCCTATAGGCCGACTACTGCCACCCCTAACTTGCAGGCCTCCGGGGGGGGCGGGCCGGGGCTTGTTAGGGCATTGTTAGGCGCCGAGCCGGTCTATTTTTAGGCATGCGCCCCGGGGTTCTTCAGCTTCTTCTCCAGCCACATAACCAAACAGCTTCACCTATTTCTCATATCAACCCTCGTCCTCTTCTATCAACGCTCATCTCGGCCCATTAGACCCTCCCTTTGCGTCCGCGATCCTCGCCATGTGGGCCACGCCGGCTCATGCGACCCCCGTCCTCGATAACTTCCTCTCCAGCATCCGCGATCTCATCCACGCCCGCGATGGCGCAAAGCTTCAAGATTTCCTCCAGCTTGAACCTCCCCTCTCTCCGGTTTATCTACAGATGGTCGACGAGCTACGGCGAGCATATCCCAGCGACTCTGGCAAGGACGAGCAGCTGCTGTCAAAATGCGAGCCTCTAGTGCCAGCCTCCGAGGTGGGAAGTGCGTGGAGCGCATTTCCGTTGTTTATGCGGCTATACTTTACGTTTCTACGAGACGTCAACCTGGAGAACTTGCTGGAGACCTATGAGCTGCTGAGGGTGTTGCTAAAGTACGAAAGCCTTGATCTCCTCGCCCGCTGAATCCGTCTCTGACGAACATGCGCACTACGCAGTCAGTGCATAGTGGCCCTAGGTGATAGCCAGTACGGAATCATCGTCCTTCCGACCGCCCTTTATCTCTGCAAGGTTCTGGCAAAGCTTGCCATTGGCCTCGACCGCCGACCGGAAATGATTGCCCATCTGCTGCGAGAAGGCGCCGACGCAGAGGGCGCGACGGAAAAAGTGACACTGGTCGAAAAGTCGGCCAACGTCGTCAGAGAAGCGTTTATCAAGTGCTTGACTGACCGCACGGGGACACTGGGGAAACCAGAAGGAAGGAGAACCGGCATTTATCTCATGGCCAACTTGTGCTTGAAGCTCTTGTTCAAGGTAACATGCTGGCGAGATCATTGATATTTCCCTCCTCACTTTACTGACGACTGAGATCCTAGTGCGGCAAGCTGAGAAACGCAGAGCAAATGTTTGCGAGTATAAATGCACAGTCGCCTCCACTGTCATATTTCCCGGCGCCACAGCGAGTTACGTACTTGTATTACCTTGGACGATATCTCTTTTCCAATAACCTGTTCTACCCAGCTCAGACCGCGTTGCAGTCAGCGTACGATCAGTGTCACAAGCAGGCGTTGAGCCAACGACGGCTGATCCTAACCTACCTCATTCCATGCAACATTATTCTTGGCCGATTTCCTTCCACAGCTCTTATCCAACGACCCGAGTGTGAAGATCTTGGGGAGAAGTTTGTCCCTCTATGTCACATCATCAATCGTGGAGATGTGACGGCTTTTCGAGCGTACCTTGCCGTCGATTCAGAAAACGCCGATTGGTTTGGGAGGAAAGGAATATTACTACAACTTCGAAATCGATGCGAGATTTTGACCTGGCGGTCTCTCGCGCGCAAGGTTTTCATACACGCCGGGTTTCATGGAAATCTGAATATGCAAACACAAAAGGGTCCGCCGCCCTTCCTCTATCTGCATAAGATGGAAGCAGCTGTCCGATGGCTTGAATCCCGGGCGGGAGGGCCAACGCGGACCGGAGCCGTAAACGACGGGAGCTCAAACGCTGGATTGGTTTCGTTTTCCCACTGATGCCGATTTCAGCCCCGATGTGGGTTTCCAGTCAAGAGCATTTCGAAAGTTCAAACTGCGATGACTACGTAAATCCCACGGGATATTTTGACCCGGCGGGTGAATGGGTAAATGTCACCGACGCTGATCATCTCCCTGAGCCGGACCTCACTGACTCCCACCTCGTCGACGACGGCTCGGGCGAAACGTATGCGTATATAATGGGTACTGAGGAGGATGCCGAAGAAGTCGATGCGGATTCGCCGTCCCCGCTGATGCACGAATTGGAAAGTATACTCGCCTCTCTGCTTGCCCAAGATCTGATGCGGGGATATCTTACACACAATAACCCGCGGTACGCCATTCCCGGGTCCCGGGTGAAAGGGGCGCTTCCTACAGGGTTTCCGAACGTTTGGCAAACCGTCTATTCTCGAGAGAGCCAGGACGATCAGGTTCCCGGCTGGGTGAAAGCCCCAAATCCGTTTGGCGGAGGTGCGGCGGCCCAAGGCACTGGTGGCCCGGTGGGAATGGGAGGACGAGTGGTGAACCTCAGCGGCGCGAGACCTGTCAGCACGATGGCTGGGTAGCGATCTGACGAGTTCGTCCTGTGCGGTGAATCTTGGAGAGAGACGGCGTGGACGGTGCCGATTGGACATGGACCAGCGTTCCTGCATACAATGCATGCTGCCTTTGAAATGCGAGCGTGGCTGCAATATGGCATGGTCTGATGATACCCCGATAGTGGAAGGAATTTACGTAGCAAAGGATTTATGATCATGGCTGTCAGTTGAATCGAATATATTGTTTCCACTTCACTCATTGCCCAGCCTGTCAAGCTATTAATAGCACCAACGGGCTAGACGCGCGATTCGTGACCAGGGTCCAGACGATGTCTCATATCGCACAAGTGCGGGTTGCGGCATCTGAAAGAGGCGGTGTTGGCCATAATCTTTTCAAAAATAAAGACTCTCTCTCTCTCTTTCTCTTCTCTTCTAATTCCCATAGAGTCTTACGCATCGCTCACTCAGGGTCCAATTCGCAGCCAGGGAGACTTGACCAAACACCTTCTCATCAGCCCACGCCATGCGTTTCCACCTCGTCGCCAGCGTCCTCTCCTCCACCGCACTCATCCGTGGCGTCTGCTCGATATCTTGCGCCCCGGAGTACGAGCCATGTTTCGCAAACGGCGCCGATCGCGATGCGTCCCCGCCGCAAATCGGCGACGAGATGGTGGGGTTCTACGAAGACCTGGTCGCCAGCGTTGAAGGGCATTCGCTGAAGCGAGACACGATCTTGTCGGGAGGCGACGGGCGGTTTCACGATGCGGCGGCGGGGATTCTGCAGAGGAGGGAGGATGAGAGGGGGAGTCTGTGCTGTGAGTCGTGTGAATACAATAGTTACTTCTCGTGCTTTTGGCGCTTGTTGAGACTGATCCTGCGTGGGAACCAACAGGTCGATCGCCGATGCCGTGTCTCCTGGTCAGAAACCGAAAGCTTTCCTTTTGCTGGGTAAGTTAACTATAGTCAACCAACTCGTCCACTCACTCTCTTCTGACAAGCACGTTAGGACCGCTTCACCACCAATTACTACCTCCCCGACGGCTCCCACGGCTCCATCACATCGGGAGTCTACACCACCCCGTCCCGCGACACCGTCAACCTCATCCTCGGCAACTTCACCCTCGCGTCCGGCTCCACAGGGAACATCTACTCCTCCTCCCCCGACTCCAAGCCCAATCTGAGCACGCTACACCTCCCCAGCCAGTTCACCGCCAAGGGGGACGGCACTGCGATTCCGGGAAGTGAGCTGGGTGCGCCCGCGGGGACTGCAACGACGCCTGGAGCCGGCGGGCCCGGTCCGACGGTGACGGTGACGGTTGGCGGCGGTGCTGCGGCGTCAGCGACAAAGACGGCGGACGCGGTGCCAATAAGGACCGGACAGTCGGGTTTAATATCGATACTATTCGGCGCACTGGTTGCGTTGGTTGCATGATTCGATACGTGAGAAAGGGGGCTATTATGAGTGCGCCATGTTTATGCGGTGATGGCGCTTCATTCTGATATCTTATGAGCAATGCACGTTACGACCAGACACGACATTTATAACGACTGATAATGTAGAATTCTGTAAATATAAGTAGTCCAGGATTTGAAAGAATGGACCGCTCGCAAATGATCTCTCAGATTTCCCAAGTAGAATTACAAAAATAGTCTATTTTTCGCTTCAAACACATTCCCATTCCATGCATCACGAACACCAGACAACAAAAATCAAAGGGGGAAAAAAAAATTCAACAACTGATCCGGCATAAAAGGTGAATATGAGGAAAAAAGATTTCCAGGCTTCGCTAGCATCACACGAATTAACGAGTTGGCTGGGCGCGTTACCAAACTTGGGGTAGAAAACGGTTAAACCACACACCAGAACGATGACAATAAAACCAGTAAATATCGTATGATACATTGCTAGGTGACGCTTAGCCATGCCGACGAGACAACTAATCCACTTTTATGGATTTGTATATACGGTTGATGAAGACTGCGGAGGCAAAAAATCCGATCGAACCTGTGCCAGTCCTAGGTTAGACCCTGTAAGAAGCAAAGAAACACTGCAGCAGGCAAGCTTACCTGTGAGAATGGACGCTAAGAATGCCAACAATGCTGAGTACCCCAGGTACAATATGGCGCCGGTGAGCCCGCCGAAGCTAACCCGTGTTGCCCAAAAGACAAGAGCATTGATAAAGACGTATCCGCCAGTCATACCAGCGCCCACAAACGACCTCCACTGCCAGCGATAATCCTCCGCACAGAGGAGGAAATACACCAAAAGCACAGTAGTCATCGCGGACATCATGATCATTAGGCCATAGCAAAGGAAAAGGAAACCGAACATGTAGTAGATTTTGCCGGTCCAAAGCGAATTCATGATGAAGTATAATTCGACAAAGATAGCCGCAAAAGGGAAGAACCCAGCAATTAGAGTCGAAGGAACAAGCCGGAGGGAGCCAACGGCAGGAGGAATTTGGCGCGGGATTTGGTTCGTTTTCGTCGGTCCTTCGAGGGCCTAAAGAAGTCAGCACTAGGAAATCCTCGAAACTAAGAATGCTACACAGAAGCATACCGGTTGTTTAAAGCCGATCCAGCTCCCACCCACGCTCAGCGGTACGCTGATAACGAACCATATGAGAACTATAACAATCATGGTGGTAAATGGGACTGCGCCGCTGGCCCCTTTGACCCACAGGATGAAGTTCAAGAAAAAGAAAACGGAAAAGATGATGGCCGGTAATATGAGGGGAGTCGCAATGATAAGGCGCTTCCATGCTTCACCACCAAAGGACTTGTAAGTTCTGGAAGCAACGTAACCACCAATGAAGCCAAGGAAGGTATAGATGATCAAAATAGCAGTTCCCAAAAATCCTCGGTTTGACGGGGAGAGAAGCCCAAATAAGGCAAAGACTAAATTTTGTTAGCTGCAATGAAACAGAGGTGCGAGAGTTACGAGGAATAACGTACGAACTGTCAATCCGGTCATCATAAAGAGTTGCGCACCATTCCCCAAGAGCACGCTCAGTAGTAACGGGTGTTTCGGGCAGCGGAACACGTCGCCATGGACGAGTTTCCAACCAGAATCTTCCTGAATTCCATCCTCCACAGAGCTTGGGTTGTCATTCAAGTCATCTAAATTTATCATGTTGAGCCGGTTGTATCTTGCGATATCCTTTCGCAATGCCCGCATCAAAATCGTGCTCACAAGTGCGACCAGCAAAATGACAAAAACAGCGGAATAGATGAGTGAGTACCAATGGACGCTGGGGTCGTAAACGTGGAGATATTTGTCCCAGCGAGTGGCCCAAGCCGTCGGCGATTCCCTCCAGGTGACGCTATAAGTCCAGGCAACGGTCGTGTCTTCTGTTTCGCTGAGCGACACCGGTGAACCGTTCGCAGAACATTCGGCTTTTTTGCCGCCGTCTAGGATCTTTGAAGGATTTCGCGAAGTAGGGTTCACCAAGACCCCAACAACCCGATACTGCTCTTTCTTCCCCAAACCAGTCACCTGGTGGTAGTCGATATGGATATCGTAATGATTGTTTAGCAGCTTAGTCCCATCTTTATCAACTGAGCCCAGGAAAAATCCGGGGATATAAAACTCCTCCTCGGTTTGTAAGTCTTCGCCCAATTGTGCCGCAGGTAACCCGTCAATCAGCAGGTTAACATTGTAACCATCCCAGATCTTCTGATTGACGAATTCACTGCTCTGTGGGTCGAAAACAACCTCTGGGCAAAGCAATTTGCAAGTCTCATTTTTGGCCATAAAAATTTCAAAAGGCGACGTCTGGATGCGATCGCCGAATATAATACTGCCTAGCGATTCTCTGATGTCTTTCGCGCCGCCTTCGGGTCGGCAAAAGTGAAATGCCGGGTGGTAGTAGTCGTAGGAAATGACGGAATGAAGCTGGTCATCGTGGTCGGAGACCGTGGGCGAGAGGTGGTTGACATGGAGCGGAACTTTTTGGTGGGCTTGGTATGAGGTAGGTGCAACGCCGGGGAGATAAAACGCCGCAGAGAAAAGAGAGTGGAGGAGGAGGAGCGTTGAAAAGAAAGCGGGCGTGAGTGAGGGTCGCATATCGAAGCTTGTGGTGGAAAGTCGTCAGCGGAGGTCTCTGGGGGTGGATTGCGGCTCGAGCTGTGCAGGCATTGATTACAGGGTCATCAAGTGGCTGAGTGAGTAACTAAGAAAAGAGGTGAAGCTCCGGCAAACGACGACGAGCTCCGTCAACCATCACAGTCGATAGAAGATGTTGAGAGATGCCGGTGGTCAACCGGAGGATCAACCGGATTGTTGATGTCGACCTGGCGTCAGCTCCGATTACGTAATCTTTGATTAAAGGGAGTGAGCTGGCAGATTCATCGGATTCGCAGATAATAACTATATCAAACCCCCAGTGACGCTCTCAAGGGCCGGGGTGAGCAACTCCTGCCGCCCATCTCTTCTACTAATCGATCAGCTAGCCCAGGCGCTGTAGGCGCAAGCGTACAGGGCGAAAATAGCCGGATGACAGTCGTTGCAGATGCAGATGTAGTTGCTGGTACTGCGCAGTCGGGAGCAAAATTGTTCTGAAAACGTAAGAAATATTGTGTTGCTATACAAGCTTCAATACACACAAGTAACTACTAGCAGGCGCCCAACCCGAATAAACATCTCCTGCACCGGTAACACATACTACCAGGCCACCAAGAAGAGTAGGATAGCAGATAACAGGAGAGGGGCACAGGGCACAGAGGTTGGAATGTCATATTTGGCTAGCATTGTCAGAGCAAAAAGGCCTCCTGTAATAACACTAGGCTCAGGAAGAAAAGAAATGCCAGTTTGAACAAGTAACGGATCACGCAACTTGTTTCCAAACCGGGTGTTGCGGACACCGGCAAATATTAAAATACCACCAGCAATGGGACAGGAAAAGCCCGTTAGAGCACAGAAGCGCGCCCTCGCAAGCCTGAAAGATATTTTCAGGCAGGGGGTGATACACGAAGAAAACAGCATGAGCACGCACAGTCGAAGGGGAAATGCCACGAGAGCGGAGGGAGTATTTACTGAAAAAGGGACATCGCTTATAGAAAAACAAGCAAAGAAGGAAACTGGTGGAACTAAAGCGGATTTAGACAAGACCGTCGTAAAGCGACAAAGCGCTTACGATCGTCTCGTCGCGCTTGCTGCCTTCTTTGAATTCGGCAATATCCAAACTCCCGTTTTCGTCTTTGTCCATCATTCGGAAGATCTTCTTCACGCGCTTCTCCGGCGTATCCTCATCTTCAGGAAGTTTTACCATGGACCCCACCTACAACAAGAAGTCAGCGGGGAGTAGCAAGCGGCAGCGGGAGAGATTCAATCGGACCATTTTATATATCGCTTCGACAATCGCTAGCATTTCCTCGTAGCTAATTTTGCCGTCACCATCGATATCGTACAGCTGAAAGGCCCAATCTAATTTGTCTTCCATTCGACCTCGGGACGTGATCGATAAGGCGCATATGAATTCTTTAAAGTCAATCATGCCGCTATTGTCGGAGTCAAATACCCGAAATACATAATTCGCAAACGAGGACGGGTCGCCGAAGGGGAAGAACTGTCGGTAGATCTTTTGAAACTCTTCTTTGGTCAGGGTGCCAGAGGGGCAATCTTTCAAGAAGCCTTCATGGGGGGACGGTTAGCCTCCCCCGTCGATGCCGGTTTCACGGTTGGCACAGGGACGGACGAGGACTCGCCTTTATACCATTGTTGTAATTCTTTCTTGTCAAAGTGCGTGGCCCTCTGCAACTCCTCGAGCTGCGAAGGCGACAGCTTCGATTGCCTAGATTTGCGTAGCGGATTAGCATCTGTCTCTGCAGGGTGAGGGGTCTTGAAACGCGGCTCGTGAGAAAAGCCTGCTGAAGTAACAATTTCTCGATGCAATAACTTACGACTTCCCCATGATTCCCGGCCGGGGTTGCGAACGGTCGCAAGGCTGTGTCCTGGGGCAGTGGCGGGATCAACCAACTGACTGAATTGATCTTGTCGAGCGACGCGGCGGGGTAAAACGGGTGGGCAGCACGAAGCGGTGGACGAGAGTGGGATACAGGGCAGCGGATGCGTGAACGAAAGGCAATGGGGCCCTGGCCGCGATAAGGAAGAGAGCGCGAGAGTGGGAATGTTGGGATTATAGAAAAGCAGGTAACCAACCTGTCGATATGATGGATGATGCGAGAAGAAGTCCGGGCAAGGAATGAAGTTAAGCATGCCAAGCAGCCCTACGGAGTCGACGAGCGCCGTTGATCCCCCGGAAAGATGCACATCGTCATAGGAGACAGCCTGGAGTAACTATGATATTGTTCAAGCACTGCTAGTTATTAGTCTCTTATTAGAGGTTTCTCTCTGAAATCCAACCGCCGCATCTCCGTACATCTGCGGCACCAAGTCTCGCACGCACAGGCATTGAGGCTAATAATAGCCGGAAAATGTGTTTGAGCGATGAGACAGGAGGCCAGCCCCCAGCCGCCCTCGCTCTCTCGCCCCCAGTGTTTAGGCGGTGTTTAGGCAGCGCTGCCCCTGAAAGTCGGCGCCGCAACCCCCGAAGCACCGCCCCGCCCGCTCGTTTCTCGGTGGGCTGACTAACTCATCAAGGCTGCCTTGCTAGCCGTTAGTGGTGACTTCGCCCGTAAACTAAATAAAAGCGAGATCCGCCGCCAGCACTGCCTCTGCCGCTCGTTTTTCTCTTCTTCTTCTTCTTCTCCGTTTCTCCCACCGTCGTCGCTCGTTCTCATCACTTTCATCCCCATCGTCAACACAACCACATCCAACTATCATGTCTTCTGCCGCCATCTCTGCGGCTGCCCACCATCTGGTGAAAAGGGCCGTTTCGGGCGTGCCCCAGGCGATTAGCATCGCCGGACAGCCCAAAAACGGCGATGACAGCAAGGAAGCCTCTCCTGTCGTGCTCGCCGTGCTCGTTGCAACAATGCTTGCTGGTGCGCTGGCCATGGGTGCTGTAAGTGAATCCCCAATTTGTCTCTGACCACGGCCCTTCGCTGACGCGCGGAACCCACGGCGATGCAGCTTCATTACACACTTGGCATGGTCGTCCCCGCTCTGGCAATCGTCGAGGACTCGCAGCCGGCCGTGTATGTGCCCATCGACGGGGAAGATGACGACGGCGTGCCCAAAAACACGCCAGGCAGCGCCACGGATCTTGAAGGCACTGGCCCCCAAGGCCCCATCACGGCCAAAATCAGGACCACACTGAAGCATCTCCGGGCCCGTGGTGGCTTCTGGGCTCCCTTTCGCGGACTGGCTGTCTTTATCTTCTATTTCTTCTGTCGTGGGATCCTCATCTCCATCTTCTCCCTGGGCGCGTCGTACTCGCATATCTTTGCCCGTGCCCTCGCCACCATTGCCGCGGACGTGGCCCTGACGGCTCTGAGCGTGACCTGGATTCACACGGTCATTTCAGAGCCCTCAGCCAACGCTCGAGTGTTCTGGAAACGGATTCCCGCCTTTCGCACTTGGAAGAAGGTCGTTCCCGCCGTGGCCCTGCAGTCCGTCGCCTCCCACATCGCTTTCCTCGTTCCGCTCTACCTTGGCATCGCACTACACAGCTTTCGCATGGACGATGACTCTCTCACCAAGCTCCCACAGCTCGGCAAGCCCAGCGCCGGGACCGCAGCGGGCTCCGTTGGCATCTTCCTCCTCACACTCGCTCTCACCGTCCTGATCGACATCCCTGCGAGTGTCGCCCTTGTCCGGGTCGCTGCGTCGGCACTCTCGCCAGATGTCGACACCATCGTTCCATTTGACCGCACGTTCAACGGCAAGGTTGGCCCTGCTATCCTTGGCGGTGGTTGCCTCGGGCTCTTGGAGGCTTGGAAGGGCTTCACCTGGCCGTCGCGTGTCCGTCTCATGAAGCTACTCGCCAAATACTTTGCCATCTCCGTTGCCGTTGGCGCCGCATTTGTTGTCATTTTCGCTGCCGAAATCATCAGCTTTTCCACAAAGACAAAGCTGGTCGACGGAAAGAACTAAAGTCGCAGGGATTGGGGGGTGCTTTCAACTCACTGATCTCTCAGGAAGAAATCTCTGTTTCAAATCGTACTGTGATGCTCAAACCCCTAGCTTTCCTGTAGCAATTACATCTACTAGTAGTCTTTTATCCACGCACCGCACCCCCTGTGCATATATAGATCCATAACTCCTCAATATACAGAATGCCGACTTTCACCCTTGTCCCCTGTGAGCTGTTCACGTGCAGCAGCAAGCTGGCAGTCAAGAAAAAGCACGTCTTTTGTTTTCTGTGTTCTCGGCGCCACCGCCGCTGCCAGCATCCAAACAAACGCTGTTCTTCCCCCTACAAAAAAACCACCCCCGCATATCAGACGAATGCCTCATACCAGCAAACTCCCTTGAACATCTTATTAGAGCGATCTTGTTTCTTAATCTCTCTGCACATCTGTTACAAGGCCATCTTCCCCAACTCTTTCCTACTCAAAACTAGATCCCCACATCAGCCACCCGCGGTTACGTCCAGTGCTTTTTCCCACACCACACCGCCAACCTCCTCAGGGCCAAATACACCTCCAGACGCGGGGATCACACTGCACTACAGTGCGGGTCGGGAACATGGCGGGGTCGGCAGCAGCGGCGTTGCTGGGCCGCCAGCTCAAGCAGATGCAGACGGACAAGGACATTCCGGGCATAAGTTGCGGGCTGGGCGACGACAACAACATCTTTGAGTGGGAGGTGATGCTCATGATCTCCGACGAGTGCAAGTTCTACGGAGGTGTGTGTGTGTGTGTGTGTGTGTGTGTGTTGTGCGCAAAACGACCAAAGACACGGCGGGTTTGGGTGTGGGATTTTTGAATTTCAGTGCTGACGCTGGCCCGGGGCCTGGGGCCTGGGGCGTTGCTTTTTAGGTGGCTTCTTCAGAGCTCGTCTTTCGTTTCCGCCGGAATATCCCCATCTTCCCCCCAAGATGAAGTTTGAAAACTCCATCTTCCACCCAAACAGTGCGTTTTCCTCCTTCTTCCTTCCACACAAACACTCACTGATCCTCTCGCCTCTAGTCTACCCCAACGGCGAAGTGTGCATCTCGATCCTGCACCCGCCGGAAGAGGACAAGTACGGCTACGAATCCGCCGCCGAGCGCTGGTCCCCCGTCCAGACCCCCGAGACGATCCTGCTATCGGTGATCAGCATGCTGAGCAGTCCAAACGACGAGAGTCCGGCGAATGTGGAGGCGGCAAGGTTGTGGAGGGAGGACCCGAAGGAGTTTAAGAAGCGGGTGCGGCAGTGTGTGCGGGAGAGTTTGGGGGAGGAGTAGTAGGTAGGATGATAGGAACCAGAATGGGCTTTGCTGCTTTTTCCAGAATGGGAAACCAGAAATGATGACGGAGGGAGATGGTGGACAGAACGGTTACCGAGACCTTGTGAAAGTTTTATCTGTTTTATTCTTCCACTGACTATTGTTGAATATTTGAGGCGCTGATGTGGTGCATCCTACTCAATAGTACATTGCATCTTCATCTATGAGGATTCTTTCCCAAGAGCTCCATGCCGCGCACAACACAACTTTTGGAAAGCAAACTTTTTGGCTCCTGCGAGTTGGGACAGTAAATGTCATCACCGTATCTCCTAGTAGTATTTTCTCCAAAGCAAGCAAGGCAAGGAGGACAAGAAGACTTCGACGTGTGCTGATGTTCAACGCTTGTTTTCAGGCAATAGTTCAATTAATGGCTATGTGATGGCGCTGGACTTGAAGTTATTACAAAGTTATGCCTTCCCCAAGAATGGTATCCCCTCCGCAAACATGAGAAATTAAACAGCATGGTATCAATGTCTCGTAGACTCGTAATCGCAAGAAGAGAGTTGAAACCAGCCAGACTCGCCAGTCAAAAAAGTGTTTAAAAAACAAGTAGCAATCTGCCTTGATCGACGATATAAATCATGAAGCATGTTCCTTGCTTTCAAATTTACATGACGAAAAGAGCCATGAGGCCGAGTGCTCCAGCGACACCGGGCCCGGCGGTTGCCATGACGCGACCAGCGGCTCCTTCAGAAGTCGTAGTCGGATTGTTAGTCTGGGTTTCCGTGGTGGTACCGGTGACTGTCTCGGTGTTGGATCCAGAGGTCAGCGTGCTAGTGAATTCAGAGGTGACCGTAGTGGGAGACGGGGTTTCAGTGACAGATCCGGAGCCGGTGACCTCGGTGAAAAGAGTGGTAGAGCCGACAGTGGTTTCCATCGTCTGGGAACCGTCTGTGACCGTAGAGACCACCGGGGCAGTGCTGTACGGAGACGACGAGGTTACCACGGTATCGCTAATCTGGAGGGAAGTTAGCTTCAAAATAGTTAATCCGTGGTCCATTCGCAACGTACAGTCTCAGTAAGGGTCGCAGATCCAGTTCCAGACGAAGTCACGATAGTCTGAGTTGTGGCAGGGGCGCCAGAGGTGGTGTCTGATTCTATTGCTATTCAGCATGCAGCTTCATCGAGCGGGAGCGCAGCGCTTACCATTATTGGGACACAGCGCTCGACCAGCAGCAATAATCTGGTCAAGATTATCGTCTCGACAGGCCTGCTGGGTGCAGTCATGGATACCGTTGCCAAAGTCGCGGTTGCTGCAAAGGCATGCGATGTCGTTGGCGGCGCAACCGAGTTCAGCGGCCTTGTTGAGCATATTTTGAATGCACATGCGCTATGACAGCAGTCAGTGTCACGTCTTTTGACCATCCACCAAGGCACAAGGGCATTCTCCTACCCCACACTGAGGAATATCATCCAGGTTTTGGGCAGCACCAAACACGGCGCAGAGCCCCAAGGAGAAAAATGCAGCGGCCTTCATGTTGATGCTCTGATTGAAGGGTGATGCAAGATGGCTTTCAGTGTGCGAGTAAGAAAAAAGAGGAAGAGGCTGGCTATATGGGTTGGCGAAGGAAGAGAGAGAGATCAGAGACGCAGAAAAAGGGGAAAGGCAGCTCTGATAAACAAAACAAGCAGAGGCCAAAGTGAGGGAAAAAAGAAGCAAAAAGCAAGGACTGAGCAGAGTGAGGTCACACACAGCTGGTCAATTCACTAGTGTGGGAAGTTGCCCGTCTCCATGTAACCACCAGCAAGGAGCTCAGCAAGCAAACAATTAGTGTGCTCCACTTCTGAGATGTTTCCATTGTGGCGAGAGCTGTTGATATCGGATGCTCGGTCCCGATTAACCAAGATCTTCTTACTGACATCCTGGAGTTCGTGTATCTGTAGGTGCTGGATGCATCCCTTGGCTGCACCCTGCACCCCAGCAGTGTCTTAAGAACGGGAGAAGCAGGAAAGGAGTGGATCAAAAACTGGCGAAGATGCAAGCCAGCACAGAGCACCTGCAAGATGGAGCTGGGCAGGCACAGGAAAACGCCATGATTCACGTCAATCCGGACACACCGATGCAGAACGGTGGCTGGAAAAGAAAACAAATGGCTTGCCGATCGGATGCACTTTCGGCAGCAATTATTGGCCAGGACGCAACTGTTTCCGGACGCCTCGACAGCGCATCTGTTGTTTTCGCGACAGGCCGGGAAACCATGAGATCGCTACGGGTAGGATCCGTGGAGTTCCGCGATCTGGAGTTTAGAGCGAGCAAACCGCCATTTACAACGTCGATGGCCAGCGATTGAGGTGGAGGCAGCGGGCATAGGGCTGCTGGGGATGCGGCAGTTCAAGAGCAACAGATGAGATCATTTCGCCACAACGATCGCCGATCGCTCTCCAGCAAGCCACACGACAAGCGTCAGGCTGGGCTTACTCCGTAAAGAGTATCACTATGGAGTCTCTCTGCACGAAACGAAGTCGATGCAAGCAAGAATCATCCTGACTTCCAATCAATTATTGACGTTGGCGGGAAGCGACGTTGCGATGAGGTCATTGCAGCCTAGCCGTCTTGGGAATAGGCTGCACGTGATGCAGCTGTGGCGAGGGTTGTGTGGCTGGTGGGTCACGTGGGAGTAGTGAGTGTGGCTGAGGAAAGCATTGCCTCTAGAGTACTCCGTATCTATCAAAGGCTTCGGTATCTTGTTGACTAGCTAGATATTTGTAGATACAACAACTGACATCACTATTAGCTAGGAAAGCCACAAAAGCATATGCGCGCCAGGTCTCTTTCATCTTTTGAATAACATTCGACTCTCTTTGGGTTGCAGCTCCCAGCCAGAGCAGCTTCATAACCATCAAACAGCCTGAGCAGCCATGGACACCGCCCTTTTCACTCACCTTTCCGCCATCGAACAGTGTCTCAACGCCCTCGTCTCATCCATATCTTCTTCCCCTACCGCCGCAGGCGCCCCGGCCGCGGCACTCGCCCTCCTCGAAGCCGACGACAACCTCACTTCGGCACTGGACACGCTGCGAACTCACCAGGCCAACTATGCCAAAATACTCCAACTACGCGCGGATGCGAGTAGTTTAGAGGGAAGAGTGCGCGAGATAGTCCAGGAGGTGGGCAAGATGGGCGATGACATCTCCGCTCTAGCAGGCGGCGACGACGACGAAAGCGACGAGGATGGCGGCAATGCAAGCGATGGAGAAGACACGGCAATGGGCGGGATGCGGCAGCAGAAGAACGAGATCGACTACAAGCTCCTTCTCGATTTTGCGCGGCGAATCAGCAAATACAACACCCACGCCGCGTCCGCCGCCGCCTCGGGCGCCATCCCCACGAAGCGCCCGCTCCAGGATGAACAGGAGGGACCACAGGGGCCAGGGAAAGACCGCGGCGAAATGGCCACGATAACCAAGAATTCTACGTCGCAGTTGGATGCGCTGGCAGAGTCCATTCGGCAAGGGTGGCTTCTGCCGTATCCCAACGATGATAAGATTCGCATGGGGGTGATGGGGAAACTTCAGGCTGCTGTTGCGGCGAGCGGAGCCCGCGACGACCGGGATATCGAGAGAGAAGTTGACAAGGTGATACTTGCGGTTGAAGCAGCTACGACAGGCGGGGCAGATGCAGCAAAGACAGCGGATGCTGTAATCAGAGACGACTCAGTGGCTAATACTTCTGGGCAAATATCCGGGCCAAGCGGACAGGCTGCGGCTGGAAGGACCAGCGCCGTGCTTAGCGGAAGTACGATGAAGCCAGCGACTCAGGCGAAAGCAAAGCTGGATCTGGATCTATATGACCCCGATGAGGACGACGGTTGATGTCCAACATACTGTATCGAAACTGACGACAATTGATCTTTGGCGCTATGCCTACATGCCTTGATTACAGGTCCTCCAACTTGCGGTCGGCTGGAAATAGAATCATCAGCAAGAGGTATGAAATTTGCGTGACTCGCGTCAGCTAAAATTATGATTAGAGCAGTTAGGTCTGCCTGGGGGAGAAATGGTAGAAGATGGACCGAGGATGCCCTTGAGAATACCAAAAAATATACAACAATACAATCCACCAGAAGGGCAACAGCAAACATCCAATCTATCGAAACATAATATCGTGATCCACCATTTACATCTTGTGCACTGATGAATTGGCAGTGAGCTTGCGAAGCTTCTTGCCCCAGATATAGGCCGGGATAGCAAACGCGCACCACAATACGGTCAGGCCCATGTTCACCATAATGGCAGGGATAAAGCCATGCCGCACCGTCCACGGGGTGACGAACTTGCCGACGCCGTAGCCCCAGAGGTTCTTGTTCACAGTGATGGTAACAAAGATACTTCCCGCAACAGGCTTATAGCTGTCGATGGCATAGGTGCTGATAATGGCGGGGATGGCAGCAACTTGGATACCTGCGCCTGTGTAGCCGATGATGACTATTGCCTAAAAAGGCGACATATTAGCCACGTCGATTCAGAGATGAAGTAAAAAAAAAAAGAATGACTCACCCTCCAATCCCATTTATATTGATATCCCAAAGCAACCACCAAATTGCAGACAATTACGACAATAACATACGGAATCAGAGCCGGCAGTCTCATCTCTGGCTCGCGGATGCCGTTGTTCTTCCTCGTAGCACGCATGGAGATCCAGTCCGACAAGGGGCCATTGGTAAAGAGACCTATGAAGGCACCGATCAAAATCGCAAAGTTGGTGAAGCCGACAGCCTGTGGAGAAAAGTTGTACGGCGGTGCGGCGAAGTTCTGGCTCTGGGTTAAATTGACAACGAGGAAAACCGAAGCCGACCAAGACACAATGAATGCCGCCCAGTTCGACAATTGGGAAGGCATGGAGTTTCCACGGGGTCCAGAAATCAATGAGCATGGTCTTGAGTGGGCTCTCGTTGATTTGCCATAGCTTGAACTGTTTCTTGGACGGGGAGCCTTTGCCCAGGTACGGGTCCGCTTGCGTTTCGGTGCGGCTGACATTGCCCTTTTCCATTTGTGCTTCGGAGACTCCTTCAACAGTGGTAGCGGAAGGCGTTTCGGATTCCTTCTCGATCACTCCGCCTTTACTGGACGCTTGATCGGAGTTTGCCAATTCGTCAGGGTGGGCGCGATGCCACTTGGTCTCGGGGAATAAAAAGATCAATGCAATGTTTACAGCCGCCAGGAGAGCAACGTTGAGCCACCAAAAGTGTCGCCAATGGAGGTAATCGGTCATGGGACCGGCAATGATGGGGCCAACCTGGACGGAGCATTAGCATTGGGCGCGCAAGCAGGCAACCAGCATGGGACGGACCATTAACGCGCCAAAGTAGGTGGTGAAATATAACGTGTTGTACGCGCCACGCTCGTGTAAGAACATCACATCGGTGATGATTTGAGGTTGGGTTGTCTGCAAATGCTCTAGTTAGCCACGCTGCTGTGCACCCTCGGGGAGGAGAGCCTTCACCTCTGCAGGACCAGCCCCGAAGCCGTTGAGAACGCAGGCGCCCATGAAGCTTCCGTATGAGGTTGCCACGCCGCGCCAAATGTTGGCAATCAAGCAAACCAACGTCGAGAAGATCAGCACGGGACGGCGGCCGAATGTGGTTGCGATGGGCACCCTTGATCAGCGGGCATCAGACATCGATTCTCACACGAGGTGGGGGAGGAAGCCTCACCAGAAGAAGTTACTGAACCCTAGAACCAAGATGCACACACCAGTAAATTGGACGGCGCCGGCCAGATCGCAGTTGAATTCTTCCATGAGCTTTGGAAACATGGGCGGCAGCGCCAGGGGACCAACGGCTTGCGAGAAGGAGACCAGGGTTGCCAAAGTCATGGTCACTCCTTTCCAAAAAGGAGACCAATTCTGCATATTTCAGGTGAGCTTCCTTCCAGCAGGGGGGTCGTATCACTGCAGAACGGCTTACCAATGGATCATTAGGATCGTCTGAGGGCTGCGGCACCAAAACGCTTTTGGACGATTTGACAAAGTGATGGGTGCCTGTGTCGGTCATAATCTCCGTCCCGGGATATATTTTTGTTCCCAGCTCATCCTCGAGGCTAGAGAGGGCGTTAGAGAAGCGGAACAGACGCTGTTTAGCAGGGGACTAACCGGCGAAGGGTCTTTGAATGGAAGAGCTGTTAGCAGGCGCACACTCTGAGAATCGCACTGGACTCACCTGTTCATCATAGTTCATTTCCATCTTGACGGCACCGTGATGAAACCACTTCAAGTTTTGTCACTTGTACTCACGAATAGCAACGTCCACCCTGCCGTGATAGAAGTGAGTACTGCTACTTCTTATATATTCTCCACCAGAGGGCCTTGAGGGGTGTATGACTAGCTAGTGGCGGAATTGCAATTTAGGCAAGCTTTCGTCCTCGCTTGATACCATCGCAGGCTCATCTCGCTGCTTGACAATGGCGAAAAAGGGCCGTGGGCGAGCTCAGACTTGTGGATCTGGCTCAGGATCGAATGCCATCGAGACCAGAAGACCCAAGGAGCAGAGGGAGGACAGCTGCTCCATACCCCAGATTCAGTCGGGGCCCCCATCATCCCACAACCCCAGACCAACCGCCAACCATCACCGTAGTAGTAATCTGGAGATGTGCACTGGCTTCTCCAGCCGTTGTCAAAGGCAAATAATAATATACTCCGTACCAGCAGCGTGGAACCGCTGGCCCTGGGCGCTCCACAGTTTGTTCTCCCCCAAGCATCAACTGTTTATTAGGCTTTTCAAGGGTCGGCCGAGAGTGTCGTTGAATTCTGCACCGACAGCCGGGTCCAGCGCTGGTTTCGAGAAGCGACCAAATGTGCGAGAAGGACCTCGGTGCCCCGAAAGAGCCCAGTAACTTAGTTATCCAGAGGCACGAAGAGCGCCTCAGCCGGAAGAATCATGGGGAGAGCATGGGCTGCGCAGTGCCGTGTCCCACTGCCGAAGCACAAGTCCCGAGATAGCACGATGTTAGCAGAGCCCACTATGCGCCGAGGCTGGTTGAATTAGTTTGACAACGCTAAGTTAAGCGACTCGACGATTTCTGGACGAACCTCAATTTTGTAGAACCAAGCTGTTGAGATATTGACCCAAGCTGGCCATCGCAGATGGCAGGCCCTCGCCCGGTGCTTGTGTCTCAGTGCCATCTGTACTGTATCTGGAACAATGATTGATTTAGCAATGCAGTTCATGATGATTGATTCAGCAATGCAGACTGATGTCAATTGAGGATTCGTTATCAGGTGAAGGTCATCTGCTCGACGCTCTTCCATGACAATGTGGAAGAAGAGAGAAACAAAGCACCAACACAACCTGGTTGCGTTCATGCCAGAGCTATAAGTTTGTGCTTTTTTCTGCTCTGTGCCTTTCTCTCCCGTCAACTTTTTCCCATGGTGAGAGACCTGCTGAACTGCACATTGACCTCTTGCATCACTTGTCTACCAGGTCAAATTCTTAAGCTGCTTTTTGCCTACAACTACCATGGCCAGCCTGGAGAGGCTTACCGAATTATATGGCAATATCAGCAGACTTGACCCTCAGCTGCTTGAGGGCCTTCGACAGATTCACGCGGAGGACCCTGCCTACCGCGAGCCCGAGGTGCCAGAGCTGACAACAACTGATCCAGCTGAGGGCATCTGCATCGTGTGTCGCTGCGCCTGGTTTCTCCCGGTGCAGTTTGGGCCTTGCGGCCATGTGTTTTGCGCCGAGTGCCTCTGGACTGTGCTCTGCCGTTCTTCTGCTCTCCCCGCGTGTATGCTGTGCCAGTCCACCAAGACCAACTTCAGATACCGATCCGATATGCACAAGATCTCGACTGACCGATCCGACTTTGATCGCGGGAGATTCTCCATAATCCTACTCTATATGAAACTACAATTTCTGGATGACGCATACGCTTCCTGGAATATCGGATCCAATGACTACAAGGCTTTCGAGGCGGATGTTAATACGGATGTGGAGGCCACTGAGGGAATTGATCCAGAAACGCTGTCTGCACTAGAGAAGCAGGAAGGCCACTGTGCCGCCGGACCTGACGAGGATGGCGATGAATGGGTGGACGAGGATAGCGACGAGGAGGATTCCAATCACCTGCTAATTCTGCTCCACCGAGTCCCGGTTCGGGCCTTAAAGGGGATGCTTCGCCGAATCCGGTTTGCTCGAGTCGTCGTCCAGCAACGCTTGGAGGAATTGGCTCCCAACTACAGAGCATGGTGAGTTGGACAACCAAGCGGCAGAACTATGACAGTCAAACGACAATCCCGCTCCGCATCGATCAACGGAAGGATATCTCGTTTGGAACTAGAGCTAGGCTCGAGTCTGAGGGCATTTTATGTGTATTCTGCAACTGGGTTGGGGGAGGACCGTTTGATGTCTGTTTTCGTATCCTATGTCTGCAGCTCCCGTTGTAACTATTGTCTTTCTTGATTTACGATCAAAGTACCAGCAAAGAAAGCATCGACAAAATACAAGGAGCTGAGTCCATGTGACTATATGTTCGATCTACGTAGTTAACTAAATCACGTCGCTCGCCATATGCCGGACAAGCAGTTTATTGATGCCATCGATTCAGTTTGTAGGTCATCGTTCAAGGGCACGGAATGATCTGTCACATTGCACATAACTAGGCGAGCCAATGAAGCCAAACCATATAGGCCAAATTACTGACTTGGGATGGCTAACTAACTAGCTGCCGCACTGTTCTTCACTCGATTTGAATTTCTACCGCGTTCTGAAACCCGGCGGCATGCTTGTCCACCACGGGGCCGACTACAATAAGAACCCCGAACTTCTCCAGGAAGTTCTTCGTTTGTCCCGCTGTCAGAACACGCCTGAACACGGTGCCATGTCACGCACATTGGAGCAAGTGGGCTTCGGGATGTCAACCTGGAGGACCTTAGCGAGCAGGCCTAACCCTTTTGTTTTATCCCATATCAAATGCTTCAACCGTTCAGCCTCCAGTGTCGCTTTACCAATATTCCGGCCACGGGTGCGGTTTATCAGCATTGGGACGAAGGACGCTAACTATATATCAGTAATTCCCCCATGTGTCTTACTAGGAGTGGTTTCCATGGACCATCTCCGGATAACTCTCTACGCCAATTACAGCAATTTATGGCATGAAATCGGTTTCTAGACATCCAACCTCATAACCAGATATACCCTCAAGCCTCCAACAAACCTCTCCTCTGCTCTTTCTGTGCGGACAGAATGCTCCTGCAACCTGCCTGTGTCCGTTTCAACGCGGACGCGGCCGGTTGATGGCAGGAAAGCGCAAAGCTATCAGTCATGCTCTGAAGACTGGTATATCTCTTTCTTCCTCTCTCCAGTGCTCTCCGCCGTATTTCTTCTTCCTCGCTGCTCTAGAGGTTACCTGCTTGTTCCCGCAAGGCATATGTCACGCATTATTCCCATTTCTGGCTTGCATCTAGATATCCTGTCTGTATCTTACTACTTTATTGCGTATCACACTCAGGCTATTCTGATTTCCACCATCCTTCCAGATGCCTTCTCCCAGCGCGAACCGGGAGCCTGAGATCGGGGAAATTGGTGGCTCTGGCATTGATGCCTCGCTCAACAACCCCTTTATTACCCGCTTGCAGGCTCGGAGAAAGGCCCGCCACAGCGACACGAAAGAATCGCAGCAAAGTGAGTTAAGCCAGGCCAGCAACGTCGATGGTCGCAGCGATAAAAACACAAGCATCGATGAGGATTTCGGAGAGAGACTACCCGACGGAAGGATCGAGCTTCAAGAATCCGACTGCTACGAGAAATTGGGATTCTGCTTTTCCACTACGAAGAAATGGACCATTCTCTGTGTCATTTTTGCGGTTCAAATCTCTATGAACTTCAACACAAGCGTATATGCCAACGCAATAACCCCCATGTCCGAAGAATTTTCTCTTCCCGAAAAGACCGTGAGACTTGGACAAATGATCTTCCTCGTCGCTTATGCATTTGGATGTGAATTATGGGCGCCGTGGAGCGAGGAATTCGGGAGATGGCGCATTATGCAGTTGAGCCTTGCCTTTGTCAACGTGTGGCAGGTACTCTGTGGTGTCGCGCCCAACTTTTGGGTTGTTTTACTTGGGCGGTTCCTGGGCGGTCTTTCATCCGCAGGGGGTTCTGTGACATTGGGCATGGTAGCCGATATGTGGGAGGCTGATGACCAGCAGTTTGCCGTCGCCTTTATTGTTCTTTCATCTGTTGCCGGATCCGTGGTTGGCCCCATTGCGGGTGGCTTCATGGAGGTTCATCTGCACTGGCGCTGGAACTTTTGGATCCAGCTCATCCTTGGTAGTGCTGTACAGTTCTGCCATTTTCTTCTTGTCCCAGAAACCAGAGCTACTGTTCTCCTGGACAAAGAAGCCCAGCGGCTACGGAAATCTGGCATGACGCAAATTTATGGCCCCGGTGAAATCCACGGCCGCGGCTACTCGTTCAACCAGCTCTGTGATATATGGATACGACCCTTCAGCATGTTTGTCCGGGAGCCCATTGTATTGTGTCTCTCCCTCCTTAGCGGCTTCAGCGATGCGCTTATATTCACCTTCCTCGAATCGTATCAGCCCGTGTTTTCTCAATGGGGCTTTGGAACTATACAAGTTGGCCTTGCATTCATTCCGTATGTTCAAATTGCCCACGCTTTCCTATATACAAGCACTCGGTCACTGACTCAACTTTTGGCAGGATCATCATCGGGTACTTTATTGGGTATCTCTCGTTCATCCCAGTTATCCTTCGTCACAAAAAAGATAAGAAGTTTAGGCCCCATCGGGTGAACCCTGAAAGGCGACTCTGGTGGCTTCAGATCAGTTAGTTCCCTGAAGCTGTCTCCCTCCAAGTATGCGGCTAACAACATATTTTATAGCCACTCCGCTCGAGTGTGTGGGATTATTTTTGTTTGCATGGTCAAGTTTTGGCCCTCCACTTTTTCATTGGATGGCTCCCATGTTCTTTTCCATGATGATTGCGGTTGCCAATGTGAGTTTTGATATCAACCATGGCGGCTCAATATGATACCAATTAATCCAACGGTCTAGTACTGTATTTATATGGCTACAATCGACTATATGGTTGCTAGCTACGGGCCATATTCGGCATCTGCAACCGGCGGCAATGCGTTTGCTAGAGACCTCCTTGCCGGGATCGCTGCATTATATTCCACTCCTTGTGAGTTTCAATGTGCAATTAAGCCTGGGAAACTTTGCTGACGTCACGTAGTTTATAAAAACGGCCATCAGTACTATGAACTTGTATACCCGTCGCTGGTCCTTTCAGGCATCGCGTTCATCGTCACAATCCCGATTTATGTATTCTATCGATACGGGCCGCAAATCCGGCAAAGATCAAAATTTGCCCAGGAAGTAGCCAGTGGCAGAGATGAAATCCAAAGGCGCCGCGCCAAGCGGGCAAATAGGACTGTTGAAAAGACGGAGTCAGAGCCTTGATCGACAATTTCAAGAAACTCTTCCACTGCAGCGGGTTTTTTAAGTGGACTAAATGTCAGGTTATTGGGAGACTAGAGGACGAGGGGTTGGAGAATTTTTGATATTCAATCGCAGCGAGACAATAAGTTGCGGCGTGTATTGCTTGACTATGTAGCGAATATGCATTAATCATGGGCATATCCTGCGTCGCATTCCGTATTTTTATTGTTTGCATGTGATAGCGCCCGTGGAAAATAGAGAAAAGCGAGTTTGACGATTGGCTGCAACGAATCCTGTATTATTTACTAGAAAAATAATCCGTACTAGCTGCCTTTTGATACCCATCAACTTGTCCAAACGGCTCGTACGCACAGTTACCGGGGACCAACAACGGTTAGGATCGAACCGACACATTGGACCACTGTGTCCTGCCACAACTTTGCTCTATTCGCCCGTTTATATTTTCTTCTAAATTCAGCATGAGCGGCGGGGATGCCGGCGCCCCAGATGGCGGTGAAAAGCTGTGTCTCATCGTCAACGGGCTCGGGTCGCGTAGGAGCATGTTCCTCGCGCCGGCCTTCGTTGGTATCGACCGAGTGGTTTGGGGCAGGCTGGGGGCTTGGGAGTGTGGCAAGGGTGGATTTGATGTAAGTCATCGGTGATGGCGACGATGATATTGATAGTCGTGGCTGTTGCTGCTGCAATTGTTCCTGTTCATATTTGCGTTCCTCGTAGACGAGCATCTGGCGTTTCCATTGCATGCGGTCGTTCCAGAATTTGGTGAGATTATCGGTGTTCGGGGCGATGAGCTGCGCGAGCCAGGCAGGAGCATCCGGGTTCACGAGCCTACCGATGTCACGTTGAATTTCAAGGTAGAGAGTTTTCCAGTCGGGTTTACTGGCGTGAGTACGGGTGATCCAATAAAAGTGCGTTTTGCAGGCTGGAAATCGACATTTGCCTGCGGCGTTGTGAGTATCATAGAGGGGTTGGGCGTCGACAGGATGGGCGTTGGGGACGTATCCTTCGAGGACGAGGGGGTTGCTCAGCCTGGTGTGAGGGCAGGAGGGAAGGTCGAAAGTGTGAAGAATGCTGGCAATTTTTTTGCGGGAAGCTTGTGTAGATTTGGGTAGGGAGAGAATCTTATATGTAGTGAAGATGGTGAAACTGAGCGTGCTGTTGCGACGAAGGTGGCCATCCTCGCTGACCCAGCCGCGGTCTGCGTCGCGGTGGGTGGTCAGGTCGTTAAAGCTATATTGGGTATCTGCGTTGAGCCAAAAGGATTTCGTAGCTTCTCTGCATACTCGACGGTCCGCAGATTTTGCAAGCTCCTCATCAACAAAATTATATCTGAGGTGAGTGAGTGAGCAGCCGCTGCAGCAAGCCACCGGGGTATTGCTGTTGGACGGAGTTGAGAGTTTCAACTTTTCCAAGAGGTATAAAAAGGGGTATTGTTCACTGGATGTAATTTCAGACCATTTTGGAACCTGGTCAGCAAGAATGTGGTAAAGGCGTTTGGTCGTGAGGGACAGAGCAAGCTGAGCATCCGGAGGCAGATACGGAATAATGTGAAGGAGCAGTTCTGGGGGTAAAGCAGAGAGAGAGGGCACTGGTGGCGTGAGGAAGGCGTACATGGTAGAGCTGGACAGCAGGGCGATGTGGCTTCAACGGTTAACTGATTGGTTAGCAGAGGAAGTGAAACTGTGAGCGAGTTGTTGCCGGCGATGTTGCGGTCTTTATTGTCCTGGTTAATGATGCCAGATCAGCACGGAGAGCCATAAGGCATCTCAATTAAGCTGGCGTATAATAGAGCCTCATAAGACTGGATGCAAAACTCAGTTTCTCAGCTGGCTTCTCACCAGCTGCGAGGAACAGCGGCCAGCCTCGCGCGGAGGCGCTAGCTCGAGGGGAAATTCGAGAGCCTAAATCAGGCAGAGAAGATCCAAGAAGCGGGGGGATGCAGGACGGATGGCTCCCTCTTGGTCTAGCTGGCCATTGACTCCCACCAGAGCTGCTGGATGCAGTGCAATGCAATGCAAGGCTTTGTTGCATCGCGTTGAAGTCCAGAATCCACGAGCCAAAGGTTGTCAGTCGAGATGATTATCTAAGCGGCTGGTAATCACGTGCCTAGGCCGCTCGCAGCTCAACACAAACCCGGCGCCGCTCGCTTAACCCCAGCTCAACACCAAACGCCACCACCACCACATCCGCCAAACATATATATATGCACCACGATGGCTTCCACGTACAAGCTGGAGGAAGAGCTGATCGCGAGGGCCTCGGATGAGTACAACCAGAGAGTCCGCGCGAATGAAAAGGTCAGCGTTGCCACGCTCGCTCGCGAGTACAAAGTCTCCTACCACCGTCTTCGCCGCCGCATCCTCCATGTCCCTTCCCGCTCGACGCGCAGACGCACCAACCTACGATTGACGGAGGAACAGTACAAGGCGCTTTACGAGTATTTGGAGCTGCTCGCCAAAGATGGAGCGGCGGTTACACCCCAAATGCTCAGAGATGCCGCCAATTCTATCCTGTGCGAGAGCCACACCGACCCCAACACCCCGCCGCCAACGGTTGGAAAGGGATGGCAATATCGCTTTATCGAGATGCATCCGCACTATTTTCCCAACATCAAAGTTCGGAAAAACGAGTCCAGACTCGGCGCGCTGAGAAATAGTCTCACCGAGCAGCAGGACCAGCCGACATAGCGGTCGCCGTAGATCTCCGCGAATTCTTCCCGGCGAGGTTCGCCCGGCGATTAGGGCTATCCCTATCTATCAAACGATCAAGAATCGAGCTCTTGAAATGTGCAACTGCCTCCGGATTGAAATGCCGCACTGCTAGGAACGGCAACATTCGCAGGTCCCGTCGCCCCCGTATCCCAAACAACATGCCACGTTGGGAAGCCTGTGCATCCACAACTTTACGGTCTCGTCATACAGAACCTTCTTAGCCCAACGACAGACGGTATGCTTTTCGCATCACGTTTCACGTCGAACTCTTCAATGAAGTTGGAATTGGGAATTTCTGTCGCTTCTTAATCCTGAAGCCCGAGACAATCTTACCCATAGCATATTACGCGGGCTATTAGTCGTGGAATCACTTGGACAGTACATTATCAACACTATGTACATACGTCAAGTTGCGTACTTTGCGAAAATGCAAATCTATGATACGTGAACTTCTTGCCCCCATTTACGTCAACCTCTACTAGGTTCTTCAGCATTGGCGACAGTACTTGACTACTGGCAGCTACTATAACAATCAATGGCCTACTGTGCCATCTTTTGCAGTGGGTAAACTCGCAGGTTATCCCTAGCACCAACTCCCCATGCCTAGACCGTGTGACATTGTGAAATTTTTCCAAAAGAACACTGGCCAGTGCACATTTCTCAACGCTTTGGCACTTAAACAAGTCAACATGTAATTAATTCAATTTGCCTCCTCTTTAACCTCATCCCTCAATCGATTGCTGTGGAGATCACCACACGCGATATGTTTGCCTTTTATTATCTTCCATCATTATGCCAGTAGAATGTTGACATCTCGAAAATCATCCTACTTTTTTAGAGTATATTGATTGTATTAGTATCTCCTAGAAACAAAGAGCTCCCTCAATGCCTGCAAGCTCTACTATTATGGATAGTGGAAAAGAGCCCCAAAAACTATCACTTTCTACTCAATGCTATTGACAATCCTACTACCCATGAAGGGATGTTAGGATTACCTTCAGGTACGTAACAACGATATTGCGCAGGGATTCTTCTGCTCTATCCACATCACGCTTTCTAAAGTGTTTGCAAGCCACATTTCTAATGGCAGGCGGAGCTTTCTTTTGAAGCACAGGCTGGGAATGAACCGAGACCTTCACCGACCATGGCCTCGGATGAGATTACGGGATACCCTGGCGATATTTCTGTTTCCAACAATGGTATCAAAGAAGCAGCAGAGGTCATCAGAGTCCTTGAAGATGCCCAGGTGCCGTGTTGCATGGTTGCTGAGCCCGCTCTGATCTATTATGGCACAGGCCGCGTGATGACGGTTTGCTCTTCTCTCACCCCCTGCGGCTATATATCAGTTAATTCTTATTTTATTTCTAGCAATGGGTAGTCTGCGTCCCGACAGAGCTGCTTGACCAAGCTGTCCAACTGCTGCGAGATCAACCCATGATACTCGAGCCATGACAAGGCTCCTCACTCACGAGCGCCCATGGCTTAGAAAATCTATTCCCACGTTTCAAGGCCCTTCAGAAAAGAATCTTCTTCGTCTTAATCTCGTCACAGGCCGTCCACATGCCTTGCACCCCGGAGACCATCGAGTACAGTCATAACAGAATCCCGTACCCAAAGCTGCCAGTTTACACTCAGAGCTTGCTGGACACTCTAAACTTGGTGGACCTTGACGACCTTGTTGACGGGATGAACCTCACCTACGAATGGGGCGACGAGAATCTCGATCTCGATCGCGGTCCTGATGCAAACTGGGGTCGATGGCGCGCCGATTTCCTAAGCGAAGGCGCAAAGGCAGAGGATGAGGAGATTCCGCAGTGGTGTTTCAACCCACCGAGCTTGCGCACAATCTGGAGGAAAGCAGTCTCTGCGGAGGCGAAGAGGAACCGGCAGAGCTGGAAGTATATGCCTCATATGGAAACTAGATTCAGGAAATATGGCCAGCAAGACCCGCGTCTGCGTCCGCGGGCTTACTGTTAATACTCAATGGTGCCTTGCTGGTATTAGTCCGTTTTTATTCTATTTAACGATTTTGGGTATACTCCATACAAGTCGATAACTTATATCAGGATGATTATATAGCAGCATGGTACGTTGCCATAACAATCTGTAAGCAGTCTCCAGACGAGTTCCCGCGCACCGGGATATCAATATTCGAAGATCCGTGAAGCTTCTACCATCAACCACCTTGACAAAAAAATTGCCAACCGACTCCCAGCCGTTGAATGATTCTATGCTCTCCAACGGGTTCAAACACCAAAGGCCGCACGAAACCGAGCTTGTGTGCTTGCAGACTGGAAACGGACGCGGTCAGAGTTGAGAAATGCTTCTATATCTCCTTCATCTAGGTCAGGTGCAATCCGGCGAATCTCAGACTCATAGTTGTTCAGGAGAAACTGGACGTCATCTAGATCTCGAGGTAATGCACGAGCCGAGCAATTATCCAGTTTCGTTTTCATCAAGTAAAGCATGTCTAGGCTGGGGTACCTCAATTCCCATCCGTTGATAGTTGTCGAAACCATCACCGTGTGATCTTGTATAGCCCGCGGACTGCCCTTGAAGCCTAAAGGCCTTTCTTTCAGAGAGCTCGCAATATATTGCATGATGGACCGACAAACTCACCAGCAGTCACCAGGTCCACATCGATCTCCCTATCTCCACTGCATGAAACATCCCCGTGGCTAGGCCCGGTCTTCACAAAGACTTTGATAACACCATCGAGAAGTTTTGTATTGGGTATCACCAGGCTCACAGGGTCACGTTAGCTAAAAAGAAGAGACCAGCTCAGTTCCAGAGGCGCAAACTCACCGTGGTTCAGGCTCTAGCAACTGCCACAGCCTGCTCATCGAAGCGTCAACCACGATGTCAATATCCCGGGTCGTTCGACTGGACCCGTGGCAGAGCATCGCGAAGCCGCCCATGACAGCGAACTTGACGCCATGAGTGCACAGTAGATCCCGCATGTAATCGGCGGCGGAGATGAGGTTATCCAGCGGTGCACCGTTGGGGTCTTTGTCACGTTCTTCCTCGGGGTCGTAGTCGATGAGATTGTACTTGCTTGCCATGGCGGAATAATACTTACTCTCGGCAGATTCTAAATGGGATTAGGTAGACATTTGACGATGGACTGATGTCGAGGGCTGAAAGATGATGGATCGAACTTGAATCACACGGACAGGTGTGTTTATTTCTGGCGATGGAGGCCGACACTACGAAGCAAAGGCGCGTCGAGGGAACAAGGCAACGAAGGTTGATGCCTTGACCCGACGTTTCGCTCTTGCAGGCCTATACGAATAAACATAGCTGAATTATGCCAAAGACGGGAATGTATTTCCATGTATTTCGCAAAATATACAATATCTGCCAACTTCACAGTGTCTGCAGTGTTCGTACACGACAATAGAGGATATATACGGAGTAAAAAAGACGATCTTAGTAGAGATGGGCTGAGCATTTGGCCTGCCAAACGCGTACAAAACACAACACCAGGATCACCGGTTCCCAAAATAGTTTCACGGAAAAAAGAAACGAGAACAATGGCACTGGCTGGCTAGGAATGGGCGATATTTCAAAGGATGGAAACCAAGAGATTAAAAGTATACACCCTCGGCTTGCAGAGAATGAGCGTAGAATAGTGGTACTAAAAAGGAAAATAGATGAGGTGGTCTCGGTTCGGAAACGGCGCTGGGAAACAGTATGTAAAGAAAAAGAGATGTACGCCAAAACGACCCGAAAAGAGAGATGGGCAGGGCCAAATATCAAGCACCTCTTCATCCAGACTGGGATTTTGAACTCCCCAAGTGTTGTGGACTCGAGCGACTAAGGCTGACCTCCAAAAACTTACTTAGATTCCGTGATAGATATATTTCCCGAAGACATGGTCCTTTTCGCCCATCCGCTAAAAAACCCACCGCCAGCACTATTCGCCGAGTTGGCACTGGAATTCGACTGTGCCGTTTTAGGTGTGCCAGACAATGCCAGCCAACCGGTCGTTAACGGTTGCACAGTTTCCACCTGCGGTGTCGTCGCAGTAGAAATGCACACGCCTGTTTTCGAAACTAATTTACGGAGATGCTCTAGTTTGGCTTTGACCTCGTCGAGTTCCTGCCGCGCGACGGCCTCCGAGGTCTTTGCGATGACGAGCTCTGTGAGAAGGGCGTCCTCGTCGGCATTTTCTGGAGGGAAAAACATTGCGGGTGCACCGAGAGAGCTGGTGCGCTTGGAAAAGGTAGAAGCCTTGGGGGATGTGGAGTGCGTGGACGACGTGGTGGCTTTGCCGAGTTTGAATTCGCGGAGGCCGTTGGTGGACGTGCGCTCATCCTCGATGGTGGAATGGCGCCGGTCAGAGGGGTCAGAGGAGGATAATTTACGGGATTTGAGTTCTTGGATTGTTCGCTCCAGACGCTGTTTGGCCTTGTGGGCGTCTTGGACGCGGGACCGGGTTTCTCGTAGCTCTTCCTTCAGTCGGGCATTTTCACGCTCGTGTTCATCGATCGTCCGGCCCAGATTCTGGCATCGGGCGAGTTCAATTTCGTATTTCTCTCGCCACAGCGTAATGTCGTCTCGAAGCTGTTGCTTAGTCTGTTGCATAGATAATCGGCGGGAGTCGGTGGAGGAAAAACGAATGTTCGCCTTTGTAACCAGCTCAACGGTTTGTTCGTTTTCTGTTTGATCCTTGATGTATCCAAGCATGGCTTTAGCCAGCTGCTGGTCCTCTTCACGCTCTTCACGCTCCCTTTGTAGCTCCTTTGCCAGATTGGCATGCTCACGCTGCATGTCGGTCAGGGCCATCAAAAGATCCTCAATTTGGGTATGTAAATCTTTATCTTTGCTTTGCGCCGTCAGCTTTTTGCGCTTGGTACTATCCGAGGAGAACTCCGTTGCCGCAGTGCTGGCGTCGGAAGTCGACTCGAAAGAATTGAGCGTAGAAGCCATGCTTTGCTTTGAGGGGGTACGGCGAATTATTGATGGGCTAAAGGGGGTTCCAGGATTGAGCGCCAGTGACCTGGTGGAATTGTGCGAATTAGACCCCGCCCATAATCGACCCAGAAAGCGGGAAGCCACCGCTTGCAGCTGAGGTAGGTAGACGCTCGATGAAGACGCCTGAGATTCCTTATAGCCCGCTTCCAGCCGCTGGAGACTCTCGCGGGTTACCAGCGATGTTAGAGAAACAAAGTGGTTGACAAGATCGTCTGCGTTGCAACAGTAGCTATGATTTTTGGTCAGCATTTAACGATCCTCGGTAATTCAAAGCAAGAGACACTCACGTGTCCCAAATTGTCCTTGATAGCAGAAGCTGCATCACATCTTCAAATTCATGGCATGCCAGAAGCTTCTTTTCGTTTCGTTGCATTAATGAAAGCGCGACGCGCATCAGAGTTTCGCAAGCGCCCTCGAGAAGCAGGACATCATAGATACGAAGTAGCATTGGAAGCGGGCAGGTCACAGCAAAAAAGGATAAGAACCATTGCGATACATACACAGGCTCCACGTTGAGCGCCTCGAGGTGGGCATGCAGGTTTGGTAAATGGCGGGAAAGCAATGTCTGGAACTGGTAAATGCGCAAATGGAGTCCGGACAGGGTTGGTAGAAAGCATGATCGGAGATCGTAGTGGTCCATGAGTCTGAGAGACGGTTAATCACTGTTACGTTGGGTAGATCCCGGGCCTTGGAAACCAACCTAACGAGCACACAGAACGACTCGGCTTCGCTCATGTGCATTAAAAGAGGACCAACCACGAATCCGAGGCCCTGGCAGTATCCAATCTTCGTGTCGTGGAGGCTAAAGCACTTTAAAACTTTGGCCAACATCTGCTGCCCCTCGCCGTTTGGGTCTCTAAACATCTCTACGTTTGGGAAGCTTCTGCCAATATCTTTGCCGATGAGACCTTCGTATGGGCTCGATTCGCCGCTCAGTTTCTCAAATTCCTCTTGGAGGGCCTCGTCCCTGGCGCCGGCAACGCTGGGCCAGACTACCCCTCGAAGAGGAGGAGGCACGCCTCCCCGGATCTTGTTAGACGTGAGTGTGGGAAGTCTTTGCGCGGTGCGAGGGTAGTCTGCCACGAGGGCAGCCCAGAACTCCAGTTCAGTCATTTGGGGGGTGGGTAGCAGCGAGTACCGGAGTGACGATCGTGGGTCGTCCACCAATTTCTTGAGCTGCTGGATGGAGGGCGGCCTGGAGGTCCGTTTTGATTTTGGGCTGCCCGAAACCGCTGACTTGGGGTCTGTTGCAAGGGCATTGTTCTCTTGTTCCAACCTTGCCAATAGTAGAGCAGTTGACTAGCAATAGTTCGTCAATGATCATATTCACCATGAAAGAAGCGCACAATGGGGGCCCACTGACTGCATCATCCGCTGGATCTGATTTGGATTCCATTTCTTCAGTCTTTTCCAGCTCCACCCAGTCCACAGAGCTCGTGTCATCCAACTCTTTGTTTTCTTCGTCGTCATTCGGGGCTGGGACATTGACCATCGACCCCCTCCGGGACGAGGTCTGCGAAACAGGCTTTGATCCAATTTCATCTTCCAGGGTCAAGAAATCTGCTGCCACGATTGATTCCGTACGGGATTTGGCGGGTGAGATTGCAATTTCTGAAAACTTGCTGTTCCGGTCAATCTCCTTCGGGCTGGGGAGGAGATCGGAAAGGGGCACAGTGACCATCGAATCGGTGGGGAGACGTTGGTGGGCGTGGTCTTCGATTGCGATTGAAGGGGGCCTGGAGGAGGCGCGCTCCGGCTTGAGCTCCATGGTGGCCGGACACTGGGTGTTCCCGTCGTGCTTCAATGGGCGAGAAGGTGTCTGGTGCGCGAAGAGGGCATTGGGGTGATAAAGGAGAGTTTCGATGAGGGCGGCAGTTCACACGCAACTGTACGGTAATGACTGAAAGCGCCGCTACAGGCGAGAGGGAGATAAGGGAGCGGACGTGCAATGTGATGTGGAAAACGGTGCAGCGTCTTGGTGTCGACGGAGAGTTGATCGTGAGACTTGGTGATGGTCAGGGGGTGGGTTCTTGGCGCGGGCCGGCCACAGGTTTCTAGTCTATCTGGCGCCGGAGCAGTTTCATTCATGGGCTCCAGGACCAGTGCTGGTGGGACATCCGATATTGAGACTCCAGCAGTGTGACTACGCTGGAGTGTTTGGACATGGCCCAGCATCACTTTGGCAGAAGCAGACTCCCTGACTCGGGGATCCGCATCTGGGATGCAATGGATTCACTCTGGTTATATACTTGACGCACGCATTCAATAGCCTAGCTGCTGCCATCTATCACCCTGTAGGTCTGCGTCTCCTGGGCTAGCTGATCAAATCGTAGCCCTTCCATCTACAGACATAAGAGAAGGCCTGATGCTCAATATCAAAAAGGCAACAGCGGGGGCGAGGTCAGGGGTGGCTTACATAAGGCCTGCATGATTGGCCCAAACTCGAGAATAGCTGTGCCAAGCGGCTAACTGGAAAGCGCTTAGCGTGACGCGAAAAGAAAGGGCCTAATTAGGCTTAGCTTTGTTTACAAACACCGTTACGAGCGTGTACTTACCGCGTCCATACATACATTTGCTGAGTCAACCACAATATCCCAAAAAGTCAAAACAAACAGTAACAAACATCTCTCTACAACCACAACAGCAACCCCTTTCCCACCTCCACGCTCGCTACTGTCATGCTGGCCATGAGAATCTAGTCATTGTCATTCGTTTACGCTCCGTTGCCATTCTTCGATTCTCCCCTTACGTGGCTATCCGGTTCGCCATGGACTCGGATGTCGGCTCCGCGTTTGAGGATGATGGTGCCAGTTCAGACTTTATGCCGGACCCCGCTCCTGTAAGTTGTTGGCTGCGCGTTATCTGGCTTTCTGGAACTGACAAAATACATAGAAGGCAAAGGCAAAGGTGACCACGGCGAAGAAACCAGCCAAGCCAAAAGCCCCTGTCAAAAAGGCAACGCAAACTGCGACCACATCTAAACCCGCAACCAAACCTACTGCAAAGAAGCGGCCGCGGAAAGAGACTGAAAATGCGAGTGATGAAGATGTCGACATGCGCGATGACGACTCTATCCTGTCAAGTACACCCCCACAACCGCCCAAGAAGAGTAAAACTACAGCGGGTAGTAAGAAATCAGCTGGAAATCCACTAGCAGCTATGGAAAACGAAGCAGCTAGTACTGCGCAGAGCAAAGGGAACTCTGGGGACCAATATCAAAAGGTGACCTTGCTTCCCACAAATTTCCCAAACTAGAGGCCTTCTACTAACCATGCTTCCTTCTCCAGCTTACGCAAAAGGAACACATCATCAGACGTCCCGACACATATATTGGATCGGTCGAACGCACCCAGCAGCAGATGTGGGTCTTTAACTCGACGACCGAACAGATGGAATTTCGAGAGGTTTCTTATGTGCCCGGCCTGTATAAAATCTTTGACGAGATCCTTGTCAACGCCGCAGACAACAAACAGAGAGATAGTAGCATGAGTGAAATCAGAGTCACCCTGGACAAGGAAGCCGGGGAGATTAGCGTATGGAATAATGGCCGTGGGATTCCCGTCGAAATCCATTCGGTATGCCATCCCCTAATGCCCGAACAAAAGTGCCACCGCTGACCTTGAGTAGAAAGAGAAAATTTACATTCCAGAATTGATCTTTGGCCATTTGTTAACATCCTCGAATTACGACGATGATCAAGCAAAGGTTACCGGTGGACGAAACGGGTACGGCGCCAAACTATGCAACATATTCAGCACGGAGTTCACCGTTGAAACGGCGGACTCAAACTCCAAGAAAAAGTACAAGCAGACCTGGAAAGACAACATGTCCGTCATGGGAAAAGCCAAGATTGCTGATGTTAAAGGCGACGATTACACAAAGATCACTTTCAAGCCAGACTTCATGAAATTCGGGATGGAGGGCATGGACGATGATTTTGAAGCTCTGGTGAAGAGGCGTGTCTACGATCTAGCGGGTACCTGCAAAGTCAATGTAAAACTCAATGGCACCAAAATTGCTTTGCGAGGCTTCAAAAAGTATATGGAGATGTATACCAAGGCCATTAAGAATGAGCGCGGGGAGGAGGCAACATCCGATAAAAGCGAAATCGTGACCGATAGCCCTGACCCTCGATGGGAGATCGGTTTTGCCGTGTCAGATGGGTCTTTCCAGCAGGTGTCTTTTGTTAATTCAATTGCAACAACTTCTGGCGGTACCCACGTCAACTACATCAGCGATCAAATATGCGCCAAACTAGCAGAGTCGGTTAAGAAAAAGAACAAAACGGGGCCTCTATTGAAACCAGCGCAAATACGGAACCATATCTTTCTGTTCGTAAATTGTCTGATTGTCAATCCGGCCTTCACATCCCAAACAAAAGAGCAGTTAACCACAAAGCCGAGTCAATTCGGTAGCAAGTGCACGCTCTCCGAAGATTTCTTAAAGAAAATTCTGAAAACGCAGGTAATGCAGAACATAATGCATTTCGCCGAGCAAAAGGCGGACCAAATCCTCAAGAAGACGGATGGAAGTCGACGTGCACGGATGAACAATCCTAAGCTCACGGACGCGAACAAAGCAGGTACGAAGGAAGGGCATCACTGTACGCTCATCCTTACCGAAGGTGATTCCGCCAAGGGGCTTGCAATGGCCGGGAGAGCGGTGGTTGGTCCCGATCTCTTCGGCGTCTTCCCGCTGCGAGGAAAGTTACTCAATGTCCGTGACGCTTCCGTTGACCAGATCTCAAAGAACCAAGAAATCCAAAATATCAAAAACTTCCTAGGTTTACAACACAAAAAGGAATACGCAGATACCCGGGGCCTTCGCTATGGCCATTTGATGATCATGACGGATCAAGACCATGACGGAAGTCATATCAAAGGCCTTCTTATCAATTATCTTCAAGTCGCTTTTCCTAGCCTGCTCAAGATTCCAGGGTTTTTGATTGAATTCATTACTCCAATTGTAAAGGTTTGGAAAGGCGACCCGAAACAGCCGACGGCAACCAAGTCGTTTTTCACCATTCCAGAGTATGAGGCCTGGAAGGAGGTTCACGGCCACGACCGCAGATGGGATAAAAAGTACTACAAGGGTTTGGGTACGAGTTCTACAGAGGATGCCGAGATTTACTTCCGGGACCTTGATAGACATCTAAAAGAGTTCCACGCTCTTCAAGACAACGAAGCTCAACTGATCGATCTTGCATTCTCAAAGAAGAAAGCCGATGAGCGGAAAGAGTGGTTGCGTCAATTCAAGCCTGGAACATACCTCGACCATTCCGTAGAAAAGATTAGCTACACCGACTTTATCAACAAAGAGTTGATTCTCTTCAGCATGGCGGATAACATCCGATCAATCCCGTCCGTGGTAGATGGCCTGAAACCCGGTCAACGAAAAGTTTTATATGCCATGTTTAAACGGAATGTGAGAAAGGACGCCAAGGTTGTGGAGCTCGGTGGTTACGTGTCCGGCATGACAGGATACCAGCATGGAGAAGTTTCTCTGCAACAAACCATTGTCGGCCTTGCGCAAACATTCGTCGGATCTAATAATGTCAACTGCTTGGAGCCAAGTGGTAACTTTGGTAGCCGTCTTCAAGGAGGTTCTGATTGCGCTAGTGCCCGTTACATCCACACCCGCCTTTCCCCGTTTGCGAGACGCATATTCAGTACGGCTGATGACCCTCTACTGAAGCATAATGTTGATGACGGGAAAATCATTGAACCTGAAGTTTTTGTTCCGGTCGTGCCACTTGTCTTGATCAATGGCGCGGACGGTATTGGGACTGGTTGGAGCACATCAATTCCAAATTTCAATCCCGAAGATATTGTTGACAATTTGAAGCGTTTGATGGATGGCGAGCCGGTGGTACCTATGAAGCCTTGGTTCCGTGGATTTACAGGCGAGGTAACAGCCGCCGGGGATCGATACAAGTTCAGCGGAATAATCAAGCAAACCGGTGACTATGAAGTCGAGATCACCGAACTCCCTATTAGAACTTGGACTCAGGATTTCAAAGACAAGTTGGAAGAGATCATCAAAGCAGAGAAAGCCCCTTCATTCATTAAGGATTACAAGGATTATAACACCCATAGCAAGGTTCATTTCATCATCCAAATGGATGAGAAACACATGAAAAAGGCAGTTGAGGACGGCCTCGAAGAAAGGTTCAAACTTTCCAGGACCATCACCACCTCGAATATGGTGGCGTTTGATGCGGAAGGACGAATCACAAAATACAACACTGCAGAAGATATCTTGGAAGCGTTCTTTGCCGTACGGATCAGATTCTATGAAAAAAGAAAGGTACATAACCACCTTATCCTCCTTTAAAAACAGTACTGACCTTTCAATAGCAATTCATGTTAGCTCAGTTGCATAAAGAGCTGGAAAAACTTACCAATCAAGCCCGATTTGTGCAAATGATTATTGATGGCAAACTCGTTATCGCTAAGAAGCCCAAGGCCAAGCTTATGCAGGAATTGAAAGAGAAGGCTTTTAAGCCCTTTCCGAAGGGAGTCGACGCCGCCAAGGAGGGTGAGGATGAACCGACAGTCGAAAATGATGAGAGCGAAGAGGAAGAAAAGAAATCAGGCTCAGATGGTTACGATTATCTACTTGGCGTAAGTATAGCTGATCCCCCAGACAGGATAACGCTAATGTCCAATTTTAGATGGCCCTGTGGTCCCTCACTCAAGAAAGGGTTGCAAAGCTGCTTCGTCAAATGGGGGACAAGGAACTCGAGATAGATGCGTTGATTAAACTTTCCAAAGAAGACTTGTGGAGAAGGGACCTGGATGAATTCATTGCTGAATGGAGGTATCAGCTCGAAGATGAGGAGCGTAGGGCCAAAAAGTCTCGAAGTTATGGCAGGCGCACTTCCACGAAGCTCAAGACAGCGGGCCCTGCAGCAAAGAAACGCAAGGCCACGGATGGAGGTGACAGTGACTTTGCACCGAAAGCGAAAAAGACGGCCATCGTCAACAAGGTCAAACCGAAGGGCGGGCTACTCGACTATCTTGGTAAATCATCAGCAAAACCGAAACCAAAATCCACTGGTCTCGATGGCGCAAGCGACATGGACGACTCCGAGGCGGAGGTTATGCCTCGGGTGAAAGCCAGAGCAGCTCCGACCAAGAAGCCGCAGGCCATAACCGATTTTGCCTTTAGTGACTCAGAGCATGATAAAGAGGAGCAGCCTCCTAAGCGGCCATCATCGAAGGCTGTAAAATCGCGCGTATCTGCTTCTCCAGAATTTTCGCTTTCTCCGAGCAAAGAGGATGATCGGTCGGAAAGCGAAAAGGGCTCCAAAGTTGAATCTGAGAAGGCTAAGGAGGAAAAGGAGGAGGAGGAGGATTCCGACTTGGAGATTGTATCAAAACCCCGCCAGCGAGCTGCTCGGATGAAGCGCAAGCCTGTTGTGTTAGATGAATCTAGTTCGTCTGAGAACGACGATGGGGATGATTTACTCGGTGACGTTAGCAAAATGGTTAAAGGCCTGGGCAGCAAGAGCGCAGATCCGGTTGCAGGATCTCCTACTCTCTTCTCTTCGGAATATGCACGCCCTGGTGCTGGGGTTGGGTCGAAGCCAATGCCAAAAGCGCTCAAGGCTGCAACAGAGCTTGACCTTGACGAGACAGACTATTCGAAATTGATTCCGCTGAACTCGCCGCGGCGATCTCTCCTGGTCAAGCCGAAAGATGGGAAGGACCCAAAGATGGATGGAGAGGAGGGCGAGAAGCCAACGACTACAAAAGCGAAACCTGGACCTAGAGCGCCGGCTAAAACAAGCAAGACGGCACCGTCGACAGGCGCGCGTGCGAATACCCAGAAAGCAGGCAAGCGTACCGTCGCACCTACGAAGAAGCTACAATTATCGCCAGCGGCCAAGGCTTATGCGTCTAAGAAAACAAAGTCCAGCAAGGCGTTGGCGGACGAACTCTCGGATGATGACATCGATGCAATGGCCAATGACATTCTCGAGTCTTCGGGATCTGAACAGGAGCCGGCCGCTAAAGCGCCAGCGCCAACAAGAGCTCGTCCCGCGCGGCGTGCAGCTACGACTACAAAAAAGCCGACCTACGTGATCGACGATGATAGTGACGATGGATTCTCCAGCCCCTCCTTGGACGATGATTTCTCCGACGACTAAACACAGGTGTAGCAGGCGCGCGTATAAATTGGAATGGGGTTGTATGGATTAAATGGAAGTGGGAGGGCTATGTTAAACTGACACCTTCGAGGGCATTTGCTGTTTCTTTTGTCTTTGTTGTTCTGGCGGGATATAGTTGTGGCATCATAACCCACGGGTTCTGTAAGATTTTTAATCCGGCCAGGCAAGCAATTAATTATACTACTTTCTGAGAACCCTGAACGGACTATTTCGATGCTGTGTCAGCTAATAGGACTCATCTTCATCCACAGCCGCCGTGTGACGGTTGATGCAAAGGGCCGATTCCGCCGTAGCAGAGAACGTGGTGGAGGAACGGAGGCGCGGGTGCACAAGACACAAAGCAGATGGCGTGGGGGGGGTTTCACAGTCCAGAGTGATCTCAATGTTACACTCTACGACGGAGCAGCAGCGTCTCTGGTGAATCCGGATCCCGTTTCTCCAGTCGCTTTTCTGCTGCATCGCGAACGCAGCGGCGAACTTGAAGCTTTGATGCCAAGCCGTTCCTGGGCCGAGGGGCTTGGCATGCTTAGTCAGCGGGAATCGGGAACGTCGACTTTTCTTCACGGCGAGAACAACAGACAGAACAGACAGACAGCGCAGCAGCATTGGCCAGTAGTGCCAGCAGCAGGTGCACTATTCATGTTGAGCCCGTTGCACCGGGACTGGTGACAGCAACATTCCCAGGCCACTGATGCTCCAAAGCATGAGCTATTCCACCGTGGGTGTAGCTCTTCAATGGCGACTCCCCAATCTCGCCACTGGCACACTTCTGCCATCGTGATAATTTACACTACCACCAGGTGAAATAACTAACCGGAGACTACGGAGGACAATGCAGAAAGTTGATGGCCCGTTTAATACCAATGGACTTTGCTGAATTCAAGAGCAATGCGCCGTTAGTATTTTCCCTACCTGTGGGGCATAAGTCGCAGAGCCAAGAACAATATACAAGAGCAAGATGCTATCTCGGATCTACAAAACTCCTTCGGCTATAAATTGTCGTAGTCTTCCTGAATATGAAGCGGTTTCATTTTTTATTTTCTCCTTCCCTTTTTTCTTGCCTTGTGCCTGATTCTCCTTCCCTTGTTCCCGGTGTTTTGCGATTGAAGTTCACGTTCCCTTGCCGCATCAGAAAAGGAACGCGCCAAAATGGGGTTCGACTAATGCTTTGCGTTTGCAGAGGGCCAGAAGCTGATAAAGGAGCAAGCAAAAGGCGCCAAGAATCGTCAAGTCCGATCCATCGACGAGACGACCGTCACTGTGGCTCGTGGCAATGACGGACCATACGCGATCAAAGTCATACCCGGCAGAGGTCTAGGCTGCGTTGCTACTTCGAGAATATCCAAGGGCACACGTATCCTCGCCGAAGCCCCCCTTTTCACAGTCCCCAAAGAAACGGCCAATCTAGACTCCGTAGAAAGTGCCCTTCTCAAGGAGCTGAAGAACCTTACCAAAGAACAACAGCACGATTTCTTTTCGCTCCACAATGCCCATAAGGGTAAATGCAGTCCTGTGATCGGTATTACCAGAACAAATGCAATACCATTCGGTTCGAGAGGCTCAGCGGGAGGGATATTCCCCCGAGCGGCCCGAATCAACCATTCGTGCAAGCAGAATGCCCAAAACTCGTGGAACTACAATATAGGCAAGCTCACGATCCATGCGTTCAGAGATATTGAAGAGGGAGAAGAAATCACAATTGCATATATCGACGGTTCAGAGTACTTTGAAACCCGGCAGAATACTTTGGAGGAGGCGTTTGGGTTCAAATGCCGATGCGAGATTTGCGACATATCTGCACATGAAACAAAAAAAAGGGACCGTCGGCTTGAAGAAATGGCGCGACTCGACAACTCGCTGGGGAACGGAAGGCGCATTATGTCCAAGCCACTTGATTGTCTGCACGATGCACATACCCTTTTCCGCATGCTTATTGAGGAAGACATGATCGGCTCGAGAATATCAAGGGTGTACAACGATGCACTGCAGATTTCAATTGCACATGGAGATGAGGCGAGAGCAAAGGTATTTGCGCAACGAGCCCACGCTGTCAGAGTTATCCTGGAGGGCGAGGACAGCCCAGAGACAATCAGATTAAAGGGCATAATAGAAAATCCCTCCAGCCATGGATTGTATGGCTCATCAACAGACTGGGCGCAATCCGTGAAGGAGATTCCGACAGGCCTGAGCGAATCAGATTTTGATGATTGGCTATGGAGGCAGAAAGCCTGGAAGCAAACGAAATAGAAAAGCGATAAAACTGCATTAGCGATTTACGAGTTGGACATAACAATGATCATTTTTCAGAAAATACCATACAACTATATTTTCAGCCCGGCAATCTTCCATATAAACTCGACTACGGATTATTTTACCTGGTAGCTCGGCCTTTCATTTGCGCACAGAAAGAGTGAGTTGGTGCTTTTTGATAGTTCCCTTTCAAGTAAAAGCCAGAGCCTTTCTGTTCCTGTTGGTTTGCAAGGCAGGATAGCCGCCAAAGAGACATTGAATCCAACAATTGAGAATAGAGGGTCTCCTCCGAGTTGTCGACAAGGCATGGGCTCATACCCCTGGTTAGGGCTGCTTAACGCTTTGTATCAATGGGAGAAGAAACTGGCAGCCTGCTTCCTCCCTGTGGCTACTAGGGAAATCTAGATCAGTTATCTGTGTTCCATGAGGAGAGAGATTATCTTGTCGCGTTTGGCGCGTAATTTGCTTTTTTGGGGCTTGGGAGCCAAACAATCCGCAGCACTTTAATCCAACCACAACAACTCTCTGATCGATCATTGCCATTCATCACTGCCTTCATCTTCATCTTTGCCTTCGTCAATCCAAGGACAACACAGCTGCAGACTACCCTGATTCTATCACCGTTTCACAAAAGCCGGGGAATGCAGCTCGATTCCCCGTACAACAATGTTCTGCGTGGAAATCCTAGTCGGTTCTGCATCCCTGCTTTTGAAGGCCGTCGTTGCTCATTTGCTAACAAAATTTTTGATAGAGCCTTTCCTCCGCTAATTGACCCGTTGTTTGCTTGTTCTCCCCTGGATAAAGCTACTTTCAAGTTTGGGCACAGTAGAGATCCGGCACAGTGGCACTCATATTGAGTTGGGCCCTGACAGCTCTGGCTAAATCATATGCCGCTAGCTGAGGCATCCCATCCAGGACTAATAAGGGCAATGCGGATCTAGCTCTAAAGTCCCTAAATGCCTGTGCCGACTTATTTGTCCAATCCTCGACTGCTTCTCCCGTCTCTGTCGCTTGCGGAGAAACAAACGTTTACTTCTTGTCTTCCTGTAATCGAAAACTTGCACGGGAGATTACATCAAAGATGATTCTGGATGCACGGGAAGGTACGTCCCATGCGAACTCTTCGTTTTCTGTAGGGATTCTGTCACTGCAGGGAATCCTTTAGCAAAAGGACCTGGCCATTCTGGAACATATGCGGCAATTTAACGGGATCGAAAATGAGAACGGAGCAGGTGGCCGTTCGACTTTTGGATCAGTTCCCGGATTGTGGATGCAGGCGGATCTCCTGCAGGAGTACCAGCCATTTTGAATCTGGGGTAATATGGTTGCACCAACTAGAGGATGACTGTTTTGCATGGCCATTTTTGCACCTCCCGCCTAGTGGGGAAAGGCGGAACTGGAAAGACCGGAGGTATCGCGGGCGCTATACCTCAGATCCATGCATCCTTCTGGAGCTGAGGCAATTCCCTGATTGGGCCGTTCGATCCCTTTTGGTTTCGCATTACTCTTACACCCGGAACGGTTGAGTCGGATCTGTGGGCCTTAAAAATGCAATTATCCGTGGCACGACCTGCCAGCATGCAGTGTTCCGCGGTTATCCCAAGCTTGATGCTTTGTTGGGCCGTTTCCGTCTTGCGCAAATGATTTGCAAGGACGCTCCGCTAATCCTTGATCTAGACTGCGGCGGACCATTTCTATAATTTCAGAAACCCGTGAAATGGGATTTGCTCTGTCTACTTCTGTTGCTTGTGGCGGTTCCCTAGACATTGAAACATAGATTTCACCTGTCATCTGGTTTCCTTGGCAGAGTTGAGAATGCAAACTCCTGGAGTTCCCGAAAATTTGACGGCCCAAGTTGCCCGCTATGTCTCAGTTGATATAGACACGGCTCTTCGCAGATCGCGACAAGGGCGGAATTTGCCTCGATGATTGTGCCCCCTTCTTGTGTGCGAGGGAGCACATCCCGAGCCCTCAGCAACACGATCAGTACATCCCATTTTTTCCCCGTATTTGGAGCTTTCAAGTGATGCACTATGTCCAAAAAGAAGCTCTCTTTACTGATCAAACCAGCACGCTGAAGTAGCGATATCCAGCTAATGGCGGGCTTGAACAATGGTGACAGACAATATATTTTCCGAACTTATTCCCGGTTTAGGATGTCATTCTAATCAGTGGATCAACAATAAGGCCCCTGCGTTTTGGGATATGGGTAGCTGATCCGCGGACGTGTCTCGTGAGTCTTGTAGGCGTTTACCATTTGAGCTCCGATAGTTATTCCAGCTTGCTACCCGAACAACCATCCCCAGAAACCTCGAATTCAGGCAAGAAAGCTTAATGGCTGCCTGGGCGTGCAGGCACAATACACTGGCCACACATCCGTCAAATGCGGCCCAAGCGCGTTGATATCAAGCTTCTACCCTGACAAATATCGGAAAGCTCTTACAAAGGACCGGGCCGTGCAAAGGGATAGACTAAAAGCTGTCCCTTCAACGTCTTGCACGATGCACCCCCTTTCTCTCAAGCTGTCGAAAGCCGCAAACTCCTTGTGAGGTTAGATGCAAAGACCGGCGTTTGGTCTTAGCTCCTCTTCGATTCGGCTTCACAATCCTCCAATGCCCTCTTTATTGGCTAGGATTGGTTTGTTTCATTTGTTCAGATTTCTCTGACTGGCTAGGGTTTTAAGCTCTGCCTCGTCCTCGTTCTATTTGCTATTACATCTTGAGCCACTGGGCATCTCTTCTGTCAATTCTTCCTATTCTCCACAGCTCATATTCCCGTCTGGACTGGATCTTACCAAGTTTCAAACGCCAGTACTCCCATTATCTCATAGCCTTTATTCCATTTGATCGCTATGGCATCTATAGCGTCCCTACTAAATCCGGAACCGGTAACTTATCAAGGAAGTCAACAGCTTCCTACACCTTGCTCCAGTCGCTCGAGAGAGTTTGCGACACAACCTCAAAGAAAAAAGCAAAAGGTATCGAAGGATGCGGCGATCTTTACCAGAGGAAAAATTAGGGGCGAACTTAGATACCCCCCGTGTGAATACCAAGATAAGGTCCTAGTAGAGGCTCATCGAGAGCTTGAAATACACCCGATGGGGCATATCACAGAGTTTCCTCGGCATATACCTTACAACAGCGAAAAAAAATCATTCCTTGAAAAGACCGGACGAGAGAGTTTCGAAGGTAGGTTGGCTGCCTGCTTCTTGGTAACCCATCTAAAAAGCGGAATTTAGTTTTCCAGTACACGTTCAAAATGCCGGGCGAGGAGAAAAGGTACACAGTTATGTGGGATTATAACATTGGTCTGGTTAGAACGACATCGTTGTTCAAATGCAATCATTACTCAAAGGCAAGCGGAGAGAAAGGGACAAGGCAGAGTATGGTATACTGTTACTAATAGGGCGTACAGACTGCCCCAGGAAAGATGTTAGATGCGAATCCCGGCCTTCGAGATATATGTCATAGCATTACAGGAGGAGCGCTTGCTGCCCAAGGTTGGCATTTTCAATGACAAGCAAAACATAAATTGCTGATAACAAGCAGGTTATTGGATGCCCTTTGAAGCAGCCAAAGCTGTTGCAGCGACGTTCTGCTGGAAAATCCGGTACGCTCTGACGCCACTTTTTGGTGTCGAGTTCCTCTCACTATGCGTCCCTCCCAATGATCCAAAGTTTGGCAGAATGACAATCGATCCGGAAATTATACAAACTGCCACTGTCACTGCACACCAATTTCGCCTACTTGAAATGAACGAAAATTCGCATCGTCGCAACCCAAGCGCCGATTCCTACCCTACGAATCCTGCTGCTCTGAAAAGTGCGAGCGCGAAAAATTTGAGACCGAGATCCTCCAATAGGCCTGGACTTGAAAACCAACCTGAAGAAACGATTCATGCAGGTCATTATCAATCGCGTGCGTCACCAGGCTGTGGCTGGACTCCGACAAATACTCCGAGGTCAGCAGGCCTAGTGTCATTTGTCCCATCTCCCCAAGAAATCCTTGTTTCTCTTTCTGGCTTTCACGAAAAGCCCGGGAAACCGCCAGTTTCGTACGGGAGCGACCCTATCACTGATGGGGATACCTCTTCGGCAAACTCAGCCCTATCCGACTCAGGCGATGACTCCTATACCGACGACGGTTCGATGGCGGATTCATCTGAATCCGAGATGGATATCTCTACAGGAGCTCAGAGTTCTCCTCTCCCGCTAACGAACGATGCACGAGCGGCGTATATGTTAATGCAATTACATATGCAGGAAAATGCGGGTCTCGATAATGAATTCCCGCGGAAAAGACGCCGAGCTTCGGCTTGAGAGCACCAAATAGCCTCCCGTTAGGGGTTAGTTATATTGCGATCTCTAAAGGCGAAAAAACAAATATCTTATCCTCATTTCTGGCTTGCTTGGATATGCCCCTTAAGGCTATCTTTTCCAGAATGAAACCAGAATTTCGAGAAATCGATCGTTACTTTTTTTGACATATTCACTTTTCTAATAGGCTGCATGCAAGGAATTTCTTTTTTTTCTTTTTTTTTTGTTTTTTGAAATTCATTCTTATCGGCAGCAGCATATGGTAGACAGTGATTGGGATGGGGAATGGCTCAGGAGCCCAGGGAAGCTTGAGTGTGGTTTTCTGTTGCTTTTTCTTTTTACCTGCGGTTTGGCTGGCGTATCCAATTGTTTTCTGGACTTAGGTGGTGAGGTTTCGTCCCCCATATTTTTCGATATTATGTATTGTTTAATAATTAATTTGTGTTTGTTCTATGAATATTACATTCCTTCTCACAGATACTTCTAAATCCTCTAGATGTGCCTTAGAATATTAGATGTGTACTTGCGGAACGAGGAGTGATTGAACATCCTGCATCCTTTGATAAACTAGATGGTTACGTATAAGTGTAGCTGCGCTAGGGCAGTGGGGGAACAAGGGTGGCGTGACAATGATATATATTCCCAACAATTTCATCACTCTAGGTCAAGCAGCTAAAGTAAATGTATATATGAGGATATGTACAATATCGCAAGCCATATTTACATGCATGGTGCCTCTTCACCGTAGTTCAGTCAGGCGACCCTTGGTCCATAGCCTCCAAACTAATTCCTCCTCCTAAAACAAGGAAGCCACTGGCGCAAAGCAGACCGGAACAGGCTTCTCGGGTACTCCCCGGAGCGAACGTCCGTCCTTAGATCATAACAATGCTCCGCGTGAGGAATCAAGTAGCCGAAAACCTCCGATCGAGGTGTGGGTTGATTACACTGTGGAATGCGCGTAGTGACCCTGGCACGGGGTGCATAAGACTCTGTGGAAAGGGTCGACAGCGAGTTCCAAGGGTCGAATTCCCCGCCCGTGAAAAAGACATTGGACGGGCGTGTATACCAGCCGCTAGTGTAATTGTTTGCTTGGTCAACCCCAGGCCTTGCTGGAAGGTGGCCACTTGAAACGCCGTCGGGGAACTGGCTGTAGCAAAGTTCCCTTTGGAAGTAGTCGTCGGTCTGGTAAATGGAGATGATTCCACTCGGGTTCCGGGTCTGAAAGTATCCCCATTGGCTACAAAACTGCCAGGCCCAGCTGATGGCCGCCGGATCCGTGGCTGTCAGTTTTAAATCGCAATCACCTTTCCCACAATTCGAGCCAAAAGCAGCATTGACACGGGACCTGAAGTTGGGCCATGCTGCGAATCTCTCAACCACTGCTCGTACTCCTCTTGTTGGTGCCCAGCCCTCAGCGGGAGCTGTTCTCCCGGTTCGAGGATCTGTCTCCATCCAATTGCAGAATTGTGCGACCTCACCGGTCGGTCCGTAGGTTTGCCATGTCACCCACACAGCAAGTAGAGCCTGGGTAAACACGCCATGAGTGTTTCGTTCCGCACCCGGGCCAAGAAAGAGTTGCTTAATGTACGTAGCAGTGTTTTGCTGAGCAAGCTGTGAGTCGATATACTGGTATGCAGCCTGCATATCCCTAGTACAGTTCCCATAGCCATATGCTATCAAGCCTCGGTATACTTGCTCATAATATGCGCTGAAATCGATACGAGCTTGGACAGGTGCGGAGGATGACAGAGCGGCAAAGATCGTATCGGGGTGTTTCAATCTAGAAAATGCCGCACGCATCCCCGGGTATGAGCCGCCTATCATGACCCAGGGTGTTGACCTGGGTGTCAGGTCGTAACTGATGGAACGGCGTCTGAAGGTCCTGGCAAAGTACGGAAGATCGTTCAAAGCTTGCTCATTACTCAGGTATTGGAGCTGGGATGCCGGTGTATTATCGTTGACAGGATAGGGATTTGACTGGCCATAATACCTTTGAAGGTCAGTACACATGGTTAAGCGGGGATGAGACGAGTGACTGACCGGTGTTCCCAGACTAAACCAACTCCACCGAACTCCTGAAGTAGCTGCACAATATACGAAGTTTGGTCTTCGAGATAATAATTCGCAAGACCTTGAGCATCACCCTCGCCACCATCAAAAATAATGACTGGACCTCCGGGCCTGTAATAGGCGTCATTAACCCAGTAACGATTTCTATATGTGTAACGAGGGTTGTTGTGGTCGATGGGGATCTGCACATGGTGTCATATTGGGTTAAATTAGCCTGAGTAGCGGCTTCACGGTGCAATGAATCCGTAGGCTCACCGTTGCATATTCAGGCGTTGCCGCGGCTTCAGGGGCGCCCCTAAAAAAACCCTCTTTCACGTCTTTCCAGTCAGGATTGAAAACGGCATCGGCATCAAGGCCCTTCAACGCAGCAAGCTCCAGGTCTCTTTGCAAAGTTGACCATATCGGACCAAGCGCAGTTCCCAAACTCGCAAGCAAGCAGAAGGCAGTGGCCCCGAAGAGGCGCGGAGAGATTCTCATCTTGTCAAATCGAACTTGGCCAATCTTCAAGGCCTACGAGCTGCCGTGCAGATAGGTACTGGGAGAATCCACGCACCTTTTATACTCGCAAACGCCGGCCGCCTAGCACCGCCAGCGACCGCTTTTCAATTCCTGACCCTCCATCGGAGCAACCTGCATGCACACATACACACGAAATGCGCGAATACACACATCGCCTTCGAAAAGCAGCAGAGCTCCATCCCCACGAGCTTGAACCTATAGATCGACTAACTCTCCAGGAGTATCCGACTTTACGCTAGAGTTTCCGTCTAGGTAACGGTGAAGAGCGGGTGACCTGGGAGAAAGGTCGATGCGGGCGGGCTTCTAGAAGACCCACTAAATCCCGTCTCAAGGACGATGAGGGTATCTTGTGCTTTTTTGATACCCAAGATGGAAAGTTCCAAGCATTGTTGGCAGCGCACTGAGATATGGAACAGGGTAGCCTGATATTGGTAGCCGATACCGGTCTCGACATGGCATCTGCCGAGATCGCATTTCAGCCAATGCTAGAGAGGGGACCTTGGGGCCGTTGCGGAGTCTCCGCATATCTGGTCGAGAGAAATTCTCCTCAGAGGACATCCAGCCCCTGGTTGCAACGCTGAAGGAGCTTAAATGAGAACGGCTTGCAACCACGGCTCCTGAACACTCGGGGGGTGCAGACGCGTTCCATCAAGCTGTTAGCACCCGCCACAAAAGCCTCGATTCCGGTCCAGAGAAACGAGATGCGTGTCCGTCAGTTCAACAGCACAACGAGAGCGATGGTGCAAAGACGTTTGAAATCGAGCAGGACGTCCAGCTGACATAAGCACCCTGCCAAGCCATCCCCAAAAAGGGTCAACGACGACGCTCATCGCCAGTTCACCAGCGGCAGCGAACACAATCCCCAGGATAATTAACTAACCGCCTCCCTGGACTCTATCCCCAGATAGATACGCTATGCTCATCGGAAGCTTTCTCCCGGTAGCTCGCTCCTCTAACCGGCACCCCGCAAAACTGTAACGTCCCATCCCCCATCATACCCTAGTCAGGCTCGGCCCGATACTGATCACTTTCCATCCCCAGACTCGAAAACCTGCAGTTTCCGCGCCATCCATGTCCTATCCTTTGTCCCCCTTGCTCAGACCATCATCCTCTGTCTGTTCTCTCCGTCCAAGCAGCGACGATGTTGTCCTTGAGCTCAACACTACCACCCCAGAATAATGTTTCCTCAATTTAGCTTTTGCTAAACGAATCTCATACTACACGGCATTTGGGGATTTTCCTTGACCTGCCTCTTCTTGCCTTTTCTCGACGACCCAGAGTACTCATTGACAAATCAATCTTGGGTTGATTGGAAGACGACCTAACATCCTGTGCGTTGGCTGACATGATCTTCGTCCTCCATGTTTAATACGTGCTGTGCTTCCCTGTAGGGTGCTATAACAGTCGCTGGTAAAACAAAGGGGTTGGTCCTCGGATCTACCTAGCAAGTCATGCTGAACCCCTTTCGGCTGACGGCATCGCGCGTTTGCACCATGCCTCGATTTCGAGTCCTTAGCTACTTTTTCCAATCTTCTACGCTCCTAGCGCTGTCGAGATCGAACCTAATCCTACACGTGCGAACTGTGACCTCCCGCTTGCTATGATCCTAAATAGCCAAACGCAAACCCAGCTTTTGGATGCTACTCAACGTGATCCGGAAAAGGATATTCACGCCATTTTTCTTAAATGTCTTTTTTAGTTAATGTCTTATTCTTATATGTATGTATATACATACATATATGCATTTCACGGGAGGGGCGCTACTCTCGGATCGCTGTCAATCATTTCTCTATACTGAGTCTTGTTGTTACCATTCATATGATCTTTGATAGACTGTGTTAGAACTTGCCGTAGCTGCAAGGCACTGCCTCCACCCGTGAGCCGGAATCAGCTTTGGTGAAGACTGCAAATACCTTGCTCCCATACAGCAGATATCACTCAACTAGGAATTTTTGGCCACAAAACACTTGGAATGCCAACAGCTATCATGCTTTTACCATCCAACCGAAAACTATACCTACTATGAAAGGGTAGGCAGAATATCAAAGAGTGAGCCGATCAGATTACTCTCCGTCCCGTTTTAACTAAGTTTACCCAAGAATGTGTCCGCACCCAAGGAAATGTCCCGTCGAATCCACACCATAACCTGTTACACAGTCATCGGGAATTTCTGTCCTTTTGTGAGTTGATGAAAGCGAATCAAGCGCTTAGCCAATACTCACTACTTTTGGAAGACAGCACCAAGCCGATCAATATCCCCTTGGGCAGCTCCAACAAAACCAACCAACACTCCGTTTCCGACCTGCTCGGTATTTTTATGTCCTCCCTCCCCTCCGATGAAAAGCTCTTCATTGTGCTCGAGGGTGAAGTCGATGGAGTCACAGCGACCCTCTGAGCCGCTAGGCGCCGCGCAGATATTCATTCCCCTCACATGTTCTTGGTCAAACGTGAAATGTGTACGCGGGCCCTTCTTCTGGCCCCTGAACTCGCTTCCATCGTCCCAGTTGATTGCAAGGCCCTTCAAGACGATGTAGTTTGAAGCACCGCCCTCGCCGTTGTTAGACCAAATATCAATTGATTTCACGGGTTTGTCGGGTTTGTATAACTCGAAGGGCTTGCCGCCTTTGCCTCCGGCAGCAGGGTTAATGACAACGTCTCGCATAGTGGACAGTAATATTCTCTCTCTTTAGCAAGGAAGATATTTCTTGTAATATTCTTTCCAGTGTGGCCACTCTGTGCAATGTTTTGACAAGCTAGAAGAAGAGGGGTATTCTTATAACTTACCCTGCCGCCATTTTTTTGGAACGTCTGAGGCGACTTCTTATGTCAAGCAGAAATCTAGAGAGCCGTCCGTCCGAGCGATCTGCAGCAGAGGACTCATGTACAGGCATCCATTACGGTACGCTCTTGATCTGCGCATAGCAAATCAAGTTTTCGGGGAATCCTCTCCGGGCAATAGCAATTTGGTAGCATGAAAGGCAAAGAAGGCGGAAACGGAGGGATAACCTACGTTGAAACCGTTACAAGGCAGTTGTGTGGTCGGCTTGTATACGTACAAGCCATGTTGTTTTCTAGGTGTGATATTGAACGAGGCAAGTAACGAACCTTTACATGTTTTTCAGGCTCAACCTGGAGTCTAGACCCTGTAGAATTGCCATATACCCATGGATGCCCGCTAACTCTGCCGGTGTTTCGGACGCATTATCAAGGAAGCAATGGAAATAGAAGATACATCATGGAATACGTAAATGCATTAAAGAATTTAGAATAGAGTAACATAATGCCGAAGAAAAAGAGTCACACGGATACAATTTGCAAATACGAAGAAACGAATAGCCAAGAAACGGAAGAAGCCTGCACCTAATTCCTGCGCGCCTTTTGATTCTTAGTCCATGCTTCAGAGAAAGGGAGAAGTTACATCCTGCTAATAATGCTCGCTGCCACTTTGGAAATACATTCCATTTGTTAGATCGGGTTTTCAAGCCTTGTTAGACTATGTCGGTGAGGTGTAGTCTGATATCCTCCACAAATTCAATCCCTCGGTAATGTTTTGACGGGTGGTCTGTGAAGTAGAAAAGCCGATAACTAGGTTTTAAGACGACCAATTGAGTCATCACCGGATCTGTTCTGGAAATGATTTACATTGCAGGAACCAGTTCCGGGCCAGCATCCTCTCCCTTTGCCTCATCGCGAACATGAGGAAGAAGCTCACTCTGTGGCGTTTCCGGGAAATCTGCATGCTCCAAAGCTGTTGGGCCCGGTTGGGACTCGGTTTTGACCGGGGTATCCGAAATCTGCTTTTGGTTCGCATCTGGGGATGGTTGGTGAGAGAGGGGGGTAACGACGTATTCGTGCGCCTTTGCACGATATTCACCAACGTATTGCTTAACAATGTCGGTAGCCTGACTGGTCTGCGCTTCCGCCATATGCTTTACTTCCCGCGCTTGCGCGTTGATCAAGTCTTGCACGGCGTTAATTTGTTCATCAATGAACTCCTTGTTGCTAAGGTAAAGCAGCGGCCCTAGGTAGGCAATGTTGACGCCGATAAGGGCTAAACCCCAGAGGGGCAAGAATCGCACGAGCCAATAAGAAACCAAAGCAGCGGTGAATGTCTGAGAGTGCCGTGGTCAGTAATTTAGCCAAGAGGAAACAGGCGGAAGTTGGGGGGTATAACATACGGCCAGTGTATAGGACAGGTTCTCGACGAACAAGATGCGCTGGAACTCGATGAGGAAAAAGTCCATCAATTGCTCGAGGTCCTCGAGCAAGCTTTCAACCGTGTCTTTGGGAATCGTATAGTACTTGCGAGGACGGGAGCCGCTCATCAAGCCACGACCAAACACAGTTCTCCCGATAACCTCGACGATGGCCGTAACTATTTCAATTAGAGCTATGCTCACCCTGAATCCGGAAATTTAGACGAACGTACATCCAAGGGAGACGTATAGCAGTTTCAATGCCCAGCGAAGCAAAGGAAGGTAGCGGCCGGCAACGATCATACCGGCGACACTAGCATAAGAAATGGCGGTTGTTTGGGGCCGTTCCCACTATTTCCGATCAGACTTGCTCTGGTCCGGCGTGTTTCGGGCGTGGGTAAACTTACACTGAGTAAGCTGTAAACAATCGAGTGGAAATCTGGTTAACAGCACGGAGTTAGCGGGAGAGGCCATAGGAGTTACGACGATACGTACGAGTCAAGGGCTGTCCGGAGGCTGGCTTTTCGGAATGGCCATTGGTGGGTTTACGATCAACGACTCCTGTGAATGTCTGGACAAATCATCATAGTCAGCAGGAGACGCGAAACAGAAAGATCTCGCTGCAGGGGCACTAGGTTGCTCACCACGGTTAGAGCAGCAATCTCAATCGATGTGTTTCCTGTGACTATATATTAGGCCGCAAAGTCCGTGAGTCCCGATCGTTGGCAAGGACTAAATGCGCGAGATATTGTCAGTGGCTTGAAAACAGATGCTGTTAAATGGTATGGAAGGGGAATCACTTACCTTACGCTTTTTTTTGTGCCAGCCAATGCAGCTTTACGGAGTAAGCAGCAATTGAACTAGAAGCTCGGAGTCAATGATTAGAGGGATGAGTACCTGATTGCGGGTGGCCGCTGAGATGCCCGGTTTCAGCCATTGTGGGATCCGATTCTGGATAGTTGGGCAGGAGGGCAGACTGGGAGGACGAACAAGGACTATGGGTCTGATATCTCAAAGGCGAGAAACGAGATGCAGAGAGATGACGGGTGAGTTGAAAACGGACGAAGAAAAAGAAGAGGAAGAAGAAGAAGAAGAGAAGTTGAAGATGAAGTTGAGTTGGTTTTGGAATTTCTTGTTTGGGGAGTGATGCAATCGGTACAAACAGGAGCTGACCCAGTTTGACCAGCTATATAACTATAGATTTACTCCTGTTCAACGCCCTACGTGTCTTTTCTTTTGTCTTCTCCTGCACGCTGTCCTTCTTACGATCGCAGCGAAGATGCCATTGTGTCCTGTGCTCTGTTCTGGTGTGCTTCTTTTGATTGCTGATGCCTGGTTGCCTTTGCATGTGACAATTCGCAGAATCCCTCCTGTTTCTATTAATAGGCACTCTATCTCCCACAGAAGCACGCGCGCTGGGTCTTTTGATGGGAAATAACTCCATAACCGTCTATTCTATGCAACACTGGAAAACTGATTAAACAAGCGCTATCTACACGTTTTCCCATCATGATGACTCCGGGTGGCAAAATAAACTCATCATAGAAACCGGTTGCGAGGCCACCATGGTATACTAGCCCCCGATTCCTACCTAGCATTCGCCTAGTAGCTTCGAGGCAGGTCAAGCATCTTCTCGCTGACGAAATTCTTGATCATTTCCTACATCGAAGTCAGCGAGAAACTCATATCGATCCACCGGAGCCTTTTACTCACCTGACTAATGGGGGCAATGCGCGGCACAAAACATTCTCGCAGATACCGTTCCACATGGAATTCTTGGGCGTATCCCATGCCGCCGAGTGTGAGAACCTGTTGTCACCAAACTGTCAGATTCCCTGCTGTTGTATGGATGGACCCCATTTACGTACGGCTCTCTCACAGGCAGCGAACGCCGCCTCCGCTGCAAGGAACTTGGCGGAGTTGCACGCGACTCCGACGGTGGTCGGCGTAGCGGTCTGCTCTCCTCTGTTCTCGTCATAGAGCCTCGCGGCATGATAGGTGGCCAGCTTGGCCGCTTCAAGGTTCATGAACGCCGTGGCCAATGGGTGGGCAATGCCTTGGTTCTGGCCGATAGGACGCCCAAAAACGACGCGCTCTTTGGCATACTTCACGGCCTTCTCCAAGGCCACGTATCCCAGCCCGAGAGCCTCTCCAGCAAGCAAGCATCGTTCCGCATTCATTCCGTGCAAAACCTGTAGAAGCGGTTAGCACGGCGGGGAAAGGGGCAATGAGAAGTCTTAGGTCAAATGTTACTATTTTAAAGCCCTGGCCTTCTTTACCAATTAACGTATCGGCGGGGATGCGATAGTCGTTGAAAAATACTTCATTGGCGTCAACGCTTCGGCCACCCATCTTCTTGATTTTTCTGAGCTCCAAACCGGGTGCGTCTTTGTCGAAGTCAATGAAGAAGAGCGAAAGGCCCCTGGTCGGATTGGTAACCTCTTCTAGTGGTGTCGTCCGTGCCAAAAGGACCATTTTCTTCGCGACCTGCGCTGATGATATCCATCTAAGCAGGGTCAGTCAACAACGTCCGTCAATTCCGAATCCAAGGTGACCCTCACATCTTTTGGCCGGTGATTTTATAGTAATCCCCGTCTCTGACTGCTGTTGTGCGGAGCTTGAGCGTTTCCAACCCAGTGTTCGGTTCCGTCCTAAGATTGGTATTAGTTCGCTCGACCGTGAAATCTTCCGTTTGGGACATTTAGTCTTCGTACACTCCAAAACAGGTTCGATACTCTCCGGCAATTAGCCTGGGCAACATCCTTTCTCGCTGGTCGCCTGTGGCAAACCTTGCAATCGGCTATACTTCATCAGCATCATGGTCGGCCATAAAGGATTGACGAGGCTTCATACTTGGGTGGCATAAACGTTGGCATGGATTGACTGGGCGCCAGCTAGTCCAGCACCGCTCCTTGTAGATAATGTTAGCAGGCTGCGATCTCCTAGTCTTTCATGGGGTGCACTGTCGCATACTGAGCAATTGTCTGCAGCATCATGGTAGCTTCGGCGATGCCCAAACCCGCTCCACCAAGCTCTTCAGGCAAGGCAATTCCTATCCACCCGTCTTTTGCTAGAGCAGCATGAAGCTCATGCGGGTACTCTCCCGTCTCATCCCGCTCCGCCCAGTATTCCTATTCCGGGGAGTAAGTCAATTGCTCTTGTACTTTTGGGGTTCATTGGTCATTCAACCCAGCACCTACGTCAGGGAATTTGGCGCAAATCTTGGAGATGGCATCCCGCACGAACAATTCGTCTGGCCTGAAGCAGCTTACGTCCATTATCCTGCTGGGTGAGGAAGCAGAGAATGCGCGAACCGGCGGCAAAGAGGACCGCAGGATCGACTGTCCGTGAGCCGCATGTTGTGACGCGGGAAACCGCCGAGACGCAAGAGAACGCAACGAACGGGGGAACAGCTTCGGCGCCATTATTCTACTCAGTACTCTTGAATCGATAAAATGGAGAGAGTGGTGGCTCTTACGGGCAAGTTAGCAGGCGGTGATTTTGTCTTTATTACCCCGGACTGCTCCAGAGAACTGGCGGATGAACAGGCCGCGCCGCTCCTTTCGGCTCGGTAATTCCAAAGCGGAAATCCAGATCCAGCAAACGCCCGAAGCGCGGCTTAAGCGCGGGCTTGGCGTGTAGTTATTGGGTGGTCATTTACGTAATACAAGGAGGCGGTCATGTGACTGCGCGTTGGTGTGTTTTGGTTACCGGATTCGGCCAAACGGACGTCGTCGCATCTTTCTTCAAACTAACTACCGGCATCGACACCAACCTCGACTCCCGGCGGCAACATACGAGGTCAAGCAGCGATGCGCAGAGATACAGCTACCTGACTGTCTCCCCTCCCGTGTCCTTCATTTCTGCTTTCGCGTCTCTCCCTGTCGTGTCGCTTCGTACCGCGTTTGTTTACACCATGGCCTCCGCGGCGCTCAAGCTGCAGAAGCCAGTCGGCTCATCAGAATGGATAGCCGCTGAAAAGGAGAATATTATGCAGCTAGTTGAGCAAGAAATGGAAGAGGTGGAATTTCCTGTCCGCCATGAATTGGACTGGTTGAACGAGCATATGGCGGAAGTCTTCCGGGGGAACCAGCTGTATGTGACCATCCCCAATTGCTTTTTCGTGAAAAGCGATTCCGATCTGTTCGTGACTTATTGGAGCATAGCAATGTTGCCGAGATATTCAAAACTCCAGGGAAGCTACGCGGGAGAACACCCCGAACCATTAGGAAACACAAAACTCCCGCCGGTCAGGCGCGTGTTGTAAGTACTCAGCCGTGTAAACAATTCGACATCAACCTCGCCTCTAACAACAGTTAGCCTCTGAGCGACATCTTTTCTTCACAAAATGCGAGAAATAGCCCTCTTCCCACAAGTCGCTTCCACCAGGCGATATCTAAGCTTCGTTCTCCCCCGGAGCCCTTACAGACCCGACAACGACCTCTATCCGCCCAGAGCCAAAACTCCAATCCAAATTTCAACACAGACTCCGGATATCACGGCATGTCACAAGGTGTTAACATGGATATGGACATGATTTCCTCTGAGGCAACACAGACAGATCCTGACCTGGTGTCTGAACCCGAACTTGGGCACGAAGAGGAGGACGGAGAATTGGAGCCGGAACCGGAACTGGGGCAAGAGACTGCAACGCAGCGTATCGAGGAAACGACTTTATTGGCAGATGACCCCCGTGGCCGCATTCCCTCCTCACCCCACCACACAACGGAGGATTCATTCCACTCCGCAAGAGAAATCGCAGCAAGCAAGGAAAATACCATGGAATCTATGGACTTGGAGTATTTGCAATCTCCTCAACGAGACCAGTCCATAGAGCCCATGTATCCTAGCATTCCACAAGCAAAAGAAAATATTAATTCCGGTCCCCAACTCACGCCGAATCCGAAAACCCAGGGCCCAACCGACCATGATGCAATTCTCGACCATTTTGACGACATAGGTTCCCCATCCGAAAAATCAACACCAGGCCGCCCGTTCATTCGAAAGAGCAGCCTCACCTTTGCCTCCCTTCCTGCCAGGGAACCATTAACGAAAAAGAGCATGGGAGGTGGCAGAATATCAAGAATCAGCCAGGTTGATCCGGCTAAAAGTGCATTTTTCGGCCGTCAAACTGGAGGGGTAAGGATGACACAGTTCCTCACGGAAGAGGAAACCGGGCAATTCAATCGTCCTAAAAATATGGATAACAACGTCAAAACGTCTTCCTACGAAGAATCTGATTCAGATGCAAAGGCGGCCAAATTGCATAATAAATCTTCCACGCAGTTACTTCACGAGAAGATAAATATGCTTGGCAAAGCTCAGTCCACAAGGGGTACCAAATCGATTGCGGCGGCTGTCCCACCCGTTTCGCAACAGATCACTTACCCAGAACTTCAGACCGCTCGCCGCGAGCCTAATGACGATGCTCTGGAAAGTTTCACCCGCGAGCAATCCTCGAAACTCGACGACGTATCGAGACCACCAAGCTCACCGTTCATCGTTCGACAGTCGCAATTCGCCCGAGACGTCTCGGACAAACCCAAATCAAGTCTTCCCCCTTCCAACCAAGACCAGTACGCCAAACTCCGATCTTTGCGGACGGGAACCCCAGAACGACGATCACCCGCACCGAGATCATTTATCTCCCACGGCAAATCAGCCTCCGTTTCGTCCCTGGCTGGCTCGCCCCGTCCTGGCACGGCTGGGTCGTTATATAAGTCTACTACCATTGATAGTACACCCAAAAGCTCCACTACTCCTGTGAACTCACCAAAGCGCTATGAAGGACCTTTAAGTGCTTCCAAATCTAAACTTCAGTCTATCATGAAATCCGCCAAAGGATTATTTAGCAGCAGTGCTGGTGCTTCCGCAGCGGCCAAGGAAGCCATGTCACCTAATACGACCCTCTCTAAACCTACAGGATACCCAAGTGTCTATGGGGTTTTTGGCCATAATGCATCACGAGACTCTGCTAGCCCAATCAAACAGGAAGGCCGTCGAACTCGAAGTTCCACTGAAAAGGAAAAGGAGCAAAAGCGCAAGGAGCAGGAGCTAAAAGACCGCCAGCGCACCGAGGAACAATTGGAAAAGGCAAAAGAATTAGAGAAAGCGAAGAATTCCGAACCCAAACCCACCCACAAGCCACCTACTATACAGAGATTAGACGCAGTTGTCCCTCCACCTTTAAAAGTTAAGTCGAGTCCTCAACACTTACAACCGCTATCAAAACCTGCTAGTAGAGAACTAGGAGCCGGTCGCGAAGAAGAGACCAAGTCTGCTGTTCCCACACTTTCTCAAATTCAAGCAAAACGGAATGACCGTCGACCCGTCAAGCCAACACGAGATATGCCGAAGGCGAGGCCACACCCGGTTTCGATAAAGATCGGCACTCTATCCCAGCGTATTCCACTAGCTTCGGGCCCTTCTAGCGCACCTAGCACGCAAGATCCAGCACCTACCCCGACACTAACGAAACAACCATCCATTAAAAAGTCAAGTATAGCATCGTCGCAAACGAGCACTTCCACGAGTAGTTTCAAAAGCTCAATTGCAGCTTCCAGTGCAAAGTCAAAGGCTGTTCTGGCTGGGGAACGGAGGGAACAAGTAAACATTATCTCGTTTATTTTTTCGTGCCTTTACTGATAGTCAATAGCAACGGCGTGAAGCACAGCAACGCCGTGAGGCTGATCGTAAGCAACTCGAAGACGCCCGCCGCCAGGAGCAGCTTCGAGTGGAGGCTGAACGAAAAGAACGCGAACGTCTGGCCGCAATGGAAGACCCAAAAAGCACTGCGAAGAAACAGGCAATTGAGAAAAGAAGGCTGGAAAATGCGCGAAAGGCGCAACAGCAAAGGGTCCAGCAACCTCTTCCAGTGAACGATGCGGTATGATTGAAACGCTATTTATATATAGATGGAGGTGTCATTGACTTTTACTTTCTCACAGGGATTTGTACCACAAGAGAAGGCCTCATTCCAATCTCAACGCGGCGACATGAGTCTACCTCGCGCCCCTTCTCGGTTGAATAGTGTACAACCGCCCAATAGGCCTCAGCCAATGATCAACCCAGCCAAGCCTCCAAAGCGTGCAAATGAAGAGGAAGCAGCCCGATCGGAGTCAGGAAAGCGACGAAAAACCGACGACGATGAGCTTGCTATTGAGGCGCCTATTCGTCCGACGATGGCACCCCCGATTCGCCAGTCAGGTGTTCGGAAGGTAAGCATCCGTGATTAAACATCATCGCAACAGCTGACTTAAAAATAGGACCTGAAGACACAGGCTTTCCCGACCAGTTATGTTGCAACGCCAAACATGGGACATACCCAGCCTAGCAGTTCAATGTTCAAACCCTTGTCGAGCGCTGCCCGCCCATTGCAAACTCCAGGGCCATTGCAGCCTGGGCCTTCCCGACCTCATCCCTTGGAAATTTCCAAATTTGCCAACGGCAAAATTCCTTTTGCAGAATCTAACCAACCGCCTCCCGCCGCTCATAGAACTCCCGGGTATAAACAAACCCAAAAGGCCGTTCGTTCTTCGCCCGCCTACCCTAACGGCGAACAGATTAAACTTCCGGAAATTCCCACAGATAGTGAAGACGAAGACTCCGAAGCCGAACCATATCATGTACCCGAATGGGCTAAGGGTGATAATCTCCGTAACCTCCTCATAGAACAGGAAGGCAAGGATGGGGAGATGGTATTTGGACCGACAGCACCATTACTGATGGAAGAGATATTCAAGGATAATAAAGACCGATTAAGGAAATTCAGAGATCGGACAAGCAGCGCCAACTGGGCAGGCACTGATGGACTAACGACAGAGGAAATTCGATGGGATATTGAGCAGAGGGAGGCATTGAAGAGGAATGGGGGTTGGATGTTTGACACTTAACCGCTCAGGATAGATGTGTGCTACTTCGGGTGGAGCAGCTAGCGGGGTTATGCTATGTCACTGCTTGCGGGTGTTTTGGGTACAATTTCGACTCCCGGCATTGTTGGCGAGCTTGTTGATAATATTGATTACATTAAGGAAGTTATTGGATGTACTGTACATACATACACGTGTTGGGTTAGGTAGTGGTTATGTATGCACCGATTGTTTGAAGCACATACTTGACTTTCGAGTGAAAACCTAACAAAAACCTAACAGGATTCAATGCTTGTTGTAGCCAAAAGCCATGGAATTGTGATTGATCTATCCAACCAAATCAGGTTCTGCATTATATTTGATGCCTTCCAATAACAGCAGTCTATGTAGAAAAACATGAAAAGTAAACATGAGCCAGAAATGATGCCACCGAAACACCAAACGTCATACCCCAAGCCCCAATCGCCCACCGCAGCATAAAAGATATCTGAAAGATGAACAGCACGATTCAAAGAATGGTATACATATAGAGTACAACGCAAGAATCGGCGGACCGTGTTCAACATTCGGAGCCACGAACCACTCTCGCATCTGGTTCGGCGTCGTTACCTCCCTCTTCGCAGTCTTCATCCATTGCATCGGCGTTGAGATTAGCCACGTCGCCGGTCCCAAGGCCTTCCTTGCCACGGTCATAATTGACGGTTCGCCAACCAAGCGGGGCAGATGTGTCTTTGACGTATTCAGACATTGGGAACTGTGTTGAGAAACGGGTTAGAAGGGAAGAAGCTTCAGCGGAAAAAGAAAATTGTAAGAAAGGACATACGTAGTGATCGTTCTTCTTCATGGTTACGACCCAGGGCACGTTATCAAATGTTACGGCTCGGAGGCGGAAATAGGTGTTGTTGGGAATCTTGATGACTTCCCGAATGAAGGAGTCTAGATCAGGGGTCTTGATGCCATTGACGGCGGTGATGAAGTTTGTCGGTGCGAGGCCGTATTGGTAGGAAGGAGAGCCGCGAGACTAGATAGATCAGTCGGTCATGGTCAAAGTGATCGGAGAGGGAAAGGCAACATACTCTTGCGCTAACATAAACGTCACTGTGCAATTTACTAATTTGCTGCCGAACGGCATGATGTGGCTTCTGCAGCACTGCACCACAGAAGATCAAAGCCTGATCGGTCTCCAAATCTTCTGTTGGAACCGTCTTGACTTTGATACGCATCTCTTCTCCATTGCGCACAATCAGCGCGTCGAGCGTCTCCTGGTCGTACATCATATCAAACTCAGACACGCGGGTGATGAGCTTATCATTAAGCGTGAGGATAACGTCCCCTTCTTCCAGCGGCCGGACATCAGTAGACAGAGAGGACGCACAGTCCACTTTGCGCACCATGAACAGTTCGTGCCTTGCAGGGTTCGCCTTGGCAACTTTATCGATCCATTCCTCTGAGACACCCATGACGCGGGCTTGGCTCATCTGGATAACATAGGTCTCCATATCCAAGATGCGTAAGCGTGGAATGATTCCGTTTTGAATCTGAGAAACCACTGGAATAAGCGGCGGTGTGGCCAGGCCAAGGTGGTATTCCACATCCTTGTGGGAAGACTGTGTTCGTTCCCCGAGGTAATTCAACCACAAAGCCTGGATTACACCGTCATCACCTAGTAGTACCCCGCTGGTGCACTGACTGCTAAGGCCCGTATCAACAGTGATCGCGTCCAGATTGATAGCACGGTATCTGGGCGCCGACGCATTGGGCGGAATGGCCACGGTGGTGATATCCGTAACTGTGGTTTTCGCCACAACAATCCTAAGATTCTGATTAAACCCAACGAACAAGGTCTCCGCACCCTGCTTTATGTAAGTCGAGCTCAATCGAGCGCTCTGAACCGGCGCCTGGACAAGAGTAGGATCGTATTGAATAATAGTGTAGTTCTGCAGAGGGTGTAGGAAGATAACCTTAGCGCTCACGATGACAGAATCAGCAACAGTGACGTTGATATCGCACAGATCAAACGGAACGACAGCCCGGGAGATTACGACGAGGCCTTTCTCTGCGTCGATAACCAATCCAAACCCAACTTTCCTAGCCTGTGGGAAGCCGTCTACTTTGACAGGAATAGTGCACGAGACACGGACGAAGCTTCGTACAATATCCGCGGCCGCGGGATGGCTGACGCCATCGAGCTGAATGAAGTCGGCTTTTCGTGGAACTGGTGGCTCAGCCGGAATTGGATCTGCAAGGTCAGCGAAGTCCCAGAGGCCGGTTCGATCATTTCTCTGCGCCAGTCTCATTTTGGGATGCCAGTGACGATCAACATGAATGATGCTCGTTCCACGGGTGTGCAGGTCTCGAATATGTCTGTAGGAGAGAACAATTCTAGAGCGATCTATTGCAAATGTAAGCTCGTGGTCTGTTTGCGCCAAAGAGCTTGCACAAAGGAACATATCTTACCTGGAATAGTTTTCATGACCTCGATGAACTCGTCCAAATTCTTCGTCGGCCTTTTGTCAACCGAATCGATAATCCAACCAGAGAAGGTATTTTCCAGTTTGAAAGAGCCTGCCGCCTCGCAAACATAAACACCCTTGCATGCAATGGCGTACAACCTCGCTTGTTGGTAGGATAGATCGTGGAAAGTGGCCCCAGCAACGGTAACATACCGAGATGGAGTAATCGCATGGAGGTCTTGAACCGTGCAAGTAACCTCCAAATCTTCGCCGCCTCGCTGTACGAGTAGATGCACGTTTCCATCGACGCTAGAGTCAAGAATGTCATCCAGGCGGACAAATTGCGTCAACAGCTCACCGTTGACCTTGATCAGGACATCGCCTTCTTGTAACTTGCCATCAGCCGGGCCTTCGGGAAGAACAATCTCCGCTACGAGCATGCCGGTTTCTTTCGGTGCCTCCTTGCGCACCTGCGCCTCCCATTCCGGTGAGAGGCCCAAACGCCGACACTCGTCAAATGGCTTGATGATCCACTGTGTTTGTATTGTTCCGCGGCTCACAAGTTCTTCCTGTTGGATACATTGTAGGGCACGAAGTGGGCGATCTAGCGGAAGAAAGTAATCCGTCGCCGCTCCATCGGCACGACCACCAGCCTGTAGCGCAATCGCATGGCCGTCGATGTTAACCACAGGACTGCCGGAACTACCACCGCTAGCTGCAGCGGCGGCCTGGATGTAATTTGTGTTGAAATCACTATATCCTTCTCCGTATTCGGGGGCATTCCGATCGAGACGACTGATCACACCGGAGAGTATGCTCAGTTTTTCACCGGCATCATTACCTACAACCCTAATCTCCACTCCTACACGAGCAGAGTCTGGCCGTAGTTTCAGTTCCGTAAGGGGCATATACTTAATCGCCTTTGGGTCAAATTTAAGGATACCAAAGTCGTGGACGGGATCGCGGTAGATGGGAGTCACATCACACTATTCAGCAAAGTCTGCTGTCAGCCAACACAAACGGTCACAGGTAGGCAAACAAAAGCAGTACAATACCTCTTCATGATTATCGAATATGCAGTAGCCCCAAAACGGCCCAGCGCACACGACGTGTCTGTTGGTCATGATATATCCGCGCTCTGCATCGACGACAAACCCCGTCGCCTGGCTCGCCATCGACAAATCGGTATCAAACGACGCGGTTTGGCAGAAATGAATAGACACAACGCTCTTTACGACTGTCTCAATGGTCTCCTGCCACTCCGCCGAGTCAGTTTCGACGGCGGGGAGCGGCATTTGCAGGGCGGCGGCGGCGGCAGCTTCTTCTGCAGCGGAGTCCGCATCGTCATAGGAGTACATGGTGATATCACCGGGGGTCTGATCAGCGGAAGGCATGGGGGAAGAGGGAGCAGCGGGATCAGGACGTCGGTGTTTTGCAGAAGGCAACGAGAGCGGGCTGTCGCTATGCTTCCGCTTGGATGTTGGGGGAGCCCCGTTCAAGTCCATGGCGAAGAAACAAAGGAAACGAGGTTGACGGCGAAAGGAATGCAGATATTTATAAGCCGGTCAGCGGTGCCTGTGGTGATTGAGAGGCAGACGATGACTGTGCCGGCTGCGATGGTGAAGCACAGGGAGCGTGGGCGGAGGCGGCAGGGCTGGCGATGAAGACGGGCGGCAAACCGTTTGGCCTAGAGGGGCGTAGCAGGGAGAGTCGGGGCGCTGAGATCCAACCAAAGTGACGGCCTAGAGTCGACGCGAGCGACGGTTATGAGATCAAATCCAGGAGGGCGTTGTAGCGCCGCAGAAGACGCCGGGACGAGGTTTTGATGCTGTCTTTCTTTTTGTTCTTTTTGCTGAGGCTGCGATGCTTGGCGCCCGGTCAACCGCCTGGCTCTCAACTCACTGCTCGTCGCTTTCACGCAGCAACGGCACGCATAGCACACGCTGCGTCGAGCACCGGCGCTGAGGATTGAATCACGTCCGTTGCTACCACCCGGCACGCTGGCATCGTGCGATCCGGCGTTGAGCAGCCGCGAACTAACCCCCAGGTCCATTGGGCCCCGTCTTCGCAGAACAAGATGCCCTCGAGTCCAACCCGATATACACGACCAGGCAGTCGTCTCCTGGCTACAAACGCGAGACGCTCCTTGTCCTCCCTCGACCCTTTAAATGGGTGACGCGAGTCCCCAGGTTGCAATGCGGTGATGTTACATACTTGGAGCAGCAGTTGTTGGCCCCAAGCTGCAGCCTAAACACGGCCCATGCTTTTGGTCTGGGGAACAGACAGCAAAATGGCGACGGTGCCATCGAACGTCCTGGAGCTGACAGAAAGCTTGACTCTTGACCTCCCATGCTGGACTGGTCATCTGCGTGAGCCGCCAACAAATGGGATCAGGACTCTCCAGCAAGTACGACGCTGAAGGCCGTCAATTGCCAAATCCGCCCGGACATTGGCCCGAATGCCATTTGCAAGTGGTACCGCTTGGCAGGCCACGTTCTCAGCTGCTGTTTTTGCGGCTGTTCTCCTGCATGGACGGGCACTGGGGTCCTCTTCAACATCAATATTGATGGTCTCAGCCCCGCGGTCCGCGGATGGTCAATCAGAATGCGGTTGGCCTTATAAAAAGGCACGATTTTCCCGTACAATTCGAGGGGCCGCACGGTATCTATCAAATCGATGCTTGGTATCGGCAATCATGATTTCAACTGATCCGGATAATTTAGCAGACGAGTCCGACCAAGTTTGGATGGCAGTCTTCTTCCCTCTCCTTCGCCTCCTCCAGGATGCCCGTCATCCCCCAGAACGCATTGTACAGTTAGCTGCCTTGTTTCGTCGCCATGTTTTGCCGACGCTATCAAGAAGCCATCTGTCTTTCATGACAGACGATCACACCCCAATGGCGATGTCCATTCGACCAGATGGCCATAAAGTGAGCTTTGCTGTTGAGCCGGCTGCTTTGCCCGTGGGCCCCGCAGCCAGAGACCGCTGGGTGCGAACATTAGCGAGACAGAGCGTGATGCATACAGCCACAGACCTCGAATGGTACAATATATGCAGCGAATTGCTCACCCTTCCGGAAGGGGCCAATCTTTCAACGATACAGAAGCTGGACCAGGCGGGATACTCACAGTTCTTTTTAGGTTTCCCTTCCCCTACCTCCCCTTTGACTCTCAGTGCGGCTAACAATACTTCATTCTGTTCCTAAGGCTTCGATTGTTCTACAGAGGGTCTTATACTAAAGCCATATTTTATGCCTTCACTGAAAGCATCATACTCAGGTGCAACCGTTGATAGTATCGTGGCTTCTCTGATTCCTCGACTTTATCTCGAGGAACCTTGGTCCCAGGTCAATGCCTTTTTCTCTACAGTCCCAAGTCCTCTCCGCCCCAGTCCCTTTATAGTTTCTATCGATTGTTTAGCACCGTCGCTCAGGCGAGCTAAAATCTACTATCGTATCAAAGAGAATTCCCTAGCTGCCCTCGAAAAATACCTTACGCTCTATGGTCGCTTGGCGCATTCGAGTATGTCTAGTGGCCTTCAGCTCCTGCACAAACTATGGAAGAGGCTGCTTTCGCAGGATCCCTCAGAGAATATTTCTAAAAACGCAAAAAATCCTAGTCATTTCACGGTTATGCCGTTGATCTATTTTGAATTGCGGGAAGGGCATCCAGATCCATATCCAAAGGTTTATATACCGATTAGACACTACTCGGAAACAGACAAAAGTATTGCTGCCGCTTTGGATGATATCTATACTGATCTAGGCGCTGTTCAATCCGGCGAGTTCATAAACTTGATTAGCCGAGTTTTGTAAGCTTGCTACCTGGATATACGTGCGGCAAAAAGCGCTAACTAGTGCTCTATGGAAGTGATCATCGAGAGCTAGGAGAAAAACAAGGCATTTTTACATACTTATCTGTTGCCATGAAGAAGGGCAAAAGTGAGTTACGCGCTTATATCAAACCAGAGATGTCCGATTGCATACTTGGTGGGTTGACCCTCCGATATCCCGAATCCCATCGCCTTTTTTGACTTTGAATAGTTCAACAGTCGCCAGACCTCTCCCCTCCACTCAAGGTAGCCCTCGACATAAAGCATGGCTTGAGGCTGATAAGGTGGCTTAACATATTTACAATAAAACTTAGGACCGCTACGTCCTGGGAGGATCTCTCTGATCTTTTCACGTCTAACTGCAGGTGGAGCGATTTATTGTCCCATTCATCCCGTTTTTGCAAGTTGAGTGGGCTGCATGATGTTGCAAAATTTATCCTCCAGGATGTGAGGCAGAGCAAACCGCGAGGATTTTGCTTGCTCCCTGGAGTGCATCGTATTTCATACGCAGAAAATCCTGAACTCATAACTGCAAGAGCGGTATGGAACACCACAAATGGCGAATGCTCCGCCGCAATTACTTTTGTTATCACTCCCACCGGTCAATGCAAAGCGTTGTCGGTGGTGATGCAGCTCGAGGCCCTACCACGGAACCGCCCGCGGGCTGTTAAATGTTTGTCGGTTGGGTATCACGCAGTGGTGGTAGGAGGAGGCCTGGCTGGCTTATCTACTGCAGCTAGGCTCGGTGACTTGGGAATGAAAGTCCTCGTCGTTGAAAAGGATTCGAGGGTGGGTGGCTCGTGGCGGAATCGCTATACCAATCTGAAGCTCAACACTCCAAGAGTCTACAGTGAGATCCTATTTTGCGATTCGCTTCCAGAATTGCTCTAACTCACCTGCAAAGGCGCGCTCCCTTTTTTCTATCATCCCGATAATCTCCCAGAATTCATGCCGGCAACTTCGTTCGCCGATCGGCTGGAGGCTTATTCTCGTTCTATAAAAACAGAATTCCGGCATTCAACATTACTCTGCGCTTCGAACTATAACCCAAAGTCACGCTCCTGGTCGTTGAGCCTCCGTGATATGGAGGGTTCGGTATTCAACACTTCATGTCACCATCTTATCATTGCATCGGGAATTGAGAAACCCCGGGCGGTTATTCCTGATATCCTTGGCTTGGTACCTATCACACTCTATCGTGAATTTCCCGGCGGCTCATCGCTGATTCATTCGCGCAGAAGGACTTTTCTGGCCATGTTGCCCATGCGTCTAATTTTCGATCCTCTAAATCCTGGGCCGGTAAACGTACAGTAGTCATTGGGTCAGGTTGCTCTGCCCACGATGTTGCCAAAGAGCTTTATACGGCTGGGGCCGAGAGTGTGACACTTGTTCAACGCTCAGCAACTGCTGTAATGTCCCGTGCATCGCTCATTGCAGCTTTCCCCGGTACTTCTCTTCCTCTGCTCCATCGATGTATTTCTTCTGACTCTGTTAATTTAAAGGTCTTTACAATGGGGAAAATTACCCTCCCGTTGAATTTGCAGATCGGTTACACATGGCCGGGCCGTACCTGCATTTTAAAGAATATGGTTATGCAGCAATGAGAGAGACGGAGGTTATTGACCGGTAGGTTCTGATTATCCTGCAGTCTGAACCTCGCCTGATTTTCTATAGCGAACTCCGCCGGAACTTAACGAAGGTCGGATTCATATTACTTCCGAACACGGAGGCGGATAACTTCATGACGAGGCTTCTGGTTCGTCATGGTAGGTTGACTTCGCGTAACGTCTACCGTAGACCTACTGACTCAATGCAGGGGGTTATTATATCGACAGTGGGTGCTCTCAGCTTATAATCGACGAGAAGGTTTGGATTCCTTGATCATAAATCCCTTGCAACCCTTCTAACGACGGATACTAGATTGGTCTCTTGACTGGTACCGATATTTCTCACATTTCGGGCTCTGACATTATTTTTCGCAATGGTACCTCGATCCAGGCCGATCTTATCGTTTTTGGTACAGGGTGGGTTACTTTTCGCAGAATTGAAAAGAGAACATCACGCTGATATCGAAGCAGATATACTGGCTTTTGCGCCAAAGAACTGATTGAGGATATGTCCATAACCCACCCCATCGCGAGCACAGGTGGTGAAGTTCCACGAGTTGAAATATGGCAAAAGTCTACATGTAAGTTTTCCATGCTGGAACCTCAAGGCCCGTTTATTGATGGTCTCTAGATGAAAACTTGTGGTTTGCAGGCGGCGAAGTTTTCACTTGCAGGGTGTTCTCGCGGCTCCTTGCCTTGCAGATTCAGGCCGAGCAGCTCGAAATAGAATTAGATGACAACTGGAAGCTTGAGTAATGCACATACAAGGGATATTCAAAACCTTTTCTTGTATAAAGATTCATGCTATGGATAAAGTAGTTTTGGGGGCGAAAGGAAACACAAAATTGCATTAAAAGCAGCGAGATCGACTGTGGGCATACCATAAATCTACACAATCGCCTCACTGCGGTCCAAGATAGCTGGTTATGGAGAAACTAGGGGGTAGGCTTATTATTGTGAAGTTTTGCTATATCAAAAAGTCAACTCTCATATGCTCTTCGTACTTTGGCCTAGATGGCTGCCGAATAAAGATGGCCCAAAGCTAGATCCTTTGGCCTCTCTTATGTTCAAGCTGCCACCCCATTGCCCTTGTGATTATCCATCATCATTGTATTATGGAGCCTTATGCCATGAAGACTACCCGCCATTGGACCAACAAGATTGTAACACACCCCTGAGCTTAGATAGTTAACGAGTTATTGGCATGTGCCATTCTTGAGGACTAACTATTTCTATGGAGTACAGCCATTCCACTATATTAGTTATTTGTGAAGAGCAGGCCTTAATCCCACAGCCTTGCCTCTCACAAATAAATTAATGAAAAGGACACCAAGACAGCACCCCGGCGAGTCTTCCCTTATTCTACTTGGCATATTCACGTTCGCCAATTTCTCCGATGGTGCTCCATATTTTACTGGCCAGCTCGTGATTCTCTACAGTGTCCAGAAGCCCGGAACCAAACTCTTGCACTCCATGTCAGATCCCCTGCATGAGATACAGTAAACACGCAATAGCAACAACATGGCTCTGGAATCTGGAATCAGTCTCTATTGATCCAAGGGTAATATATGAACATTTCAAGCACCAAAGCTACCCTACAAATTGCTTCATCCTCCTCTTTCAATTTTCTTCCCAACTCTCGTTGCCGGAGTGAAGGCGCCCCACTGCTTGAAGTCAGGACGTTTACTGCAAGGCCACACCTCGGGCTCACAGGTTCAAACTAAGAGCGAGTTGTGCCGGTCATATAATATTTGCCAACAGTTACATTTCCACCTAAAGTAACCGTTCAAAAATGAAACAAATAGAGTGGAAAATAACCGGTAGACTCGGATTGTTCCTTGAACCAGTTGGAAAAAAGGACCCAGAAGAAGTTTGCATGGAGCAAACGGAAAGGGGGGTAGCAACTGATTGTGGTGGCCAAGCAATGGATTTCGCATCCACTGCTAAACAAATCGTCCTGTTGGCAGCACTGAATGGTGTAAAGCGTCTGTTTCGTTTCACCAGCCAGTATGTCTAGCAGAATAAACCACCGGCAGTTGACGCTCCAGGTTGAAAGATGGCTGGAAGTCTTTTTGATTGCGAAAGTTTCTTGACCGGTCACTTCTCGAGATTGATGATATTGCCTCGTTATCCCTCACCCATTCATCGCTCCCGTGGTTCCTGGTACCATTCCGTCTGAAATATGAGTTGGCTGTGAAGTCTGTGGCATCAACTGGGGTATATTCTGTGTCGGCATCTGACGTTGCTGTGCTTGCGCGTGTGCTGCAAGTTTCGCAGCGTCGGGGAAAAGCTCGTTCAACTGCGTGTATGCGGCAATCAAGCTAGGCATACTCGGCGGAGGGGTCAAGATGGCAGGAGCCAAGGGTGCTGCCACTCCCGTTTTCTTAGCCCGATCTGCAACCGTCGCAAGATAAGCCAGATTGGCCTGTAAACGACGCATACAATCGACGTATTCTTGGGTCGATTTGGTGGCAGGTTTGGCTGGCTGTGAACCCGAGCCCTGAGATTGTGAGGCCGACGGCTCGGTTGGGGAGGCGGTAGTCTGCTGGTCTTGAGCTGGCGTGGTGGCTGGTTGGTTCGAAACGCCGGTTTTCCCGGATGATTGTAGGTTTACGACCTCTTGAAGGAGCGCAGAGTTGATATCTAACAGGACCGTGACGCGAGCCTTTTCTCGGGCAGAAACAGCAGCTTGAGCAGCTTGAGCGGCTTGAGCTGCCGGTGTTGGCTGGGGTGGGTGTGGGGATGGAGACGACTGTAGTTGGTGAGGTACCGGGGGGGTCTGCGCCTGCATTTGACCGGGGAGCTGAGCAGGCCGCGTCGGAGTGGTGAAGGGAGGTCTCGAGGCACTGGGGGTTGTCATTGCTGGTGGTTGAACAAATGCACCGGCGCCATTGTGGATATTGTGGTTGTGAGGGGTTTGGGGGAGCGACGTCTGGCCCATCACGGCGGGCATTCCTGGATGCGAGAATGCCGGCTGGGAGAAGCCAGGGTGGTGAGAGACTATTTGAGTGGCGGGGAAGTGAAAGGCCATGGTCAGTATGTATCGTGGACGGGTGATGAAGGTGACGAGAACGGGTTCACAGGAAACGTTAAAAATAAGAGCGGAAAAAAGACAAGTTGGAGGATCTGGCCCTGTCCTCGTGGCCCCCGATTGACGCTCTGCG